GAGAGACAAAATGAGGAAAAAAATCCATTGTAGGAAACTCAAATCTCCAAAAATGTATTTTTCAGGAAATGGAAAAATCAGTATTTATACAATAATTAAATACTGCAGTGTCAAAGTTGATATTATGGCTTTATGTGGGCAGACACTTGCATGTGGCATTATAACACCAAATCTTAAGCTCGTATGGAGTTATGAGGTTTTTGACCAGCACATTTCACTTCATTCACAATAGAGGTGGGCGGAGCTATGAGGTTTGACTGACAGTTTAGTCACAAGCTCTTTTTAATTCTTTTCATTGGTTAAATATTTGCAAAACCCACAGACAGACATAAAGGATGACCGTTAGTAATGATTTACGAAAAGAAAAAGATGAAATCTGGAGATGCAAGGTTTCCGCCCAACATGTGACTTCCAGTGCTTTGATTGAACTGTAACTGTATGAAGAGTTGAACCTGATCTCTCGCTCATTCCCATACAGGACAGACACTACAGTGATTGGCTGCAGTGGTTTCCATGGCGACTGCTTGACGCTAACCAAAATCATTGAGGCGAGACTGAAGGTGCGTTTGACAAACACAACCTAGGTATCTTCTGGTCAGATCGTGTTCAGTCAGCACTAACAGTTTGGCACAGAAATGAATGTTTTAATGTTTCTTTCTCTAATAGATGTACAAGCACTCCAATAATAAGGGCATGACCAGCGGAGCCATCGCAGCCATGCTGTCCACCATTCTGTACGGCAGGCGCTTCTTCCCTTACTACGTGTACAACATCATCGGGGGTCTCGACGAGGAGGGTGAGTGAGTGTGTGTGTGTGTGGTGGGCGGGGTCAAATATGCAGGCTTGTCTTTCTCAGGCTCTGAAATGTGTGATCGAGTTTATTATACACTTGGATTTATATACACTAACATTAACGACGATTAATAAATACTGTAACAAGTGTATCGCTCATGGTTAGTTCATGTTAGTTTATACATGAACTAATGAACCGTATTGTAAAGTGTTACCGTGTTTATAAGGCAAGACGCCTCAGGTGAATACGGTAAAATATACTAATAGATATCACCATAATATCTTATTTGATTGATAACATTAAGCTTTGCATACATTGTTTTGTGTTTCTGCTATATGTTTGAATATACCAATGAGGCATTGAATAATTAAATATGCAGTAGATTGCGTAGATTAGATTTCCAAAACGAATCTGTGCATTGGATAAAGCCAGGATCAATCTGATTTTGTTCCAGTTAAAGGTTTTCACAGTCAGTGAGCGAGTCAGTCAGTCAGAGAGTCAGTGAGTGAAAAACAATGCTTTTGCTTTAATAAACTGGATTGTCTTTCAATAGTGCTTGTGTCTGTTTCTTCATTCCAGGTCGGGGTGCTGTTTATAGTTTTGATCCAGTTGGTTCTTACCAGAGAGACAGTTATAAAGCCGGAGGATCAGCGAGTGCCATGCTGCAGCCTCTGCTGGACAACCAGGTGAGCGTCTCTGTGTGGCGTAAGGCGGGCGTACACGAGTGATGTCTGCTGATTACGAGCTCGCACAGGATTTCTGTCACTCCGGAGAAATGGAGTGGTCGGTGATGCTCGCATGGTAGCGGCTCGCATCGTGTGAGGAATTACGAGCATGTTTAAAAAATTCAGGAAGTCGGCCCGATTTTCACCAGTGTATCGTCTGTCCCCTTTTGCCAAATCACACACAACCACGTCACAGGCTAGATCGATGTGGCTATGTAAAGTTACATTTGAGCTATTTTGAGCAGTGGTGGAATGTAACGAAGTACAAATACTTCGTTACTTTACTTAAGTACATTTTTCACGTATCTTCACTTTACTTAAGTAGAATAAATAGTGCATACTTTTTACTTTTACTTCGTTACATTTTGCAACAATTATTCTACTTTCTACTCCACTACATTTCTACAACTTCTGTTACATTTTCGTTACATTTTCTGATCAGTTTTTCCCCTGACAAAACGTAATGTTCGTTGCACGTTTGTCTCACCAGTGACGTTTGGTTGCCATAGATACATCAACTAAATGCGTCTCACACGCAGTGTGTTTATCATGCAACTCATACGCGAAAATTTGTTTTTACGTGCATAGGAAACACACCCTGTGTAATATACGTTTGGTTAGGATTATGGCAAGCCAAGAGGTTCAGAATTACACCATAAATGAATCGCGTCTACTGCCAAACATCGTTATTAACATATAGTAAGGATAAGCATGATATTGCCTAATTGCAAGCTTGTTTCAGAAATGGTGACATTTTTTTCCATCATTATTGAACATCATTATAGGAGTAGGCTATTAGGTTGAATGAGTTAGAATTAAATATTTTATTAATCATTAGAAAATAGACATTAAGAGAATAAATTGTTATGCAAGTACTTTTACTTTTAATACTTAAAGTACATTTAAAATAAAGTACTTTTTACTTTTTACTTAAGTATGGTTGTCATTGTGTTACTTCTACTTTTACTAAAGTAAATATTTATCTGGGTATTTGTACTTTTACTTAATTACTGAGATTCAGTACTTCCTCCACCACTGATTTTGAGGCATGAACTTTTTAACAGTAAATGAAGAGCGTTTTCAGGACAATTCAGCACTTTTACATTTTTTATTATTTTTATTAAAATAATGAGCTGTGGAATATTGAAATTGCATTTGTTGGAAAAAAATGTGGAAAACTGTAGCGTTAGGCTTAAACCGTGTCCTCTTGTGCTCAGATCGGCTTCAAGAACATGGAGAACGTGGAGCATCTCCCGCTGAGCCTGGAGAAGGCCGTGCAGCTGGTGAAGGACGTCTTCATCTCGGCCGCCGAGAGGGACGTGTACACCGGAGACGCTCTCAAGATCTGCATCATCACCAAGGAAGGCATTCGAGAGGAGGTCGTGCCACTCAGGAAAGACTGAGACGCCAAAACTAGCCTGTTTTTCTTTTTCTCCAGTTGCATTCTCAAATCCGCTGTTCTTTTTATATTCCTTCTCAAGAATAAATGCGTTACCAGTATCACTATTGTCTGTCTTGTCTTTTACTTAAGTGCTTAAATCATCAATGCTTTAGAACTGCATTTATGGGAAACAATATATGCATATGTTTGCATAGTGCATGAACAACCGATCTCCACCCGTGCTGCTTTGTTTTATATGTTTTCTATGCAAAAACCTCATTATTTTACCGTCCTATTCTCAAATGCATCATGTGCTTTTTGTTTAAAACCAGACACTAATGTTTGTGATCTTAAAGCATAAAAATAATGCAATTTATATGCTTTAAAGGGTTAGTTCACCCAAAAATGAAAATTAAGTCATTAATTACTCACCCCCATGCTGTACCAACCCCGTAAGACCTTCGTTCATCTTCGGAACACAAATGAAGATATTTTTGATTGAATCTGAGAGCTGGATCACTCTTCCATAGACTGCATAAGGGACTGGCTCTTGACGGCCCATAAAGTCATTAAAGAAAAGGTTTAAATATTCCATGTGCCTATGCGGCTCAATTATAAGTTTATCAAGCGACGAGACTACTTTTTGTGCAAAAAATAATAAAATAAAAAAATAAAGACTTTATTCCACTATTCCATTACTTCCCTATGGGCGCATGCGCGAGAACTGAGACGAGGACGTTCTCATTCGTCTACTTCTTGTTACCGGCTGCTCCGCTTAGGAGTATTACTGCCCCCTACCGATGATGATCCATATATAAGGCGATCCGGATTATAAGGAACACCGTCGTTTTTTGAGAAGATTAAAAGCTTTTAAGTGCACCTTATAGTGCGGAAAATACGCTAATTGAAAAGCGTATGTACAGCGCGCATCTTCCTCTGCTTGTAAACAGAAAGTTTTGCGCTTCCAGCTATATCAGCACATCATCTTATACGGTAGGGGGCGGTAAAACTCCTAAGCGGTGAGCAGCCGGTAACAAGGAAGTAGTCGAAGGAGAACGTCCTCGTCTCAGTTCTCGCGCATGCGCCCATAAGGAAGTAATGGAATAGTGGAATAAAGTCGTTATTTATGTTTTTTTCGCACAAAAAGTAGTCTCGTCGCTTGATAAACTTATAATTGAGCCGCATAGGCACATGGAATATTTAAACCTTTTCTTTAATGACTTTATGGGCCGTCAAGAGCCAGTCCCTTATGCAGTCTATGGAAGAGTGATCCAGCTCTCAGATTCAATCAAAAATATCTTCATTTGTGTTCCGAAGATGAACGAAGGTCTTACGGGGTTGGTACAGCATGGGGGTGAGTAATTAATGACTTAATTTTCATTTTTGGGTGAACTAACCCTTTAAAAAGAATGCAATTTTATTCATTAATTGGCATCCAATATTTATTATGTTTGCTGTGGGACATATAAGACAATTAAACTGTCAGGTGGTTGGTTGTGACATTGGCTGTCATGAAGCCATTAATGACAAATTCATTGTGTACCACTGTAGTTGAGGTCACGAAAAATATTCATGACACAGTTATAATGGCCTCATGACAGCCAATGTCAAAGCCAACCAGTTTAATGTAATGTTAACCCATAAAGCTAAGTTTGATAAATAATCTGCTATGTCATGTGTATGACAGGTTGTGTTGTCTTAGTAATGTCAAGTTGTCATCATGATAAAAGACACTGACAGGTTATGTTGTATTGGTTTATGTCAAGGTGTCATGACAAACACATCTTAAAAAATGTCATATTTGCATTAAAAATGTCATTATTGAGCGAATGACACTTAATGACAGTTGTCACAAACATGCATAAAACCATATGGCATGATTATTAAGGTGTCATCATGTCAGTCGTATGCACACCCCTTCAAGTAAAGTGTTACCAGATAGGGATATAAATTCAAGGAACTCAAAAAATGATATTGCATGTAAGACCCTTTAATGGTGTGATACATGCAGGTTATAATAATTTGTGATAGCGTAATGTAACCTTCATAGTTCTGTTTTGTCTTTGTGATTATCTTGCAAAAAAAGAGGAATGAACATCGATGGAGCTGAATTTATTTATTATATTTTACCCAGTTTACAGATAAATGCATTATTTTGTTATTTATGAGTAACATCAGCTTTTATTATGACCGAAGTATAGAAGCTCGTTTCCGCCACGGGATAACACCACTTAAAAGATAATTGCGACTCTACGTCATGCAATTATTATTGTATTTATTATTCAGTGGCGGAAAGTGTCTCCTGCTGAAAAATATAGATTTGATCTGATAGGAAGAGAAAGAATCATGACCAGAATGAAGTGCTTAGAGAGGAGCATTTTAGTGACATCATCAGCAAAATGAAGACCAGGAATGAGTAATAAAGAAAGAAAAAGTGTTTTGATTTGAACATTATGTAGATATGTAAATGAGAAGCAAGCAGAACACATCACATCTGATTTATTTGGGTGATCCAGTTGTCAGTAGGCATGTTCCCTCACTGAAATCCACACAAACAAAGTGAACATTCATCACAAACCTCATAAAGACGATCTCTCTCTCTATATATAGTATTTGTATCTTTACAATAAGAGCGTGACAGATCTCTTACACTATCCATGAGAACAAAATATAATGCTTTGAGCTGCAGTTAAGACTAAATCTCACACGATTCTTGTACATTCATCTAGGAGAAAGATCAAAGGTCGGCTTCCGTCATGCATCGCCGGGGTCGTCCTACAGAGGGCGCTCTGAGAAGGCGGTGAAGCTCTTGACTCGTGCAAAAAACAGAGGCGTGTACATCTTATCCACATCAAACGCAGTGACGACGGTCTCTCCGGTGGATCTGCGGGAGGACGACGACACAACACCAGGGGTGAGGGATCTGCACTTTACTGACTTGCAAACAAAACATTATATAAACAATCATGTAGTTGACATACAACCAAACCACTACATCAAAAAACATACATTAAACAACCAATTGTAACAATATAAATAATAAATGAATGACTAAATATTTAAATAAAGTAGTATGAATAAAGTGTGGATAGCAATGGTCTTGAACTGAACAGGTGCGGGACACGAGTGTTACGGCCCAAAGACTGAACGGCACCAGCTCGAGTCACATGACCCACGACACGGAAACCCTGCTCGCCCGATACCATTTCATTTTCTTACAAATTCCCTAAAATGATGCTTAGTGAAAAACATGCATGTGTGTGTATTTATATATACAAAATAATTATACACAGTACACACACATATAATATGTAAACACAAACTGGATGCGATTAATCGTGATTAATTGTTGCCCAAGCACTTATTTTAATAAAAAAACCTACATTTTATTAATTTATTTAAATATTTCTATATTTCATTATTATTTTTTCAATCATCCTGTTACCGTAAACTGACCCGTCAATCATCCTGTTACCGTAAACTGACCCGTCAATCATCCTGTTACCGTAAACTGACCCGTCAATCATCCTGTTACCGTAAACTGACCCGTCAATCATCCTGTTACCGTAAACTGACCCGTCAATCATCCTGTTACTGTAAACTGACCCGTCAATCATCCTGTTACTGTAAACTGTAAACTGACCCGTCAATCATCCTGTTACTGTAAACTGACCCGTCAATCATCCTGTTACTGTAAACTGACCCGTCAATCATCCTGTTACTGTAAACTGACCCCGTCAATCATCCTGTTACCGTAAACTGACCCCGTCAATCATCCTGTTACTGTAAACTGACCCGTCAATCATCCTGTTACCGTAAACTGACCCGTCAATCATCCTGTTACCGTAAACTGACCCGTCAATCATCCTGTTACAGTAAACTGACCCGTCAATCATCCTGTTACTGTAAACTGACCCGTCAATCATCCTGTTACTGTAAACTGTAAACTGACCCGTCAATCATCCTGTTACCGTAAACTGTAAACTGACCCGTCAATCATCCTGTTACTGTAAACTGACCCGTCAATCATCCTGTTACTGTAAACTGACCCGTCAATCATCCTGTTACAGTAAACTGACCCGTCAATCATCCTGTTACCGTAAACTGTAAACTGACCCGTCAATCATCCTGTTACTGTAAACTGACCCGTCAATCATCCTGTTACCGTAAACTGACCCGTCAATCATCCTGTTACCGTAAGCTGACCCATCAATCATCCTGTTACCGTAAACTGACCCATCAATCATCCTGTTACCGTAAGCTGACCCATCAATCATCCTGTTACCGTAAACTGACCCGTCAATCATCCTGTTACTGTAAACTGACCCATCAATCATCCTGTTACCGTAAACTGACCCATCAATCATCCTGTTACCGTAAACTGACCCCGTCAATCATCCTGTTACCGTAAACTGACCTCGTCAATCATCCTGTTACTGTAAACTGACCCGTCAATCATCCTGTTACTGTAAACTGACCCGTCAATCATCCTGTTACCGTAAACTGACCCCGTCAATCATCCTGTTACCGTAAACTGACCCCGTCAATCATCCTGTTACTGTAAACTGACCCGTCAATCATCCTGTTACCGTAAACTGACCCCGTCAATCATCCTGTTACCGTAAACTGACCCCGTCAATCATCCTGTTACTGTAAACTGACCCGTCAATCATCCTGTTACCGTAAACTGACCCGTCAATCATCCTGTTACCGTAAACTGACCCGTCAATCATCCTGTTACCGTAAACTGACCCGTCAATCATCCTGTTACTGTAAATTGACCCGTCAATCATCCTGTTACCGTAAACTGACCCGTCAATCATCCTGTTACCGTAAACTGACCCGTCAATCATCCTGTTACTGTAAACTGACCCGTCAATCATCCTTCTCACCTTTTTCACCCCTGACCCGTTTTCATGTCTGATAAATACACAGGTGTAAATTCATGATACATTGTCTTCTCTTAAAGGTGCATTGCGCAACTTTTCATGTTAAAAATAGCCGTTTTCTAACCCATACATGCTTAAACAATCGCCTGATGGGCTGAATGAGCCCTTCTTTGATCACTGCGATCGCCTCTATAACCCTGTACAGTGAAATATATAAGAGGGATTCGGGCTCGAATCTGAGACTGGGCGTGACGTCATGCGCGTTCACGCTCGCCTGGCTGTGTCTGGCAGGTTCGTGTAGCTATTCGCCGCCGTTCTCCGTATCAGAGAAGACAACTCGAGCGACACAACTCTAGTCAGCTTTCCACAAAAGTAAACGATGGATTCAAAGGGGCTGTTTAGCCTACACCTGGTCACTTCATGTGTCTTCTGTGATCGGATAGCTATTCGATCGTGAAAAGACCAGGGTGTAAATACCCTCCGAAACGCATTCGAGACGGATTTGAATTCGATCGCTCAAACCACTTGAGGACGTGGTCTGTGCCGTATTCCAGACGAAACTGGACAAGTGTAAATGCATCTGGTTGTTGAAACCAAGCTATATGTCATGATATTTTAGTCATATATGACGACGCGCATCACCTGAGCAGCTGAGCTGAGCCCCTTCATCAAGCGCCGCAATCTATCGCAAATCAAAGTGAATTAGTGAAAGTAAGTCGCAGACGCTTAACACTACCATCTTCATTAAAAGTAAAGAAATGAAATGATCTTACCAGGCCTGTTGCCGATCTCTCTTATTGCTGTCTTTGCTGATTTTGAAATTAGCCGATGATTAATAAAATCCAGCTCATATCTGTTGCTTTCGGTGACGTGCACTTCATTAAATCTATATGGCGCGGAAAGAGACCGGCTTGTAGCTCATTACAAACCCCAACGCAAACTCCACGTGAGACAGAAAATAAAACTTCTGTCTGTCCAGTGCCATGCGTCGGAATAAGACGAGAGTCAACATCGGGAAGCTTTCAACAAACGGAGAGATCTCCGGTCGGCTCTAGGGCTCAAACGGGTCATAGCCTATACAAAGTGATAACTGAACGTGTTTCCATAATAATTCAATCATAAGTGGATACAGTAAGCACAGGGAGATAGATGGAAACAAAAACCGAAGTTTTCTACTACCCCCGTTTCCCCCTCTCACACACATAAGTGTGTAATTTACTCGAATGCCTTTCCTTTCATATATTTTAAATGACTTGCAGATTTATTACTGTATTACCTCATTATGACTGTAACAAAAGATGTGTGCCGCACAGTGTGCGGCTGATGCTCCTTAGTTATGAACAGCTCGTGCAAACGTGCGTATGTGTGTGTTCCTCCATGAACGCGCACAGCTCTGGTTGCAGTTTCGCTTGTCGCCAGAGGGGGCGTAGTTCTGCAAAAACTCAGAGACTTGCGTTTAGCTCCTTTAAATGTAATACTGAATGTACATTGTTGTTAAATATAGTTTAATAATAATGCTACATGATAAATAGAAGGCTTCAAATAGACTCTGTAATCGGTGATCGGTATCGGGTGATACAGCTTCCAGTAATCGGTGATCAGCCCCAAAAATCCTGATCGGAGCACCCCTACTTCTGACACACTCTTTTCAGCACACTATGCTTTGGGATACACTTCTCAATCTCACACACAGTTTAGGATGTTAGTATGGACACTGAGACGCAGGGCACGGCACCTGTAGGTGATGTGGCAGGAATGGTGGATCCACACCAGCTTGTTGAAGCGCTGGCGCCCCCCAGAGGACAGCTGCAGTCCCACGTGAAACGAGCGCTCGGCGTCGGGAACTGGGTTCCGCCTGCAGAACCGGCCCCTCTGGTACTCGGACACCTTCTGCAACTCACATTCATTTTTATAACACGGTTAGTTCCAGTCCTTGATTCTGATTGGTCAATTCTGATAGCTGTGTTTTATTCATGATGAAACTCAACAGCTCTATTTATCATGACACAACCCCCATAGCAACCAAGCTTATAGTCGAGTCGAGTATTGTGAGAGATTGAGTAAGTAAGTGTTCCTACACTTACACTAGATATAGCATTTCCGTCAGGTCAGTCCTATATTCGTAATGAAAAGTCAGTTTGAATGTCCGCTGTGATGTCTTGTCCTTTCCTGTGTCCTAGTCATTTGTGCTTCTCCGTGATCACATGTTTGAGTCCTTTCAATATAAAAGTCTTCTCTACTGACTAACTCACTCTTTGCCACAGTCTAATGGCAAAATAGTGTAACTCTGATGCTGTTCACGGTCAAGGACTATGTTTTTTCAGCGGAATATAATATTTTAATATTTGTATTGTGTGGTAACCGTTTTAGGTACTCGAGGCAAGTGCTGTATCGTGAATAAATCACGGCTAAAGGGGTTACTCCGCTTCGCTTTGTGCCGAACAACGCCCTTCAGCCGGGACTTATTCACAACACAGCACTAGCCTCGAGTACCTTACTGTTTACCTATACACATCGTTTCAAAGCAGCTTTACAGAGAAGAATGGGTCCACATTATAATTTACAGTGATCTGTTATCAGAGATTAGTTATTTATTTCAGAAATGTACATATGAAGAGTTCAGATGCAAAAGCCTCTAAATGCCATTTGAAATTTTCTTCTAAAATGACCATTTTTATCAAGCTTGTATATTTAAGTTCAGTAATTTCACTTAAATAACAATTAATAGGTAATCTTCATTGCCATTTAAGTGAAATTACTGAACTTAAATATACAAGCTTGATAAAAATGATCATTTTAGAAGAAAATTTCAAATGGCACTTAGAGGCTTTTGGATCTGAACTCTTCATATACAAATCACAGTTAGCGAAAAATGTGATAATTTAAAGGGATACTCCGTTTTTTTTTGTTTTTTTTTTTGAAATAGGCTCATTTTACCACTCCCCCAGAGTTAAACAGTTGAATTTTAGCGTTTTCGAATGTATTCAGACTATTTTTTGATATTTAGAAGAACATCAGTAACCAGACAGTTTCTGGTCTCATTGACTTCCATAGTAGGAAAACATATATATACTATGGAAGTCAATGAGACCAGAAACTGTCTGGTTACTGATATTCTTCTAAATATCAGAAAATCGTCTGAATGGATTTGAAAACGGTAAAACCCGACTGTTTAACTCTGGGGGAGTGGTAAAATGAGCCTATTTCCAAAAAAAAGGAGTATCCCTTTAAACAATATGATAATTGAATGCAGAAAGTAATGAATACGTGTTTGTTAAATGACTATGACATTTAGAAATCAGTCGGCTTATTGCTAAAACCTGTTAAACAACAAACCAACCTCTTCTTTCCTCTTGGAGACAACAACATAAACTTTGGTTTGATTGTCTGTATCCTGGGACAGCCGATAATGGCCAAGCATGATGGAGTCCATCCTGTGGGAATCGAAGCATTTTAACCGTCATGTCACATGGGCTAGAAATGTCAAGTTCAGAGGTGTGTTAATCATGACACACACACACCTGGAGTTCTTGCTGCGCAGCCTTGGGACGGCGGCCAACGGGTCCTCGGGGGTGGTCAACATCATCGCCTGACCGTCAGGGAAGAAGCGCAGGTACCTGAAAGACCAGGGCCGGTTTCACAAAGACAGACTTTGACTACGGTGTAGATATAGTAGATAGTCAGACTTCAGATAGACAGGTCTAAAATAGCCCTGGTCTCGTCAAAGCCTCATTACACTGAACCAAACCCAATCTGTTCAGGGACACTCAAGATACTGCACCCACAAATGAAAAAAATCTGTCATTTACTTCCAAACCTGAGCTCTAAAATGGTTTGCTTCCCAATATTTTGTGTAGAAATGTGCCTTAGTCAAATCTGTCCCGGCCGCCACAGATTAGAAAACATTTAGAAAATGTCACATATTAGCATAAACCTTTGCCAAAGCATCTGTCAGTCAAACTAAAATCCCGATATAGTTTAGTGTGCTCATCAGAAGGTTGTGATTTAATTAAATAAGTATTTAGCTTTCTAAACTTTCACAATCGCATCATTTCGAACATTTCTGTGGACAGATGAGTACACATAGATTATTAATGAGATGTATCTGTAAATTTGTTTTCACAGAAACTGATAAAGCCAATATTTTGAACGAGGGGCATTTTAAGTTTGCTCTCGAAGCGAAACTTAAAAGGGGACCCAAGTCCAGTGGGGAAACCATAGACTGTAGAAAAATATGTACGTAGTGCCCGTGACGTCACCCATAGGGTCCTGAAGAGCATTTTTGACGGCAAAAGTGGGCGGAGCCGGCCGTCGCCATCTTGGCAGTGTCACTCCCGAATAACCGGAAAATTATCTGGGAAAATTGTCGGGATTATCTGAGGCGACGCTAACAGACAGCAGACAAACGGCTAGTGGTGACATCAGCTTCTATCCACCTGTCACTCAAGAGGCCACGCCCTTAATTATGCGCAAATTTAAGGCTTAAAGGGTAACTAAACCCCGGGTCAGAGCCTGACTCCACCCACTGGCAGTATTTGAAAATGCTGAAAAAGTGGGCAGACCCCAGCGGAGATAGAGGGGACGAAATAGATGCTAAAACACTCTATCCTGATTGTTTTCAATACTCACAATCCCAATTCCTGACTCCCTACAGTGGTTTTGACGACGCAAGATGGTTTTTATACTGCCAAGGGCGTAGCTCGCGTGGTGAGCTGAAACCTGCGTACGTCACGAAGTGCGGAACATCCAATAGGAAAATTCAACTGCAGTAGCCACCGTTCAACCTGAAGAGGGCAGCACTAAGACGTTTTTACACCATATATTGTAGAAATAGAACACTTTATAAACAAATGTCAAAAAAGTTACTCGAATCATTAATAAAGATCCATTCTTACAGATCATTAACTAAAAAAAGTTGGTTAAGTGTTTAGTTACTCTTTAATATAATTAAAAGGGATGAGTTATAAAATATTCACCCCCCTCACAGTCGACACAAAGGGCGAAATTAGCAATATAGACCAAAACCACTTTTTGCACCAGGCTGTAAACATGTTTATTTCTGCTGTAAAGTTGGGCATTTTAACAAGAGGAGTCTATGGGATTGACTCTCTTTTGCAGCCTGTCTCTAGTGGCCAGTCGATGAACTGCAGTTTAAGTCACTTCCGTGTCGGATTCAAAAGAGAGTACTGTAAACGCACACAGGTTTGGACGTACACGAGGGGGAGTAAATGCTGACAGAACTGTGATTTTGAGAGGAGTATCCCTTTAAAGCCCAGATCTCACCTGTAATACTCCACCTGGTGCCAAGCCCTGTAGAAGCCGTCCAGAGACTCCTCCCCCTGACGGATGTATGAGGTTTTGCTGATGTAAACACCTGGACGAACCACAGACGTTTATTAAACACTGTACCTGCAGCATATATTTAAGACGACACAGTCCAACCAAAAGTTATTCAGACACCAGATATAAAGGTGTGTGCAGGACACTAAATTTCATTTTATAGCCAAAAATCCTTCATACAGTGACTAACAGTAAAATTAATAAAAATATGGGACCAAACTTTGACCTGACCATGTTTTGCTGAAGTATTTTTTCTTTAATTGCTAATGCGAACTTTTTACACACAGAATGAACAAAATTAAGAATTGAGCCAAACTGGTATATTGTAATGGTGTAGTTAAATTTAACAGCTGACAGATATTCAACATAATTCCTGTGTGAGACTCTAACAGAAGGACGGACAAAACCAGTCAAATATCAACTGAGTTCTGCTCATATTTTATTACCATTTTCTAAACTATAGCGAATAAACTGTGATAATGTGAGTAATGTTGAATAAATTTTGGTTTGACTGTACATAAACGCACACGTTTACCATCAAAGCGCACACGTGGCCTCTCCAAAAACATCTCTCTCCAGGATGAAAACGGCAGCATTTTGGTGCAGCTTCGCCCCCACACCCTCAAACAAGCAGAGCGCCAAATCTCAGGGTCCCTGCGGCGAAACACACACAATCCAATGGCAAACGCACATCGCATTTCTGCTATGACTCCAAGCTGGTTTCCTCAGAGATGTTTGGTGAGTATGTGAGCCCACCTTGCACAGATATAGAAACCCCTGCAAACCAATGAGAGCTGCTCCAGGGCTCGAAGGTCCAGGTCACATGACACCACCCAGCGGAAGATATACATGAGCACCTCGAAGGGCAAAGCTGTGGACGTGAGAGAGAGAGACTGTCAGGGGAACATGACAGCTCTGTGAATGTGAACAGAGCAGGTCCAGGGTCATAGATATACACACTAGATGTCGCCTTGGGGTTCTAAGCATGCGTCAAAACCGCCGCCATCTTGGACAGGGCTCTTGTCATGGGAAGTAGCTGCTAACTCTGCCTGTACTTCGAATTCATGGATTTTCGGACTTTTGTGCTGCGTATGGATGTTCTCACGAACAAAATCTGACATAGGAAGATTTTTTTTTTCTGATCATTGGAACGAACAAAAAAACTAGAAAATCGCTTTCAATTTATGCTGATTTAATTTCCATTAAAACTTTGCCTACATTGACGCTTATGCAATAAAGGGATAGTTCACCCCAACAGAGAAGGAAGTGAATAGTTGAATAAAGTCGTTACTTATGTTTGTTTTTTGCGCACAAAAAGTGTTCTCGTCACTTGATAAACTTAAAATTTAAGTCACTGTAGTCACTCCCCAACCCCCACCCAAACATTTTGTCATCGAATCTACACGATTCATGTAGGTCACCTATTTTGGTTTCAAAATGGCGAATTTCACCGAAAGGTGAGTGATTATCATGTCTGATCTTAATTTGTGTTCTGAAGATGAACAGGGTTGAACAACATGAGGGCGAGTAATTTCATTTTGGGGTGAACTATCCCTTTAAAGAGGAGGGGCTTCCCTGTTCCATGATGGCGGCTCTATTGACGCATACGTTCCAATGAACTGCCGCAGCCAAGGCGAGATCTGGTGTATAAGTAGGGTACCCTATATGGTTGCTATTGTGTGATTATACAATTTATGAGTTAATATTTAAAGACTAGTTGACAGTCTGAGTCAAAAAAGGCAAACTTCATTTTTCTTCTGTTTTCTGGAGCTGAGATATGGCCTGAATATGTTGTTTTATGGTTGCTAGGCTGCCTTAAGTGGTTGCTAGGGCGTGAATATGCAGTTATTATGTCACTACTTGTTGGCTGCATGATAGGCTGAGTCAAAAGAGCCCAACCCCAAGTCTCTATGACCTTCTGGTCAAAAGATATGATCTCACACATTTTGTGCCAATGTTAAGTCTATGGGACTTTTTTCGTTCACTTTATCGCCCGCCAGACGAGCATCGTACCACCGATCGCTTAGAAAAGTCATAGCACACCTCTCCTAAATGAGCCGGTCGATTTGAGACCTCATTCATGGGTCTTTATGTATGGTCCAGTGTGAGCAGTACCTGAGATGTGCACCTGTGACGTGTCTGTGTCCGGCTCACACAGCTTCATGGTGTCGCAGCCCAGCATCAGCTGCTGCTGGAAGTAGGTCAGCAGATCGTCAATCTCGCGGTCCTTCTCGTTGTCCTCCAAGCTAGAGCGCAGGAACAGGTACTTGTTAAGAATTTTGCATGTAGAAAATTAAGCACATTTTTTTGCATTGTGCCATTATTGTGGAATCGTCTCCCATCAGAACTGAACCAACTTTCTCTATTTTTATAAACTTTCATCCAAGTTTTCCATGAGCACACGTGATCCGAGCACTTACTAGCCCCCACTCCGGTCCGGATCAGGAGTTCTGCTGTAGTTGATCCGAAACTCAATGTCCGGGACCAGCAGCATCGCACTCTTGTAGTACTTGATGGCTGCAAAACATCAACAGAGGAAATGTTAACCTTCACTTCTTCACGCAATCCACTTCATAAGTGTATTAGTCTAATCTAAATAAAGAAATGAGCGAAAACCTTCATAAACCGCTCCATTCTGCTCTTCCTCGACTGCCTTCAGGAACAGCTCTCGGGCCTGAGAAAGCACACATTCACAGTCAGAGGAAACCCAAGGCCAAGTGACTGTACACATCAATCATCACTGTGGCGATCAAGCAGCCGCTTTTCCTTATAGCACACCGTATGAATATTCATGAGTTCACACCTTTTCCTCTTTAGCTATTTCCTGTCTCCTCTTCAGCTCAGCAGATTTCTGGAGGCTCCTCCTCCCACCTGAAGGCTGAAGCTCGGACATCCACTTGGCCCGGAAAGCACTGAGCTCCATCTGAAACATCAAACATCAGCTACAGACCCACTGAACACGCACTGATGGATTAGGCTCATGGGAAATTAAGGATTACCACACCTTCTAAACAAGTGAGCTTTCATGGCTTCTTCAGTCATAATGACAATAAAAAGCCTTTCAAAGCACATTTTACTTCCGTGATCAGGCAAGATTTCTATGGAAACTTGTTTCTGCTACAGAATAAAAAATTAAAAAAGGTTATTGCGCCTTTTATCGATAGGTATAGATATGAACAATTGCGAGTTCCTGTCTCGGAATCGCGAGTCAATATCAGTCAGAATTCAGAATGGCTAGTTATAATCTCGCAATTGCACGATAAAAGTCTGAATTGCGAGATATAAACAATTGCGACTTTTTTCTCAAGTTATAAATTCACAATTGCGAGAAAAAAGTTAGAATTGCGAGATATAAACAATTGCAAAAAAAAAAGTCAGAATTCAGAATGGCTAGTTATAAACTCGCAAGATTTAAACAATTGTGTCTTTTTTTCTCAAGTTATAAATTCGGAATTCACAATTGCGCGGAAAAAAAGTTAGAATTGCAAGATATAAAATTGAGCGAGTATTTATTTCATAATTGCGAATTTAATCAGTCAGAATTCAGCATAGCGAGATATAAACAATTGCGAGTTTACATCTTACATCTGTGAGATAAAGTTGCAATTGTTTATTTATATCAGTCAGAATTCTGATTTGCAAGTTATAAAATCGGAATTATACATAAAGGGCGGGACTTTTATTTTATTGTGATATCAGGTATTAATCCTTGAATTCCATTGGCTTAAATGATTCACTGATATATCCAATGGTATGATTAAATGATTATACTTTGTTAAATGATTGGACATTACACAAATGTCTATAAAACAGCACAAAAAGTTTCGAGATTTGCAGCTTTTTTCCAAGTGAAGGCACAAAAAAATAAAGTAGAGGACTTGGTTTTAGCCAATCACAAAGAAGTATCCCGATCCAGAATGGGGAGATATTGGAGGATGGGAGGGGCTAAAAAGTAAGAGGGAAAATTGTGACACATCCAAAAAGGCCAATCATTTCAGAGGTGGAGTAAAGTATTGTTTAATAAATTATTAACTTTGGAATAACATACGCCGATGAACTGTGCACAATAAAACCAGTGTTTTAAGAAAGTAAATACAGAGAGAAAAGAATTTTCAATATTAAACATGATGTAGGAATAATCTTAAAATGATTTAAATTATAAGTATTTGATGAAAGCAAATGTTACATAAAGACACCTGCAACTTTCTCTCATTTGTCTTTTAAAAAAAAGAGATCAGGTTCACTAACTTGAATATTAGTATCCTCTGAATTTTCATCTTCCACTTCTTCAACAGTGCCATCAGTATTTTGGTTGATTTCAGCCTAGAAATAACACATATTCAGTAACTTCAACTAACATATTATGTTTAGCAGGTACAATTTATAAAGACGTGACGCAGATAAAAAAAAAGAAACTTAAGCCACGTCCATGTTTGGTGTTAAAAATAAAACTGACCAATCAGAGACTAGCAGAAACCTGACAAGCATTAATCACCAGGACTCAGAGATGCGAGAAATTATTATTGCACTACATAAAAAAAAAAAATATTGCACAAAATAAAAAATCTAATTATATTCCTATTCAGTGCATCAAAATACAAGTCCAGTTGTTTCGTGATTTGCAGAACATGTAAACATGCATGAATAAAGTAGACGATGTTTTAAATATATGGACATTATTTATGATTGTAAGTACATGCTATGCGTTTAAAGAATCATTTAAGACTGTTATCCAGTAAAAACAACTCAGATGTGTGTGACAGGACGATAATACGTCACAGCTGCTAACATGCTAATGTTAGATACTGATTAGCAGTAGCTAATCTTAGAAACACAGCTTTTACTGACCATAACAAGTTATTTTGCGAGCTCTTATAATGTCGCTTTTAAAGACGTGCTTTCAACGAATATTTTACAAATCACGATCAGAGAAACGGACGACAGAGCGGGCAAATACGCGAGCTCGCCACACGGCAGCCATCATGACGAGTGAGTTTGGGAGTGACAGCAGCGCTGGAGACACTTGGGCTGCGGCAGAGCCCGTCTACGGAGAGCCTTGGCACTTGGTTGCAGTTCCATTAGAATTCCACTGGATGTGATCGCGGGCGAGCGCAGAATGAATGGGAGTCTATGGGGCTAAACGGCTAAATGTGTCTTTTTCACCTGCTTGTCGTTAAATCAACATAGATTTTATTGTTGATTCCATAAGTTCAATGTAGATTATAGGCCAAAAGTCGAATGAACGAGTACTTATGTCCTTTCGATGTCTTACAGGTTAGCCCATTGCTGGCCGGAACACGCTAGCATTCTGCTATTGTGTGACGTCATCACATTTTTGAACTGATTTTTAGAACAGATAAGTGAACTTAAAAATGCAATTTTAAGCTGAGTGTATTTTCTTAGCCCTCCCTTTTGAATGCAACTTTCAAATTACTTGACAAAAAATTACATCCTGAGAAAAGTGGATTTCGGGGGGTGAAACACCATTGACTCCCATTCACTCTGCACTCGACCGCGAGTGCCCCCGCATGGACAGAGACCTGTTACTGCAGCCAGTCCAGAAACCGGAAGTAATCGGTCTGCGGTTTAAAAATAAAAGTCTACCCGTCTGCCATAAAAAGCTACATAAAATCGCTCACGTTGTATTTTAATTTTATTTTTGTCCAATTTAAATACATAAAAAAATCACTAATCTCAAATGATGTTTCATGTGCACAGAAATAGACTAAATCATGAAAAGACATACTTTAAGTTTTGCTGTCAAATTTACCCTCTAGACGGAAATATGAAAAGGCTCAGACCTCAATCTGGTAATTTTTTGTTATTTAAAGTCGGTATCTGGAAAGAGAAAAAATGTAGGGCGGGACATTTGTCCACGGTCGGTGTGGTCAGAGCCAGAGCCATGGTCGATCTCTTGTGATTGACAGGTTGGTCCACCCTCGTGCCAGTAATCAGTAATCATTATTATTTTAATAAAATAAATACGGACAACTCATTTATATATTGCAATTTTACATTAAAAACAAGAATGGTCAGTTTTGATTTCATGGTGACTTTAAGTTTGCCAATTATAGGGGTGTATAAAATAAAATGAAAAACCATGAAAAGTTTTTTCATTTTATGAATATAATAAACATAAAAAAATCCAGTGCAGGCAGCATTTTTTCTTCTGGACAAAAATAATGAAGTACCTATACTATGGCGAAATATTACCTCATGCATATTATTCAGATATTGTTACATTTACTTGGTATTCTTCAAATGCCAAATATTATCTAATATGTTAATGATCTTTTTTTTTTTTTTTTTTTTTTTTTTTTTTTTTTTTTTTTTTTTTTTTTTTTTATTCTAACCAACAAAGTCAATATACAGTCAGAATTGCAATATATACAAAATGGAGAAAACAAAAACAAGCTGAAAAAACAAAAACAAACAACAGACAGCCAGGGGGGGAGGCTAAACATTATATAAAAATATCAAAGGATTCACAAATCGAAATAGTTTTAATTGCTTTCTTATTGTGGGAATGAAGGATAGTTTTGATATATAATTGCATTTCTTTTTCAAGAACCAAAAACAAAGGTTTGGTTTTATTGTACTTACATTTATGTATATGGAATTTAGCATAAATTAAAATTAAATTTATAATATAGTATTCCTTCCTTTTATTTGAAGGAATATTATTAAAACCAGCTATAACATTTTCTAAACACAAAGAAAAAGAGGGGTCAATATTGTGAATTATAAATCTAGATAAGTCTTTCCAAAACTTTCTTACATGAGCGCAATGCCAAAACAGATGAAACAAAGTTTCAGGCAATGTATTGCAAAAAGAACAGTTCAGATCAATATCCTTTTTAAATTTAACAAGAAAATTATTTACTGGGTAGTACCTGTGTAAGATTTTAAAGCTAATTTCCTTTATTTTGTTTACCAATAAATATTTGTTTGGTAAAGTCCAGATGGCCTTCCATAACAGACCTTCAACCAGTCTATTCCAGTAAACAATACAGTTTGGCCTCGTGACAATATCTTTTTGAAACAATGAACGAATGGTTTTATTTACATTTACGACTCCGGGGCCAAAACAAATCTTCCCAATTTCAGTATCAAATAAATTAAAGGAAGTAAGGGGTGTAGTACTGGTTTGGTTATTAGCTCTGAATAATGCTAAGACCCCTGTAGGGATCGCATCCATGACAATTGAAAACTCCCTGGGCGTCACTGGAATTTTATGGAGATCTAAAAACTCAGAGTAAGTTAGCAGCATACCTTCTTGATTTAGTAATTGACCTACTCGTATTATACCTGCTGAAAACCATCTTTCAAAAAATAAGGTTTTGTTTTTAAATAATAAATTGTAATTGTTCCAAATTAAATATCTATGGGTGAAAAATTATGCTTATATAAAAGGGACCAAGCCAGCAACATTTGTTTGTGAAAGCAAGACAAATTTAAAGGGATTTTCTCAATTTTATAGTTGCAAATCAATAGAAAATCAAGACCACCTACTTGGGAGAAAACAAGATTGGGTATAAAATTCCAAAGGGAATTCGGATTTAGAATGAAATGTCTAATCCAATTTATTTTAAAAACATTATTTAAAGTACTGAAATCAAGGAAGTTTAAACCACCAGATTCATAATTATTCATTATTATAGACTTCCTAATATAGTGAGTTTTGTTTCGCCAAAGAAAATTAAATAATGCAGTATCAATAGATTTACACATCACCTTAGAAACAGCAAGTGAAGTCGCAGTATAGACTAATCTTGACAGTCCCTCAGCTTTACATAACAAAACTCTACCTTTTAGGGATAAATCCCTCAAAAGCCAATGGTTCAGCTTTGCTTTAGCTTTCTGGAGAAGGGGATCAAAATTTATCTTACATCTAGATTTTTGGTCTTTCGAAATGACAATCCCTAAATATGTCACAGTCTCCTTTACTGGGATATTAGCAATTTGTTGTAATTGACAGTCTTTAACAGATAACAATTCACATTTGTTGATGTTTAAGTAAAGGCCTGAAGCTTTAGAAAAGGCATCTATTACTTTAAGAGCTTCTGACACTTGATGTTGATCTTTTAGAAAGAGTGCAGTATCGTCTGCTAACTGGGATATTATAATTTCCCTATTAGCAAAAGATATGCCTTTTAATTGGCTTGACTTAATATGGATATTCATGAGCTGAGTGCAAAACAAGAAAAGATAAGGGGAGATGGGACAACCTTGCCTTATACCACGGTTTAAATTAAATCTAGATGATGAACCACATTTAAGTTTAATAGAACAGTTTGCATTCCTATACATTGTCTGTATAGCGTTACAAAAAAAATCTCCAAAGCCAAACTTTTGTAAGGACCTAAAAATAAAAGCATGCTCCACTGTATCGAAGGCTTTATAGAAATCCAAGAAAAGAATAAATCCATCATCAGTACTTAAATGCGAATAGTCCAACACGTCTAGAACTAACCTTATATTATTTGAAATATGTCTTTTCTTTAGGAAGCCAGATTGAGCTTCATCTATAAGGGGGTCCATAACTGATTTGATTCTATTTGCAAAAATTAAGGCAAAGATCTTATAATCATTGTTTAAGAGAGAGATTGGTCTCCAATTATCTAATAGCAGAGGGTCTTTTTTTGGTTTTGGGATAAGAGTAATTAAACCTTGAGTTAAAGTAGGTGGAAGACAATGATTTTCTATGCTCTCTATATAAACTTCTTTAAGAAACGGGGCAATAAGATCAGAAAATGTTTTATAAAATTCAGCCGTGAGGCCATCAACCCCAGGAGATTTATTAACTTTAATATGTGTGATAGCATTTGAGACTTCCTCAACAGTAATTGAGCTATCACAAAGCTCTTTTTGTGCAGGGTCGACAGATTTACAATTTATTTCAGAGATAGAATTTAGAAATAAATAAGCCGAATGATCACAGAATTTGGAAGAATATAAACCACTATAAAATTCTGTACAAAATTTTGATATTTTAACTTGGTCGTCTGTGACATCCCCATCTATTTTAAGTTGTTCAATTGTATTATTTTTAGAATGAAATTTCTCTAGACCAAAAAAATATGCAGAGTTTTGTTATGTTAATGATCTTCCTATATATTAATCAGATAGGAGTGACGCTCCATTATTTCCCTCCACCAACGAAGGCGTGGCTTATGAATATTAATGACCAATCCTTCGTGTACATTAATTCGCGGACGGGAAGTAGCTGGACACCCACCTTACAAATCAGATGGGTGCTCTAGAATGCTGTTAAACCCTTTCATTTGGTCGGAACAATATTTTCTTTTATAGTATTTGTGTCGCTGAACACGCATATAGTAACAACTGACGTGGAGTGTGACGTATCACTGTTGTTAAAGTGAATCATCTTTACTGTAGGGATGCTGAGCTTTAGACAGGAGGCCTGAAACCATCATTTCTCCAGCATATCATTCATCCATCATCCTCCCAGCGCGATGGAGGAGATTCTCCGCAAGCTTCAGAAGGACGCGTCGGGCAGCAAACATAAAGCGATGCGGGACGCGTGCGGCGTCGCGCGCGGTAAGATGCACCTGTGAGCGATCAACCAAATGCGGATTCAGAGCAGATGGTCGCGCGCTCAGCTTATTAAAAATAATGTACAGTGTACAGTCAGAGCAAAAGTGTGCCCGGCTTTCGCGGATGTTTATGTACTGCAACTGAATCCTTATAACAGCTGTGACAGGGTGTGTTGTCAAATTGCACTTTTTTGGGGGAATGAAAACATGCGAATTGAAATTAAATAGTTTATATATATATGCATGCAACCTGTGTGCATTTAAACCATGTTTATTTCACTGTTATAGTGTTGAATGGTTTGGCTTCAAAATGCATGCAGTCAAAAATGGAAAAAGTCACATGTTAATACTGTTTTTGGACATGCACTATGAGTAATAATACTTTGGAGTACCATGCAAATTCAGTCGAACATGTTAATATGAATAGCGAATAGTGTATGTTGATAATATGAAATTATGATAATTAAGGCATGGTAAAACCACATTACTTTACTGCATTCATTGAAGCTTAAATGTTTTAATGGTTAATTTAATCTTTTAATTTTTATTTTGCTGGTAATAAAGATATTATAGTTTTTTTTTTTTTGCTTTTAGCATGATCCAGAAATTAATTAAATAACAGCAACATCATTATTATATTAGAATTAGTGCTGTCAAATGATTAATCCTGATTAATCGCATCCAAAATAAAAGTTTGTGTTTACATAATATATGTTGGTGCACTGTGTATAATTATTTATATATATATATATATATATATATATATATACACACACACACATGCGTGTATGTTTAAGAAAAAATATTATTTATATAAAAAAAAAATATATATATATATATAATATGAATTATATATAAATCTATATACAATATATACATGAAGATATTTCTTAAATATATACAAGCATGTGTGTGTATTTATATATACAAAATAATTATACACAGTGCACCCACATATTATGCGAACGCAAACTTTTATTATGGATGCGATTAATCATTTGACAGCCCTAATTAGAATATTTAATGAAATTAACTAATTGTATTAATGATAATAAATTATAACAAATATTTCAATTTATTGTAATCTTTAATATAATAAATATTTAAAGTGTTATAGTTGTAAGGCCCGTTATTCTGTGTTTAACTAATAGGCTGTTTGGGCAAAGGCAGTAGTTGAAGATGACGTGTAGCTTCATGACCTTAATTGACCTTTCATGCTGTGGCAATAAATGAGCGGCTCAAAACACTCCGGCTCATTTTACCGGAGCTATGAATATCTCAGATTACAGTATAGCAAGGCCCGGGTTGGGATTTTATCATGAGTAATTGCATTTCACAATAACGATATATATCTCAATATAGTTATTTTTGCTTTAAAGAAGGGTTTTATATCAGCAAATATTTGATACCATCATTTCAGTATCACAAATAAACTAATACTAGCCTACATACAAATTCGCAAGCTTACAGAAGACGAGTAAACAGTCAGTGATAACATACGAACAAATAAACTGATTACAGGCAATAGGACAACAGTAGAAATAAGAAATAGCGACTAGCCTATATGAATTGCATAATCAAATGTATAAAAAATCATAATCTTCACTGGTTAAATTAAGTCTATTCTTATTAAAGTGATTCAGTCAAGAGCATTGAGAGTTTTTCTCTTTTTTTGTTGTTCGATTAACATTAATAACACATTAGGCTGCTGTCACTTTAAGAGCCAATGCATGGATCCTGTTACACACGCGCTTTCTTTCTCCACAGTTTTCCTTCACTTAAGACATAAATTATGAGGATAGTTGCTTAGATGGGCATTTTGACACATGAGAGTGTGTATTTTACCGTTATTAGGCGGCAAAAAGCACTCGGTTCAGTTCCCGTGCGCTCTCGCTTGTCAGACTCAGAAACATGTGCATTTAGCGAAACGGTTTAACCTGTTTAAAACACATGATAGCACATCAACATTAACATTATGTTACATCAACGTCACGTGAGCGTATCCCGCCCCTACTTTAAATAATTAGGAATGATGGGGTTGCAAATTATTAATTTTTGGTCTATTTTGATATACTTTTCCCCTAATTTTGCTTGTGTTTGCACAGAGACCCTTCAAGCTCAGAATGGATCAGTTAAAACACCTCCATCTAAACTCAGGCAAGTGTTTTCCTTCCATATACCATATTTATATTGTCAGCGTTTGTATTTTCTCAGATATATAACCTTTATGATCCATACATAATCCATAAAAGACAATGCACATTTATTAGGTTTTGCATTACATTCCCTGTTTTTAAATCTTTCATTTATACACAGTGAAAAGCCATTGATAAAGTATTAAAATAACCAAATGTATAATAATTGTTCCTATATACCGTTGAAATGGGATTTTTAAAAAATATTTATTCATATAGCAGTGTCTGAGAATCCCCAGAGGCTGACAGTGACACTAGGAACTGCTTCAGTTTTATCTTTCATGTTCTGCGGTGTTCATTTCTGTGCAGAGAGAAGTGTTTATTCCCTCTTCGGCTGGCGCTGGAGTCTAAAAACACTAAACTGGCTCAGACTGCCCTCACTGGAATGCAGGTGTGTGCGTAACTCAACACACTTTTACATTTACATTTATTCATTTAGCTGACTCTTTTATCCAAAGCGACTTACAATTGCTATATATGTCAGAGGTCGCACGCCTCTGGAGCAACTAGGGGTTAAGTGTCTTGCTCGGGGACACATTGGTGTCTCACAGTGGATTCGAACCTGGGTCTCTCACACCAAAGGCATGTGTCTTATCCACCATTATTTAGGTACAAATAATAAAAGATAAAGCAGGACACAATCTATTTGGTCTCTGATTAGCCAATGTTAGACTTATAACTCATTTCGGGATGTTTGTACTAGAGCCAGACCGATATTATCGGCCGATATTAGGCATTTTCTAAAATATCGGTATCGGCAGTTATAATGGCCGATAAATGAATATTTCAAAAATAAAATAAAAACGGGCGAATCACGCTTCAACCATGTCATGAGTGTTGGAGTTTTATAGTTTGTCCACCAGAGGGCACTCTACACAGTCCCTGTTGGCAACAGTCGTGTATAACGCGCCACACATCCTGCAACCCGCTGATCCAGCCAGAGTCAGGCAGAGAGAACCAGTTATCCATTAACATATTATTTTAGTTAAAACTCATTATTAACTACAAATAACTAATGTTAGGGAAATCTGATAATATTTTATTGCTCGTTTCTGAAATAGAAAAATAATAAAAATATCGGCCGATATATCGGATTTTAAAACCAACAAATATTTGTATCGGTATCGGCCTTCAATATCCTTTATCGGTCGGGCTCTAGTTTGCACTATGGACATTAATAGACCATATCTTTGGACCAGAATATACAGAATTTATTGTAAAAATGGAAGCTGTGGTTGCCATAACTAAATCAGTTTTACAGATTGAACTTAAAGGGATAGTTTGGGTTGATTTCAAACATCAACAGTGTTTCTCAGAAATCGCTTACTGCACCTTTAATGAAATATAGGTGTTTTTTTTGTTTTGTTTTTACTTTAAATTTAAAGGGATAGTTCACTTTGAAATTAATTTTTGGTATGTTTTATCTTACCTCAAGGGCATCCGAGATGTAGGTGTCTTTGTTTCTGCAGTATTTTCAATTTTGACATTTTTAGGTGAAACCGTTCTTGTCAGTCATATAATGGAGGTCTATGGTCACCACCTCAAAGAGCATGCACAGAGAAGTCCAAATTAAACATGATTTAATGACTCGTAAATGTAAGTACACATTGATGGCCTAAGACACGAAACGAGCGGTTTGTGTGAGAAAACGAACAGTATTTATATCGTTACAGCCACAAAGCGCCCACGCACTCTCAGATCACTTGGACGTGGCTGTGATTACAAGAGGTAAAAACGATATAAATACTGTTCGTTTTCTCACACAAACCGCTCGTTTCGTGTCTTAGGCCATCAATGTGTACTTACATTTACGAGTCATTAAATCATGTTTAATCTGGACTTCTCTGTGCATGCTCTTTGAGGTGGTGACCATAGACCTCCATTATATGACTGACAAGAACGGTTTGACCTAAAAATATCAAAATTGAAAATACTGCAGAAACAAAGACGCCTACATCTTGGATGCCCTTGAGGTAAGATAAAACATACCAAAAATTAATTTCAAAGTGAACTATCCCTTTAAATTTAACGTAAAAAAAAAAAAAAAAACCCATCTATATTTCATTAAAGGTGCAGTAAGCGATTTCTGAGAAACACTGTTGATGTTTGAAATCAACCCGTCTAGGACACGCCCCCTACTCCAAACTATGATCAGTTTTACGGTGAATGCTTAGCAATGTGCAACCACTCACGTCTTATACGTTTATAATTCAGTTTACACATGGCAAAATGACCAGTGTTCGTTTTTATTTCAATAAATGTTGTTTAGTTCATACTTTTCTCAGTCTTTTGCATGTTTGTGTGTTGACAGAAGATCCTGTGTGAGGATTGCTTTGCCGCTGTGGAGAGCGAGGGCCCGGAGAAGCAGCTTCTGGGTCAGATCCTGGAGGCCATCCGGGTGACGCCCGCCTTACATGAAGACCTGCAGGTGGAGGTCATGAAGGTGTGTGTTTCTCTGCTCTACACCATCATCAGTGTGTGTGTGTGTGTGTGATTTGCGGGTTTGGCATGTTACTTTACAAAAAGTACTAGTTACTTCTCACTGAGTTACATCATTATAAAAGTAACTAAATACCAGGGAGAGTAACTATTGTATTTCTTTAAAAACAAACAAAAGGAAGTGCAAATATGTTAAATAACTTGGATTCCCCCAATATAACAATAAAACACACTAAATAGAAAACAAATATGATTATAAAACATTGTACACTAATCGACAATATTTTAATGTTGCTGCGGGACAATGTGAGAGACACCTATTCAAGTCAAAATATTATTGTAATCATAGTGGAACAATAAAACACAATATATTGTTTAGAACTTTTAATATTTATTGCTCAACTGGCCAACAAATAAGTCTAAAAATAAATTATGCTTCTTAAGAAACGCCCCAAAAACGAATAAACAGTAATACAAAATATACACACACACTTTGTAGTGCAAATTAAAATGATAAAACTGTCACACAACTGGTAGACATACTGTAGTGTTTTCTTCCTCACAAAAGTAAACAATTTAAAGGGATAGTTCAATTTGAAATTAATTTTTGGGATGTTTTATCTTACCTCAAGGGCATCCAAGATGTAGGAGTCTTTGTTTCTTTGATATTTTTCGGTCAAACCGTTCTTGTCTATCAGTCATATAATGGAGGTCTATGGTCACCACCTCAAAGAGCATGCACAGAGAAGTCCAAGTTAAACATGATTTAATGACTCGTAAATGTAAGAACACATTGATGGCCTAAGACACGAAACGAGCGGTTTGTGTGAGAAAACGAACAGTATTTATATCGTTTTTACCTCTTTTATAACGTCTTTATTCCCATCACTCATGATTTGTTCTGTGGAGAAAAGACGTTCCCACAACTGAGCTGGAATAGTCGGTGTCAAAAACAGTGTGTTGCTGCTTCTATCCGGCGTAATGAATTCAGTGTCCGCTCTGCACATGTCGTGTAATTGGACAGATTTGCAGCATTACTTGCACGTGTGTGTTCCTCATCTCCCGTTTCTAATCCTGAAGTGTCGTTCGAGGGGCTGTGATATTAAACGGCTAATGTTCTTTCTGTTGTAGGTCCTGCTTTGTGTCACCTACTCCTCTACATTTGAGATCAATGGACACAACATGTTGAGGATTGCTGAGGTGAGACTTGCTTTAGTGACGTTTGACTGACAGAATGAGACGTCTGACGTGACTCGTTGATGTCCTTGTCAAAGTTGACTGCTGCGCTGGGAAGATGTGCTTTAATGAGGACGATGCAGCAGTTCGTTTCGGGTCACACTTACACCGTGGCGTTCCACAAATCGCTTGCATGCAAACCCTGAGAACGTGATAGCCTTCGATTGCCTTCATTTGACTTTTTCCTGTTCTCTGCTGAGATTTCTTTCTGTCATTTTAGGAGCATTAAAGACCATACATACCATATTATTTCAACATTTTCATAACAATAATGGCACATTGCCACTATTTTTCATTGCAATAATAAAAAAAAAAATAAATAATAAGTTAATTTTCATTAATTTAATTAGAAAAAAACAACATCGATCTTATGAGTTCAGATGCAAAAGCCTCTAGTAAGTGCCATTTGAAATTTTCTTCTAGAATGATCATTTTTATCATTTTCTTGTATATTTAAGTTCAGTAATTTCGCTTAAATTGCAATGAGGATTACCTATTAATTGTCATTTAAGTGAAATTACTGAACTTGAATATATAAGCTTAATATAAGAAAATTTCCAATGGCACCTAGAGGCTTTTGCATCTGAACTATATTATTTAAAATATATATAGAATAATAAGGTATTTATGCACCATGACAGTATTTATTGTACCACTTTTTTTTTTGCAGATTTAAAGGGATAGTTCACCCTAAAATTATAGTTTTGTCATCACCCTCATTCACCTTACTTTCTCTCGTGGACCACAAAAGAAGTTATTTTGAAATATGTGTTCTTTGTCCATAACATGAAAGTCAATGGGGTCCAATGTTGTTTTGGACCCCATTGACTTTCATTGTATGGACATAAACATTTGAAATATTATTCAGCATTGTTTGTTTGTGTGTATTTTGCTGAAGACAAAAGTCATACAGGTTTGTGAATAAATGACGACAGAACTTTTATTTTTTTAATTACTTTTAAAGACCCTAGTTTTTAAAAGTTAGTTTCTCTGAGAGTCAAAATAAGCTAAAAAAAAAAAAATTTAAGACTAAATTAAGCCGAGTCTGACCCGTCTAGTGTCTGGCTCATGAATGGTGAGGTATCTCTTTAATAGTGAAAACTGTTTCTACACCAAATTTTATTTCATTGTATAAAAAGATCACAGTCTCTTTGTTTGCACTTGTTGTCCTTTCCCACTAATTGTCATGTTAAGGGAAATTTTAGATATGAACCATGCATGCGGATTTGATGTATTCTGCACATTTCAGACAGTTGCATGCTAAGTGATCAGATTTCACAATGATTGTCTGTGCAGACTGGCGTCTAACTTTATTATCTTGCCCCTGGTTGGCCATAAACGGCTCATAAAAGCCCATCATCACGTTTAATGTGTCTGGTAGCGGCAGACTGCTCTTATTTTCACACAGGACTGTTGAGGAGCGTAGGGAACAGGCCATAAACATGAGGCTTGTGCAGTCATACACACAAATCTTTATAATCCTCACATCCAGCTGTGCATTAAACTATTTTAATGCATGATGATAGTGCATTCAAGTCATTTAATGCACAGCTAGCTGTGGGTTATGGCGCTTATACCATGTCCGAATTTTTAAGTTCAAGCTGTCATTGATGTTTGCAGCACTAAATGTGACTGGTAGCAGTTATTTTCATCAGTTACGGCTCGTTGGATCCAGCATTTTGCCCGCTTTGAGTCAGACACGGAGATAAAGCAGCGATTAGATTACATTTATTTGAATGAATTGAGAGAGAGATGCGTGTGTGAATTACCTGCGTCTGTGCAGCGTCATAAGACCTATTCGGATGGGATAAGTATTACCTGGTGACCTCTAGTCATTTGTAATAATTGCGGAGGTAGTCTGTGATTTTAATCCCGTGGGAATCGGCCATGTCTGTAATTTGTAAAGCATAAATTCCCCCGCAAATGACCGTCTATATTTCGGCGAACACGAGGTCGTGTGATAATATTAGTCCTGTGCGAATCGGCATCTCTGGGATTTGGCGGGGTCGTTTATCATTTTCTCAAGGTTTTTGATTCCTGTGTGCTTTTTTATCCAACTTTCACGAAGAATGGAGTGTTTTGATAGTGTTTTGGGTGTTTCGCTATACACCATACAACTATACAATTTGCTGAAAGATAAGGCTGAAAACCATCAAAAGAGCGATAACAAAACGAATGATTAGATGGAGATGGAAGAACATTCTTCTGTTTATGATATATCATACAGACCTACAATAACGACAAGACATTTCCAAGCAATAGCCCACTGACAACATATCCGGGAGATAAGTCAATAAATTTGAGTAAAATTACAGGCTTCGTTATCGCTTATATGTGTGTGTGCAAAGCTATTTTATTAATATACTGTGCGGGAGTGATGATGATAACATGTTTCTGTGTTTGAGTAGCACTATCTATATACTGTAAGTGTGTTAATATAGATCAGTGATTAAACTGACCTGTGCATTAAACGGTTAACCAGCCAATCAGATTCGAGTATTCAGACAGACCATGGTATAAAGAATAACGTGAGATTACAACATAATAACTAGGGCTGGGCAACGATTCGCATCCAAAATAAAAGTTTGTGTTTACATAATATATGTGTGTGTGGTGTGTATAATAATTTTGTTTAAATAAATACACACACATGCATGTATATATTTAAGAAATATTTGCATGTATACACTTTATATATATATACATAATTAATATTATGTATAAATATAAATATTTGATATATTAATAACACATTTTTCTTAAATATATACATGCATGCGTGTGTATTTATATCTACAAAATAATTCTACACACTACGCACACATATATTATCTAAACACAAACTTTTATTTTGGATGCGATGAATCGCGATTAATCGTTGCCCAGCCCTAATAATAACACAAGTGTAGATTGTTTGTAAGGTATAAATAATAGAACAAAAGGTATGACTACTGTTTAAAGTAAAGACACATGATATTTGGAGGAGTTATGGTTGCCAAACGTTAATGCCAAACAGGTGCACTAAAAACACCTTGACACCATTTGATTAATTGTCATCGCAAAATTGCTTCTGAGAAAAGGTCTTGCTGTACTTGTTTGATGTAGTCTATTAGACATGCAGACGTTTGTGTCCAAATATTATTTAAGGGCTGCTAAATGAGTTGATTATTACCTATTCTTTTGACTGAGCGTTTTGATTTTATATAAGGCAGTTGTTTTTTAGTGACCAACCCCCGGCGAAGGCCTTTCTCCTGACGTCTCACTTCCATCATGAAACTAATGTTCCAGCGGCGTGTCGTTGGTTGCCGTGGTTACAGGTACTAGTGCCACGTCTCGGATCCTTTTTCCATGAGCGAGCGAGCGAGTCACACGACGGCAGATGCTCAGCTCCGTCTCTCTGTTTGCTAATGGAAGATTCCCTCTCAGAGTCACTTTGTTGATCAGGATTAACAGAGAGATTTCCACGTCATAAACACACACTTGCAGCAATCAATCAAAACCAACCATCCATCCAACTTTCTTTCTTTCTTTCTTTCTTTCTTTCTTTCTTTCTTTCTTTCTTTCTTTCTTTCTTTCTTTCTTTCTTTCTTTCTTTCTTTCTTTCTTTCTTTCTTTCTTTCTTTCTTTCTTTCTTTCTTTCTTTCTTTCTTTTCTTTTCTTTTTTTCTTTCTTTTTTTCTTTCTTCCTTCCATTCTTTTTCATGTATCTGTTTTATGTAAAAAAAAAAAAAAAAAAAAATTCCCTAAAGAAACAACAGCCCCCGTGAAATCCTTTTTCGTGACCAAATTCCTTTTTTTCTATTACATTTTTTTTGGGATTCCTATTTAATTGTTCAAATAAATTATAGTAATCTAAAAATAAAAAAATTCATTCTGATACATTCTGATAAAAAACAATCATGTCTAATCAATTGAATAATATCGTATTTTTTGCGATAATAAGGCCCTATAAAATGCTTTATTTATTTTTATTTATTTATTTATTTATTTTTTGTGGAAATTTTTTTTCTGGCTTTATGTACGAATTCAAATATAAAACATTTTAATAAGTCTTTTAAAATGTAATCAAATGAAAATGAACAAATTATATTTTTGGCAAACACAGTACTTGCCCTACAAAGATTTACTGTTAAAACTAATACATGGAAGAATTAAATGATATTTTTTATTACATTATTACTTTGAGAAGTACATTTCACTGTACAATAGTAATATGTTTCTGTCAGTTTCTTTAATTTTGATGGGTTGACGTGAAGAGCATTTCTGTGTGTATCTGGAGATTGTTTTCTCAAGTGGAAAGTGACTGTCAGAGTGACTCCGGAGATGAAGTTCATGTGTTCCTCATATAGTGAGACGGCAGAGGCTGAAAACACATGCCTTCTAGCTGTAGGACCCGTTTAACCATTTAACCTTTTTCAATCATGTCCATGATTGTGTGTGTGTGTGTGTGTTCATATAGCAAGTGCCAAAACCTTAACCAAGTTTCGTACCATTCTGATGTAGTTAAAAATTCTAAAAAACCATAAAATCAAAATGATGACGTGCAAAATATCTACAGTGGCTTTAAAAGGGAATGATGGTACCTTTCATTGCCACAGCGGAACAAAGTCAGTTTGTCATGGTGGATATTAAAAGTTGCTCAATCTCGGTTGCGTCTTTGTGTGCCTCCAGGTGTGTATCGAGACGTACATATCGAGTTGTCATCATCGCAGTATCAACACAGCGGTCAGGGCCACTCTCAGCCAGATCCTCGGAGACCTCGCTCTACAACTACGCCATCGACAGGAAAACACAGTGAGTCATGTTTCACAGATCGCAAGCACATATCTGATCTCTTATTACACTGCTCTCTGAAATATGCTTGTGTGATTGGTCAGTGGTGGCATTCTGTTGTCAGATATGTTGGTAACACTTTACAATAAGTTCTCATTTGTTAACATTACACACATGAATGTGCTGTGAGTGATATACTGTTTATGTTTTATCTTTGTTTATGTTGTTAATAAAACTTCTCAGGTAATTAATGTAACCATGGTTCCCTGAGAATAAGGAACGAGACGAGGGAATGCCTCAGGCTTTACTGGTGTCCAAAGCATATGTAACCATACATATTAAACCATAGACTGTAAAAAATAAGCCCAAAGTGGGCAGAGCCGGCTGTCGCCATCTTGGCAGCGCGTCACTCCCGGATAACCGGAAATGGGGTTAAGAAAGAGGCGGATTATCTAAGGTGACGCAACGCTTAACAGACAGCAGACAAACGGCTAGCTGCTATCCACCTGTCACTCAATTGACCAAGCCCTTAATTGCGCAGAACTTTAAGGCTTAATATAATTAAAACGGATGAGTTATAAAAATATTCACCCCCCTCACAGTCGTCACGAACGGCAAAATTAGCAATATGGACCAAAACCACTTTTTGCACCAGGCTGTAAACATGTTTATTTCTGCTGTAAAGTTGGGCATTTTAACAAGAGGAGTCTATGGGATTGACTCTCTTTTGCAGCCTGTCCCTAGTGGCCAGTCGATGAACTGCAGTTTAAGTCACTTCTGTGTCGGATTCGCAAGAGAGGCCGGATGGTTGCCGCTCTGTTTAGACTCAGGTTTCAGACACCAGTGTTGCCGAGTCATTTCCGATAGCGCCCTCTAGGGGATGCAGTGCGAGTTCCAAAGGGAAATACATTTGTTCAGTGTTTGTTCATGTTTTAATAATCTAATTAATAATCACAAATTTTGATTTAAAAAATGTATTCGTAAATGTTAAAGTTAAGATTAATAAATGCTGTAGAAGTAGAAGATTTGTTTATTCTTAGTTAATAAAGGAAACCTTGCTGTGAAGTGTTATGAATTTAAATTTTTTGTATAATGACCATCGTCCTGAACACAATCATAGCTGAACTCAAATCAAGATTTATTTTTTCCTACTTTTGTTAAGTAGCCATGTAATAAGCTACTCTAATTTTTCATTTTTAGATTTCTTAAATATTTCTTGAATGTTAAGCATGATTTGATGTTATGAAATTGGCATTTTTGAATGAGTCTGATTGGATTTTTACAGGGTTTTGATGCCGAGGAACGTTGCATTCCTGTGCACCAGCGCAAAGGTACTCACGCAATCGATAAGCCATGAAAACAAGCTTTCACTTGACGACGCATCCGTCAAACTGTCCGTTTAATAATTTTCATGTTGCTGATAATAAACCACAACCATTCTCATTGCTTAACCTTTACTGGTGATAACAGCTGCCAGTTAAAGCGGCTCAGCTCTTCTGGAATCTACAAACAAAGGACTTTCCTTTTTTAAACCGAGACTTGCATTGCCATCTCTGTTAGGTATACATGCAATGCTGTCTTAAAGGGATACTCCACTTTTTTTGGAAATAGGCTCATTTTACAACCCCCCAGAGTTAAACAGTTGAGTTTTACCGTTTTAAAATGCATTCAGTCGATTTTCTGATATTTAGAAGAATATCTGTAACCAGACAGTTTCTGGTCCCATTGACTTCCATAGTAGGAAAAAAATATACTATGATAGTCAATGAGACCAGAAACTGTCTGGTTGGTTACTGATATTCTTTTAAATATCAAAAAATCGTCTGAATACATTTGAAAATGGTAAAACCCAACTGTTTAAATCTGGGGGAGTGGTAAAATGTTTCCAAAAAAAAAAAAGCGGAGTATCCCTTTAAAACTGGGCCAAATTAAAGGTGCAGTAAGTGATTCCTGTAGGGTTAGGGTTATATTGTTGTTGTTGATATTTGAAATCACTGAAACAAACACGCCCCTTCCCAATAGGACCACACCTCCATCGTCGTAGCTCCGCCCCTTACACATCCCCATTATGAGTGGACACACCCTTTACTGCTGATTGGCTACCACTTTCAACAGTGTGTCAGAAATTGCTTACTGCCCCTTTAAGGTATTTTAGAAGGCAGTATACACATATGTAGTTGGACGTGTTCTGAAATACAAAGACAAAATGCATCCTGACTTGAATTTGGAGTCTTTTAGGCTATTCTGTCCCATGAAAACCTAGAAGAATAGGTGCCTGAAATTGCTGTTTAGATAACTGCTTATTAGGTTCAGATCTATAATGTTTTATACATAGTCTGATTTATAATTAATATTCACAAAGTTTTTTTGAGTGCAGCATAAAACGTAATGTTATATTTTTAAATTGCTTGCTTACACTTTTTATGTGCCAATTATTAGTTATTTATTATGTATGTTTTCAGATGTCTCTCCTACTACTGATGCGCTGTATGAAGATGTTGTTATGGTGCTCACTGTTTTCTGTGACAAACTGGAGTCTGTCTCAAAGTAAGCTTTGCATGTTATTAACTTGTTGTAGTCATTATTAGTAGGCTAGTATTAGTGATGACTATTGTTTGGGGTGTGTGTAGATGAGAATCACTTTTACTATAGAACTTACTGAGCAAAATCTCAATTAAACTTCTGTCAAAATGCATGATTGATGATGCGTCAAATCGTGCGTCTAGTTTAGGAGAGGAGTGCTAATACTTTTCTAATCTGTTTTATGATTTTTGCCTGATGAAGAATAAAAGGGCATGAAAAACCCATTGACTTGCATTAAAGGCAAAACACAAGCCATATATAGACTTGAAATATGTCACTTTGCATGTAATGAGTCTATATAATATATTAGTTTCACCTTTTAAGTTGAATTACTTAAATAAATGAACTTTTGCACAATATTCTAATTTTTCGAGTTTCACCTGTAATATAGTCAATGCTGACTTTGAGCAAATCTGTTACACTCTGTGTCAGAATATGCCTACTTCCTTACTATATAGTTGGTGAAAGTAGTATGTCTGAATTAGACAGTGTTAAGTAGGCGAACAAAGCCAACATGACAGATGTAGTACACAGTGCACACAGATTTTATTTATATTACATACATTCATACTATATTGAATGCACTTTTTAAAATGGTAATTATGAAGTTTGTTCCTCCTCTAATGTTGTACCTACTCGGGCAGTATGCCATTTTGCAAGTGCGCTAGTGTTTCATCAATGTGACGAGAGATGTGTGTGTTCTTCTTCAGTGAAAACCAGCTGCTGCAGTTGTTGTACCTGGAGTGTATTCTGTCTATGCTGAGCAGCTGTCCTCCCACAATGCACCTGCATCGTAATTTCACTGACCTCATCTGGTGAGACTTGTTTAAATCAAGGATGTTGACAACTTTATCTAGTTAAACATAGCTCAGCTTATGCATAAATACTACTTTTTTTATTTGAAATATTTTCTAAATCGCATTAAATTAACATCAATTGACAGCCCTCATAATCATACATTTGACCATATGATTGCAAGTGTGAATTAATGACTGTGTATGTTTTAAGCTTACACTGTAAGTGTGGAAAAAAGGCAAAACATTGTCAAATTAATTAATATTAATTCATAAAATTTTCAACTATTTGTACAGCATGTAAGTATTAGCGTTAAGTTGTGGCATATATTAGTGTGAAACAGCTTCTGGAATGAGAAACAAAATGTAGGCGGGGCTTGATTTTGTCTGTGGGGAATCGATTGGATGGTTGTGGTTTGCTATTGGTTGATCTCATGTGAGTGACAGGTTGCCCCGCCCTCATCATCATCAGAGAAGAGTAAGAGTAAGTTATTCTGATTAAAAATGATGATGCCCATGAATTTAAAAAAAAATGAATGTGAACTGAAATAAATTAGGGTTGTCAATCAATTAATCGCAATTAATCGCATCCAAAATAAAAGTTTGTGTTTACATAATATATGTGGGTGCACTGTGTATAATTATTTTACATTACTGTATACACACACTTGTTTGTATATATTTAAGAAATATTTTCCTGTATATATAATTTACATTATATATACATATAAATATTTAATATATAAATAATATTTTTTTCTTAAATATACATGCATGTGTGTGTATATATATATATATATATATATATATACAAAATAATTATACACAGTGCACCCACATATATTATGTAAACACAAACTTTTATTTTGGATGCGATTAATCGCGATTAATCGTTTGACAGCCCTATGATAAATACTAAAATAATCCATAAAAAAATTAAGAAATGCCTTTTTTGATTTCATACTGACTAAAAAATGATGGTCTAAAAGTATTCTCCACCATAATTCAATGGGAACCATGGTACTAGCAGGTTAAATCCAAAAAATGGTATCAATGTACAATATCCAATAAACACGTCTATTTTTTTTGTAAACGCATAATCTGAATTTATGTTACTTTGGTCTTATAAATTGATTATTGTGATTCTGAGAGGAACATGGTCATCAGTGTGTCCTGTCTGTACACAGGAAGCAGTTGTGTCCGACTCTGGTGGTGATTATGGGAAACCCCGCGAGTGATAAAAGCATCAGCTCCGCCCACGGTGGGCCGTCTCAGGACTCGGACGCGGCCCCGGGGTCAGGGGTCTCGGACCAGGGCCGGGGTTCTGGCTGCTCGTCGAGCGCTCCCGGCATGATCGGGCCCGTCGTTCGCACCATCTGCTATGTGGCCGCGGAGTTAGTCCGCCTGGTGGGCTGTATCGAGTCCATGAAGCCAGTGTTGCAGTCCCTGTACCACCGTATTCTGCTCTACCCCCCACCCCAGCACAGAGTGGAGGCCATTAAGATTATGAAGGAGGTGAGGAATCACAAATGAGACTGAGACACACCAAACTGACAACAAAGAACTAGCTTCACGTCACCAGCGTCTGGGCCACAAAGTTGCGCTTGAACACACTTCGACTTCCATTGAATGTTGCCAGACGTACGATAATTATCATATTTGTACGACCATTTTGGTTCCGCTTTATATTAGGGCTGTCAGTTTAACGCGTTATTAACGGCGTTAACGCAAACCAATTTTAACAGCGTTAATTTTTTTATCGCGTGGTTAACGGTCTTTTTGTCCTAGCAAACTTTGTAGTTTTTTTTACATGCTTTTGCAACAGGACGGCATGCGTCCTGATCCATTTCGGCGTCTCGCGCTCTCGTCATCCACTCAAAGCCGGCTCGCAAGCCCAAACGTGTGTTTGCGGCGTGCCTGTTGTTTTGTTTACGGTCTAGATCCGCTTGTGCTTTGGGCAAAGAAGCAACAAAATGTCCTCGTGCAGCGCAAGCCATTGAAATGAATGGGTTTCAGATCGCAGCGCGAGGACGTTTTGTTCCGCACACACTCGTTTCGGCTTGCAAGGTAACGTTTTGAGTGGATGTCGAGCGCGAGACGCCGAAATGGATGCCCTAAGATACTGAATGGAAAGTTTACTTTTAAAAAGTTGCCAAATTGTCCCATTGACAAGACCAAGTGATCTGTGTTTTGTCGTTGTGAACTGAGCGATCATCATCGCAGCACGTCCGAAACACCGCTTGATGATGGCCAAGCAAACACACACACACACACACACAGATGATGCGAATTCTCCACCCCCTCGTCAATATCAGGACCTCGTCAGTATTTCTTTCACCCTTTTATTGATCAGTGTTACATTGTGTGAGAGATTATTTGTATATGTTTGTGTGTGAAATTGAACACTATTCCAATGTTATTTTCAATAATAATAATAAAAAAAACATTTGCACTAACAAGCCAATCCACTTTCCCATGTTGATATTTTTAATTAAAAAAAATAATGTAACAAAAAGAAATCAAAAGACATTTGAATAGAAAAAAATGTGCGATTAATCGCGAGTTAACTATGACATTAATGTGATTAATCGCGATTAAATATTTTAATCGTTTGACAGCACTACTTTATATCGATAGTCCATCGTTCTAACCAGGGCCTGAAGTTAATTTTTTCGGCGCAGTGGCCGGTGGATTTAAAAATTCACCTGCCACAGAGACTTTTTACCAGACATTTTTTTTGCCTCATAAACGTAAAAAAAAAAAAAAAAAAAACCCGGGAATTTCACAATATTTTTCTTTAACTTGTAAGAATAGCCTACACATTTAAGTGCTGTCAAGTAATAATAACTCTAATAACATACATTTAAAAAAAAAATCTTTTTATTCATTGATTAATTGACAGACACACACACACACACACACACACACAACATATATAGTATAGGCTATACGAGCTGCGGTAGGTCTATCTGTTGAGTATACTATATAGTATACTCAACAGATAGACCTACCGCAGCTCGTAAACAAATCACACGCGGCTGTGTTGATGGCGGATTTAGTCACGTAGGTCTTACTCTTAACAGCTTTTAGTTACAGCGTTCAGGAACGGTTAAATATGAACTAAATTAATACTGTTATTACTGATAAAATTACCGGGTACCGGACATTTTCTCACCGGTTCCCAACTCCCAACATGCACAGTTGCACACGCACACACATCTGTGCAACTGTCATTGTACTTTAACCTGCAACAGCGACGTGTTACATTATCTCATCCCATCTCATCAACAGTTTAATACTCGCATACGTAGTCAGAAAAAGAGCCTCATCTTCTTTCTGATCGCATGAATGTTACGAAACAACAGTCGCTGTCATAAATCAGCCGCTCACGAACCTTGCCATTGCCGCCGATTGTTCACTTTGTAATAAAATGTCTTCTTTACTTTTCTTTTTCTCATCCTCATCTTTTTGTTGGCTGTTTGTTTTGTTTCAGCTGGCCTCTTTACCCCAGTAATGTGCCGCCACATTTTAGCTAAAGTCCAACGCAATAGCGGACTTCGTTGAAATGTAAAAATCCTAATGAATCACTCACAATTCTCATTGGCTACCTGCCAATGTGGCAGGTAGATTGACAGTGTTACTCGCCAATAGCAAAATTCACCCGCATTTGGCAGGTGGTCGGGTGTTAATTTCAGGCCCTGGTTCTAACTATAAGTAACTTTGCAATTTCGACTAACTGTCATTAGAGTATGACTACTCTAGAGTCAAGTAAAGTGACTACAGATACAGAGGGCTCTATCTTGGACCCGGCGCAAATGACTCTGTACACCGACGCATGTATCGTTCGTATTTTGCACCCGTGCAAAGTGAACTTTTCCCGCCACAGACGCACGTCGTTAAACTAGGGAATGAACTTGCGCTCCCTGGGCGGGTCGGCGCTAAAAGGAGGCGTGTTTCGGCGCAAACAATCCCTATTTTGCAGTTCCAGAAAACAACTGCGCCACTGACCAGAAAAAACTCCAGTCTAAAGTCAGTGGCGTTGCGCGTACATTCAGATGCTATTTTAAGAGCGCATGCTTGGCCATATTACAGAGTGTGAACAACACACACACACGCTGTAGATGATTCTCTCATCTACACAGATGCATTTTACTTTATGCAAATGATACATTATTATAAGGAAAACTATTAAAACACGAGGGAAATCATTGTTGTGTCCATGACGATGAGAAAAATAGGCATAAAGCTAACACATTTACCCAAATTATTATAAGCATGTTTAACCGAAGCTAATTTAGGTGTGTTTGTCCCATCCCCAATGTCACTTCTCTTTCTTTTACGGCCCTGACGAGAACATCGATCTCCTCGGCTGTGAACTGATTGAATAATAGTATTGCTCCATGGAACAAGCGCACCTCGTTCATCACGCTCTTAAAGTGAATGTGAGATGACGCTCTTATTGGTTTATTCCCGTTACGCCCCAAACCACATCTATGAATAATGAAGCTACTTCAGACCAACCCCTTTTAAACTTGCGTCAGGCGCAAGAGTCATTTATCCCGCAGGTAAAATAGCAACAGTGCCCAAGACCCGCCCACAAAATAGAGCCAAGAGATTTGTGCGATTTTCCGTAACGTGTTTCTCCGTATTTACAGTTCTTTTCAGCCTTTAGCCACTGCTTCACTGGAAACTGAGAATAACTCACTCCAACTAAATGTTTAGTCTTTGGATTCATGCACTCGGGAACAATACAGGTCCTTCTCAAAAAATTAGCATATTGTGATATTTGAAGTTCATTATTTGAACTTTATCACAATATGCTAATTTTTTTAGAAGGACCTGTACAAGTTTGCTAAGAAGAATTTCCTACTAAAGCAAGGGGGTATTTGATTCTGGTAAGCATATCCATAGCAGACTAGGACTTGTTGTCCTCTTTTGTAAAGTCATTTAAATGCTGTTGTGGATTTTTTGTTGTAGTTTCCCTTCACGCCTAGAGACGTATACCAAACTATGATGACTCTCGCTTCTAACAACCCCTGAATTGTGAAAGACATTCATATTTGAGTGTACTGAGGTTTTGTGTCTGTTGTTCCTCTCGCCCCTGCAGATCGTGGGAAGCCCCCAGCGCTTGTTTGACCTGGCTGGTCCATGCCTTATTGAACCTGAGACGAGAAAGAGGTCTTTCTCAAAAAGGAAGTCGCATCTTGATCTTCTCAAACTGTAAGCTATTTTGTTTCTAATTTATTCTAAGATTAATGTACATCACTTTTCAGACTAGACAAACACGAATTGCCAACATGGGTAACACACTGATCCGAGCAAACCAGATGAACATGTCTGTTGCCGTTGATTAATGTTTGTCAATGTAGAGTAATTGGCCTTAAAAGTGTGTCTTAAAGGAGTAGTTGACTTTAAAAAAAACTTTTGCTGATAATTTACTCACCCCCATGTCATCCAAGATGTCCATGTCTTTCTTTCTTCAGTCGAAAAGAAATTACGTTTTTTGATGAAAACATTCCAGGATTTTCTTAATATAATGGACTTCATTGGGAACCAAACGGTTCAAGGTCCAAATGACAGTTTCAGCGCAGCTTTAAATGACACCAGACGATGAATCTTTTTTCAAGTCATTTCGTTCGTTGATTTGTTCATTTCGATGAACGAGTTCGAACAGGAGAGTCACGAACGCGCATCACAGAACAGAACAGAAGTTATAAAAGTTATAAAACTTAAAATGTATTTATTTATTTTTAAAATGACCGCTCGTTTGGCTAGATAAGACCCTTATTCATCGTCTGGAATCATTTAAAGCCCTTTGAAGCTGCACTGAATCTCTCATTTGGACCTTGAACCGTTTGGTTCCCATTGAAGTTCATTATATGGAGAAAAATCCTGGAATGTTTTCATCAAAAACCGTAATTTCTTTTCGACTGGAGAAAGAAAGACATGGACATCTTGGATGACATGGGGGTGAGTAAATTATCAGCAAAAGTTTTTTTTTAAAGTGAACTTCTCCTACTCCTAATTTTTACCAATGAGTGCCACCATCTTCCCCATTTTCTCAGGGTAATGGATGGTATAACAGAAGCATGCATGAAGGGTGGAATTGAGGCGTGCTACTCCTCCGTCTCCTGCGCTTGTGCACTATTGGGTGCTTTAGATGAGCTCAGTCAAGGGCGTGGCCTGCAGCCAGACCAGTCTCGAATGCTGCTGCGGCGATTGGATGATCTGAAGGAAGGGGCGGAGTCAATGCGTGAGCCTGTAGAACTCAACGAAGCTGATTTCCGCTGGCAGCGGCGCGTGCTTTCGGCTGAGAACGCCGCCTGGGAGACCAGCATCGCCGAACGCAGCCCTGACATCAGCATCAGCGTCACGACCGACACGGGCCAGACCACTGTAGAGGGGGAGATCGGTCAGACCACTCTGGAAGGGGAAATGGGCCAGACCACTCCAGAGGATTTTGGGGAGGGACAACGCCTACCTTCGCCGTCTACCGGCGGGGCCGCGGATCTCCCCGAATGTGTACGAGACAGTGGCGTCCCAGAAGCCCCGTCCGGCACGGCCCCTCCCGATGTAGTGCAGCGCAGTCACGGCTTGGCCTACCCTGACATCACCAACTTTCTATCCGTGGAGTCTCGGACGCGCTCGCACGGCTCACGGTACAGCGAAAGCAACTTCAGTGCGGATGAGCAGGAGCTGTCGCGCTATGAGTTCGATTCGTGTGACCAGTACTCCATGGCTGCCGAAAAGGACTCGGGACGCTCCGACGTCTCCGACATGGGGTCTGACAACTGCTCTCTGGCTGACGAGGAGCAGACGCCGCGGGAGTGTCCGGGCCACCGTACGCTACGCACGGCTGCTCTGTCCCTGAAACTGCTGAAGAACCAGGAAGCAGATCAACAGAGCGCCCGGCTCTTTGTGCAGTCTCTGGCTTCACTCCTGCCTCGCCTGCTGGGACTGCACAGCACCACCGATGTAGACGTGTCCCTGCAGAACTTCTCCACCACCTTCTGTTCGGGTCTGCAAGCAGGTAACATGCCGAATGTTGTCTACAATAATTAGCCCTTTGACGGTATTCATTTATGAGTCACGTCCTGGGCCTTCCCGGTCAGAAGTGACCGGAGGCCTAGAAATGAAACTTCTTTCATCCCAGTAAAACCAATGCAATTTATTTTTGTTCTATAATATTTATTCTTTTTAATTTAGTATTTTGAGACAATTTGATTGAATTTATTAATATTTATGCAATATTTATGGTCTATTTTTTCAATGGAAATATATATATATTTTTCTATATATATATATATATTATTATTATTTTTTTAAATATTAATGCAGTATTTTTGTTTAATATAGAGTCTAGGACTTCAGAAAAAACTTTTTTTTTTTTGAAGAAAATTAGCATCTGGTTACAGTAGAGAGAAAAAGCGTAGAATCATGGTGTAACCACTAGATGACATGTACAGCTCTCTATGGAGAGGCATGTGAATTACCCAGCTGTTTATGAACACATTTTTTTTTGGGGTGGATTTGAATATATCATTGAAACAATCTCATGAACTAATTCTTATTAAATTTGTAAAAAAAAAAAAAAAAAAATTGAATTTTTGTGTTTTTGTCAATTTCCCATTCATTTTCTATGGGGGTCATTTTTGACCAAAGACCAAAATCGTGACTAATTTTTTTTACGACCACTTAGCATGCTCGGATCATGAACTCAATTTTTGTGTGTGTTCACATACCTAATGCCAGAAATGTCACCAAGTTTCGTAACATTCAGATGAAGCTGTGATTTTTAAAAATTCAAAACAGATTTTTTGTAGTCTGAATTTATTGGTGTGTATGTGTAAAAAAGTGTGATTGTATGTGTGTGTGTGTGGGGGTAGGTGTAAATTTTTTGCACTCTTGATGTTGTAGAGTGTCACCCCTTTTCTGCGGTGTACTTCTTTTAAGAATCGTGGCCGATTTGTAGATTGTACAAACAAAAATTTGTAGTTGTTTTTTTGTAAATTTCCCATTCATTTCCTATGGGTCGGTCATTTCTGACCGAAGACCACGAGTGTGACTATTTTTTTTATGACCACATAGCCTGCTTGGATCATGACCTCAATTTTTTTTTTGTATTCACATACCAAATGCCAAAAAAGTCACCAACTATCATAACCTTCCGATGAAGCTGTGATTTGTTTGCAAATGCGTTTTTTGTTTGAGCGCCCCCAAGATGTGTTTTACTGTAACTTCAGAAGCTCCAAACACGTGAGCAAAAGCGCCAATCTCATTGGTTAGATAGTTTTTGACGTAGCGAGTCAAACTAAAAAAACGAACCCGAGGCGTTTTTTAAAAAATGACGCTTTTATGCGTGGCGTTATACACGTCGGTGTGCACACTCACATTGGCTCATTCAACGAACGAAATGAACGAATTGACTTTGAACAGGAGAGTCACGAACGCACATTTGAGCTTGTAAAAGCTTTTTTTTTTTAAATGAGCGCTCGTTTCGCTTGATAAGATCATTATTCATCGTCTGGAATCATTTAAAGCCCTTTGAACGGTTTGCACTGAAACTGTCTTTTGGATCTTGAACCGTTTGGTCCCCATTGAAGTCCATTATATGGAAAAAAATCCTGGAATGTTTTCATCAAAAACCTTAATTTCTTTTCGACTGAAGAAAGAAAGACATGGAAATCTTGAAAGACATGGGGGTGAGTAAATTATCAGCAAAAGTTTTTTTTTTAAAAATTGAACTCCTTAAACATTACAAAAACACTTTACCTTTGTCATTGGTGAATCTGGAAAATCATTCATAATCTTGTCATCGTCAGACCTATGGTTATTGGCCTATGCCAAAATGGCCAAATATCAGTAGTTTTTATTCAGGTTGGGTAATTTATGAATACTGACGTTTAGTTGAATCCCCCTTTAAAGGGTTCGTTCACCCCAAAATTTGTACTTACCCTCATGTCGTTCCAGAAGCCCATACGACTCGCGTCATATAAGATATAATATCGAGGTATAATTTAGGTCAACACACATACATAGTGCTCATCAAATCTGGTAAACAGAAGCTCAGACTTGCCTGAATGGATGTAATATGATGTTATTATGTGGTCTTATTCTCCAGGTGGGGTTCATTCTCCAGGTTTCGAGGGCAGTGAAAACCTGAACTGTCAGGCTCTGATGAATGCGGATGGATTGTACCTGGTTTCCTATTATGCTTTACTGCTCAACCTCAAACTGTGCTGCTGTGACTTCTACCACAGGAAACCCACGTCTGCTCTGGTGTCTTTGGTACTCCTGCAAACCTGCTTTATTTACCATACACTTGAAATATCTCTGAATTAACTGAAGGCTGGCCCACACAATCTGCTGGTGATGTTGAATGATGTGTGTGTGTGTGCAGAAGGAGTTTGTGCGTCAGATCCAGAGCAGTGGGGTTCTGGTGGTTCTGTCTCAGGCCTGGATCGAGGAGCTCTATAACCAGGTTTTGGACAGGAACCTGCTGGGAGAGGCGGGATACTGGGGCTCGGCAGAGGAGCAGTCTTTACCTCTCATCACCATGCTCACTGGTAATACTCCTTCGTGTGTTATGAACTGTGGAGGTCTCAAATGAGCAATTATTGGTTCAAACCCTTGGTGTGAAGGATTAAATATGTAACATATACAGTCAAACAAACATTTATTCAGAGACCTTCAACATTTCTCACATTATCACAGTTTATTCGCTATAGTTTAGAAAATAGTAATGAAATATGAGCAGAACTCAGTTGATATTTCACTGGTTTTGTCCGTCCTTCTGTTAGAGTCTCACAGATGAATTATGTTGAATATCTGTCAGCTGTTAAATTTAACTACACAATTACAATATACCAGTTTCGGTCAACCCGATTACCAAGCAATTGTTAATTTTGCTCAGTCTGTGGTGTAAAAAGTTCGCATTAGCAATTCAAGAAAATATGCTTCAGCAAAACATGGGCAGGTCAAAGTGTCTATAATGTTTGGTCAAATAATGTTTGGTCCCATATTTTTTTTTAATAAATTTTACCGGTAGTTAATGTATTAAGAATTTTTGGGTATAAAATGTCACAGTTTACTTTATTTTGCTCTCCTCAGTTACATAAATTAACTATAGTATGGAAGCTTGTGTCCGCCACAGAATGAAAAAAGAAAAGGTAATTGCGACTTTTTATTGTCTTTTTTTTCTCTCACAATTGTGTGATATATAAATTCGCAATTGCGTGTTATAAAGTCAGAATTGCGAGATAAAAAGTTGCAATTGCGTGATATAAAGTCAGAATTGCATGATATAACGTCGCAATTGCGTGTTATAAAGTCAGAATTGTGTGAAATAAAGTCAGAATTGCGAGATATAAAGTCAGAATTGTGAGATCTAGTCGCAATTGCGTGTTATAAAGTCAGAATTGCGAGATATAAAGTCAGAATTGTGTGAAATAAAGTCAGAATTGTGTGATATAAAGTCAGAATTGTGAGATATAAAGTCAGAATTGTGAGATATAAAGTCGCAATTGTGTGTTATAAAGTCAAGAATTGCGAGATATAAAGTTGCAATTGCATGATATAAAGTCAGAATTGTGAGATATAAAGTCGCAATTGCGTGTTATAAAGTCAGAATTGCGACATATGAAGTCAGTATTTCGAGATATAAAGTCAGAATTTCGAGATATAAAGTCAGAATTGCGAGATATAAAGTTGCAAATGCGTGTTAAAGTCAGAATTGTGAGATATAAAGTCAGAATTGCGAAATATAAAGTCAGAATTGTGAGATATAAAGTTGCAAATGCGAGATATAAAGTCAGATTTGCAAGATATAAAGTCAGAATTGTGAGATATAAAGTCAGAATTGCGAGATATAAAGTCAGAATTGCGAGATATAAAGTTGCAAATGCGAGATATAAAGTCAGAATTGCGAGATATAAAGTCAGAATTGCGAGATATAAAGTCAGAATTGTGAGATATAAAGTCAGAATTGCGAGATATAAAGTTGCAAATGCGTGTTAAAGTCAGAATTGTGAGATATAAAGTCAGAATTGCGAAATATAAAGTCAGAATTGTGAGATATAAAGTCAGAATTGCGAGATATAAAGTTGCAAATGCGAGATATAAAGTCAGATTTGCGAGATATAAAGTCAGAATTGTGAGATATAAAGTCAGAATTGCGAGATATAAAGTTGCAAATGCGAGATATAAAGTCAGAATTGCGAGATATAAAGTCAGAATTGTGAGATATAAAGTCAGAATTGCGAGATATAAAGTTGCAAATGCGAGATATAAAGTCAGAATTGCGTGATATAAAGTCAGAATTGTGAGATATAAAGTCAGAATTGCGAGATATAAAGTTGCAAATGCGAGATATAAAGTCAGAATTGCGAGATATAAAGTCAGAATTGCGAGATATAAAGTCAGAATTGTGAGATATAAAGTCAGAATTGCGAGATATAAAGTTGCAAATGCGTGTTAAAGTCAGAATTGTGAGATATAAAGTCAGAATTGCGAAATATAAAGTCAGAATTGTGAGATATAAAGTCAGAATTGCGAGATATAAAGTTGCAAATGCGAGATATAAAGTCAGATTTGCGAGATATAAAGTCAGAATTGTGAGATATAAAGTCAGAATTGCGAGATATAAAGTTGCAAATGCGAGATATAAAGTCAGAATTGCGAGATATAAAGTCAGAATTGTGAGATATAAAGTCAGAATTGCGAGATATAAAGTTGCAATTGCGTGTTATAGTCAGAATTGTGAGATATAAAGTCAGAATTGCGAGATATAAAGTCAGAATTGCGTGTTATAAAGTCAGAATTGTGAGATATAAAGTCAGAATTGCGAGATATAAAGTCAGAATTGTGAGATATAAAGTCAGAATTGCGAGATATAAAGTCAGAATTGTGAGATATAAAGTCAGAATTGCGAGATATAAAGTCAGAATTGCGAGATATAAAGTTGCAAATGCGAGATATAAAGTCAGAATTGCGAGATATAAAGTCAGAATTGTGAGATATAAAGTCAGAATTGTGAGATATAAAGTCAGAATTGCGAGATATAAAGTCAGAATTGTGAGATATAAAGTCAGAATTGCGAGATATAAAGTTGCAATTGCGTGTTATAAAGTCAGAATTGTGAGATATAAAGTCAGAATTGCGAGATATAAAGTCAGAATTGCGAGATATAAAGTCAGAATTGCGAGATATAAAGTTGCAAATGCGAGATATAAAGTCAGAATTGCGAGATATAAAGTCAGAATTGTGAGATATAAAGTCAGAATTGCGTGATATAAAGTCAGAATTGCGAGATATAAAGTCAGAATTGTGAGATATAAAGTCAGAATTGCGTGTTATAAAGTCAGAATTGCGTGATATAAAGTCAGAATTGTGAGTTATAAAGTCAGAATTGTGAGATATAAAGTCAGAATTGCGAGATATAAAGTCAGAATTGCGAGGTATAAAGTCAGAATTGCGACATATAAAGTCAGAATTGTGAGATATAAAGTCACAATTGCGAGATATAAAGTCAGAATTGCGAGATATAAAGTCAGAATTGTGAGATATAAACTATTCTGAGGGGAAAAAAGTTAGTCTTTTCCCCGTAGAATTGGCCTGATAACTCGCAATTGCGAGTTTATATCTCACAATTCTGAGAAAAGATGTAAGAATTTCACAAATATGTGTTAACTTTTTATCTCGCAATTCTGACTTTATCTCACAATTGCGACGTTATTGCTAAGAGTGGCGACTTTATATCTCGCAATTGCGACTTTATTTCTCAGAATTCTGACTTCATATCTCGCAATTGTGAGATAAAAAGTCGCAATAATTTTTTATCATTTTTTTTATTCAGTGGCAGAAACAAGCTGCTTCCATTCGATAGTGTCCTGCACCCACTAGTAAAAAATATCAAAATTTATATGTGGTGTCTGAATAATTTTTGTTCTGACTGTATATTATGTTTGTGTATGGTGAATTGTCAGATATTGATGGACTGGGCAGCAGTGCTATTGGTGGTCAGCTGATCAGAAAGGCCTCAACACAGTCGCCCTTTACCTGTGACAAGAATGGCAGTGACAACTTGGTGGCAGGTACTGCATAATGCATATCCACACACACACACGTAAAGAGGTTACAGGGGTTTCTTTTCTTTGTCAGCTCTCCAAACAAATGCACTTGTGTAGTTGATCTGACATGTGATATGATAGTGTTGTAGTCGAGACCACCTCACTCGAGTCCGAGTCTAGACCGAGACCAGAGAGAGTCGAGTCCGAGTCGAGACCGAGACCAGTGAGGGTTGATTACCTAATTTACTTTTATTTACTTAGAGAAATCCTTTTTTTTACTGAATTTACTTAGAGTTTAAAAAATATGACCAGTTTAGGGTAAAAAGGCCACATAGTAGGTGGTGTTAAAAGTAATTTTATTACAATTTGTCATGCGCAGTTGCGCACTAGAAAATCACCAATCACTGGGCGTGTCAATCAATTTAAAGAAATATTTTATTCACATACATTAATAATCATGAAAAATATTTTTAATTGAACTCGAGTGGACTCGGGAATAATTCCGAGTCCTAAAAAAAAAATGTTCGAGTACGAGTCAATTCCGAGTCTAAATGCACACGAGTCCATGACAAGACCAAGACCATTAAAATATGGTCTCGAGACCGAGTCCGAGACGAGTCCGAGTCTCGAGTACTACAACACTGAGTAAAACTATTTTAAACATCTTTTTTTTTATTTTATTTTGTGCATGTACTGTATTTAAGGGTTAGTTCAACCCCAAATGAAATTCTGCCTTTAATTATTCACCCTCATGTCATTCCATGTACTCCTAGTGGTAAGATAAAATTCTTTGTGAATACGGCCTCTAGTGATTTTATATTTTATTAAGTCTATGGAAAAGTCCAGCAGAAAGAGTATGCAGTGACGGATGACAAGGTAGTCAGCACTTGTAGCCTGACTTATTGCTATCTCGGATGTTGTTCTCTCTCATATGAAGAGGACAGATGAGAACGTCTTAAAGTTTGTGAATCCATGGAGAAATGATCAAATCACAAGCTTTGACAACACGGGGTCAAGCAGTCATTCCCTCATCACGGCCTCTTTTCTGACAGGTGTGGTATTTGCCCGCTTTATCCTGACCGGCTGCTGGAAAAACCTGATCGACACGCTGTCCATGCCGCTCACAGGGCGCATGGCGGGAAGCTCCAGGGGTCTCGCCTTTATTCTCGGAGCCGAGGGAGTTAAAGAGCAAACTCAGAGAGAGAGAGACGCCATCTGCCTTAGCCTGGATGGTCTACGCAAGGCTGCGGCTCTCAGCTGCGCTCTGGGTAACAGCACGTTCATTCGTTATTATTTCTTTTTATACAACCTTCTGCTTCCTTTACAGACATACATCTATAAAAAAAAATATGTAGGGAGTTAAAGGGATAGTTCACCCAAAAATGAGAATTCTATCATCCTTTACTCACCCCGAAACCTCTATGTGTTTATTGGTTCTGCTGAACACAAAGGAAGATATTTGGAAGAATGTTTTAATCAAACAGATCTCAATCCCCATTGACTTCCATAGTAGGAAGAAATACATACCATGGTAGTCAATGGTAGTTAATGGCTTAAAGGGTACATATCATGCTTTTAAATCATTCATTTTTACATATAAATCATACCGTTGTGGTCTATATAAAACATAACTGCAATGCTTGGGTCTGAATTCCTCATTGAAAGCCCCTTTTCTACCCCTTTTCTGATGTGCGTCTGTGAGCGACCCGTTTCAAACGCGGCCCCTTTAAATAAAAAGGAGATGCGTCACACCCCGCCCGCTCTCCAGGTCGATGAGTTCACGGTCAGTTCAACTGCCCGCGTTCGGCCATTATTGTAGTTTGATTAGAGATATACAATTATATACGATACCTTCAAAGAACATTTTTATTCACACGTTAATAAAATGTCAACAACAGAAGACTTGTCCATCAAGCCTTACATATTCCAGCCAGAGCGAGCGAGTTGATAAAGACGACGACGAACCTGCAGAACAACCTCTTCATGTATTGATATGCGAGTTAACTGTTTTGTGTTATCAGTGAAAGTCGACTATTTCTCTTGTTAAAACAAGCACACAAACAAGAAAACTGGCTACGGTCTAATCTTACCACTAAAAATCGGTATTGATAATATGATACGTTTAGAAAAGCATCAGAAAAGCAGCTAAATGACCATTGATGAAACTCAAGAACAATAATACTGCAGACGTGTAACGTTACTTCAAAACAAAAACAAAGAAAGACAAAGGTACTGCTAAACCATGACCACCATGTGTTTTAAGAAAGTACTTTATTTTTATTAACGATATTTACAGCTTATCGAAATGCTCTGTTCGTCGTCTCCAAAGACCCCTCATTCAGACGAAGTCAATCGGCAAACCCTTCTGTATAACGTTACTGGCGGAGGTTGTTGAAGTGGGAATCCTTGAAGTGCTTCAGGTCACTAACGTACATCCAAAAACCGAACATTTTGACTTGTCCTCTCGTAACTTCTCCATTATTGAGCTCGGACTACAAAATCGGAGTGAGAAATAATAATGGCGGATTGCTCGAAGTGTTGGACCGGTAGTCAATGTCCTTATTTGGCAGTTCCGCTGCAAATACGGTGACGCACTTGCTCAAAAAACGTCATAGAAAACAGAAAAATCTGAACAGGTTGAAAAATATGACCAAAACAGAATATAAAGATATAAACGAATCACCTGAAGAGAATAATTTCATCTTTTCTGTACTTATAAACACTCCAAATATACAACAAAATGCATTTAAGGGCTAAAAAAGTGGATTTTGCATGATATGTCCCCTTTAATGCTTTGTCATTTAGGTGTGGCGGCCAACTGCGCCTCAGCTCTTGCCCAGATGGCAGCAGCGTCATGTGTTCAGGAGGAGAAAGAGGAGAAAGAATTGGGGGAGACTGGAGATGCCATTGCTCAAGGTACTCGCACACATTTAACATGATCACACTGTCTTCAGAGTCATGTGAAGGAATGCTCTGATAACACACTTTGGCTGAACATATGTACAATGTTTTTGCATTAATGTTTGGGATAAACTGGAAGCAGAACAAAACCCATTGGCAGGATTCGTGCCTGTGTAGAGCTGCTGTTCACACACTACATGAGCGCACACTGAGACGTTGATGGTGTGGGAAAGAGAACGCAATCAGTCAGACAGTAAAAACAGGAGAAATCAGTTAGCAGGAGACCTACACAATATAAAAATATATACATCTATAATTATTCATACTGATACTGAGTAAGCTAGTACTGACCCGTCTTTCAAGAGCACGTGTTGGACGAATCCCGTGTTGAACTCAACTTGAAGCAGTTGTCAGTAAAATGACGTGTTGTGGGCTGGTCAAGTTCTTCACAGGTGAACAACGTACAACATAGGCGGCGGTCGTTATGCAAAAGTCTTTTCTAGTGATGTAGAAGCGTAAAGCAGAAGGATTCGGATTTCAAATTACTCATAATGGCGAGTTCTTTTGAGACAATAACTTGTATTTATCGAGCACTTTCGACTGAACAAACAGCTACATTACACACTGCATTAAAGGGAATATTAGAAATAAAATGTATTAGTAAATCCTCAGTTTATTATCTAAGATCAACAAATGCTGTAAAGTATCGTTCATTGTTAGTTAATTGTTCGTGTTAATTGATGTAGTTTACTAATGTTAACAAATTAAACCTTATTGTAAAGTAAAGTGTGAACCTTTACTTGAACAAGTGAGTAAAGGATTATTAGTGAGTTTTTAAATCTCTCCTCATTCTTTGTGCAAGTTTCCTCATAACAATAGAGTGCCGAAGTTACGACGTCACTCTGTAGGCCAAAACGCGGAAGTGAGTTAGCATTTTAGCACTACCGGTTCCCTCGCTCTAAAGCCTATGGGATTTTTGAATGGGTTTTTGCTAAATCGCCTGAAATAAAGTCTGTGGTGAACAAAGCCTCTAAATATTTTCACGTTTTGATCTATGACATAGAACACACAGTTATAACCTGCTTGTGCTTTTTAAAACTTTATTGTGTCTTTTTTTAAATCTTTATATAGGCTTCAAAATGTATAAATTTTGGATTAACTTGTAAAGATTATCTTGGTAGACAAAACGTGTAAGGGTCACAACCCTTTATTAAACACAGATCTTATTTTTTGCGATTTTGCAAAAGTCTATGGGGAAAATGCATTGCTTTTGGACCGAGGGAACCCATGCGCCGCTAGCTTCCGAGTTGTCCTACAAAGTGACGTCATCACTTCGGCACTCTATAGAACCTGATAGGGGCATTATGGGAGGGTCTTTGTCTTTCTCAGGTGTGAAACACATTAATATTCATAATGATTCACGCCTCCTCGCATAAAGCTTTCTTACACAAAACATGTCTTGCAAATAAATCAATATATTGTTTTATCTAAATGAGTACGCGGGATGATTTTCACATTGTTTTGGAGGCGATGTGATACAATTTCTTGAGAAGAAATAATCAGTATGGGTTTCATGACCTTATTTCAGTGATTTTTTTTATTTATTTTAGTTTTTGACGCATAAACGTCATTATCTCAAAACTACAAACTTTTACATACATGCTGCTGACATATTATTGTAGCAGAGTTTGTGCTGAATATAGTGTAATCAGACTTTAGCCATGAAAATGTCACAAGTAACAGAAATAAGCACAAATGTCAAAACACCAGCTAACCTCAGATCACCAGTTCAAACCCTACCGCACTTCTGTTCAATAATCTTGCACGTGTCTGTGTTGTAGTTAAGCAGCGTGTGGAACAGAAACTCGAGCAGATGGGCCGCTGTCAGGGCGTGAGGCTTCACACGGCTCATGTGCTCTGCATGGACGCTATACTCAACGTGGGGCTGGAGATGGGCAGCCATAACCACGACTGCTGGCCTCACGTGTTCAGGTAAAACACTCACAAATCAGTTCTTCGGGAACCAGGACCTGATCTTGCTGTCCAATCTTTAGTAAAGTAATCAAATTGCTTTTAGGCCTGTCACCAGATGAAAATAATTCATCATGATTGTTTGCAAGTAATCTGACATTTTGAAATTACTCAAATTTGCCTCTAAATATAAACATCTTGCTTTCAAACTTCTTTTAAGGCAAGAAAACAGTGTATGTAGCAGCACTACTACGATGGTCTTCCCATTATTGATATACACTCACATAAAGGATTATTAGGAACACCTGTTCAATTTCTCATTAATGCAATTATCTAATCAACCAATCACGCGTTTCGCCACTATGTTGTTCTTCGTGTAATTCGTGAATTAAACACTGACACAATGATGAACAAGTAACAATAATATTTGCAATAACATATCGTTTTACTGAATTATCAAGTAAACCTAATTTCTTAATTTATCTTTGTAAAGAAACCTCATTGTTTATCCCTCTGGGGTTGTTCGTTTCAGAGTCACACTCGGGGTGTTCGGGTCCAAATGGACCCAAATTGCGGGATTCATATTTAAAAAAAAAAAAAAAATCATGATTTTTTTTTTTTACTCGTTTTTTATAATATTTTTTCTTTTCTTTTTTGGTGTTTTGAGAAAATTTCAAAAAATAAATAAATATATAATTAGTATTGATGCAATAATTATGACAAAATTTCCCCCCATTGAACATAATAGAAAAAATATTTTTAAAAAAAATATTTTAAAATTTTTTTTTTAAAGCTGTATTTCATTTTAGAGTCAAGCCTAGGCCTCATAAAAGCAATTTTAAAAATGAGACTGGTGGACAAACTGAGCATTTTAAAAATGCAAAACACATGTATAATCTGAATTTTTTGGTGTGTTTGTGTATAAAAGTGTGTTTGCGTGTGTGTGTGTGTCTGGATGTGTCTGTTTTGCACTCTTGATGTTTTATAGATTCACCCCTTCACTGTTGTGTGCTTTTTTTCAAGATCGTGGCTGATTTGTAGATTGTACGCACAAAAAACTCAGTATTTTCACATTTTTGCCAATTTCCCATTCATTTTCCATGCGGGTCCATTTGGACCCGAACACCCCAAGTGTGACTATTTTTTTTACAACCACTTAGACTACTCGCATCCTGTCCCCAATTTTTTGTGGGTGTTCAAATACCAAATACCAACAAAGTCGCCAAATTTCAGACCATTCCGAGGAAGCTGTGATTTTTAAAAAAATTGTATTTAAATTCTTCGGGTCCATTTGGGCCGAACAACCCCAGAGGGTTAACTGGCTACTGTCTGCTGTCTCAGACGACGACATCACTTCCTGTCAACCATTGTAACTTCTGTTGGGTGCAATTCACAACCTCACCACTATATGCGGCTAAAAATTACACACTGCACCTTTAAATTAGCTCCAAAATCAAATATCCAGAACCTGAGTTTGTTTAAATATTCCTCAGAGTGATTGAGTATGTTAGTTCACTGGAGCACACACACTTCAGTGACGGCGGCTCGCAGCCTCCGATGGCCATCACACAGGCAGCGCAGGCCGTGGCCGTGGACCCGGAGCTGGAGCTGAGCGGAGAGGCCAGTCCAGAGCTGGAACTGGGTCTCAGCCATCCCGTTATCCAGCCGCTCTCCATCCAGGAGCTCCTGAGGGAAAGCAGTCGCGGGAAAGCAGCGGACCTGCGGGGCGGCAGTCTGCTCACGGGCACCAGCGTGGCCAAAGCCGTCTGCACTCTCTCCACACAAGCTGACCGGTACCAAACTAACATAATCATTCCTCCCCACCTTCATTTTTCCATTGGGTTTTAGGTTAAGTGGAATGTTTTATCAACAACATGGGGTAATGTCAATTATACTGTGTGTAATCAGAATTAAAGGGATAGTTCACCCAAAAATGAAAATTAGCCTGTGATTTACTCACCCTGAAGCCGTTCTAGGTGTAAATGACATATAAATATGACGAATACAATCAGAGATATATTAAAAAATGTCCCGGCCTTCTAAGCTTTATAATGGGAGTGAATGGAATTATTTGGCCGGAAAACATTTTAATATGGATATTTTCCTTACACAAACGCATCTCTTCACTTCAGAAGGCCTTTATTAACCCCCTGGAGCCGTGGATAGCACTTTTATCATGGGTGGATGTACTTTTATGATGGATAGATGCACTTTTATGATGGATAGATGCACTTTTTTAATGGATAGATGCAGTTTTATGATGGACAGATGCACTTTTATGATGGATAGATGCACTTTTATGATTGACAGATGCACTTTTTTAATGGATAGATGCACTTTTATGATAGATAGATGCACTTTTATGATGGACAGATGCACTTTTATGATGGATAGATGCACTTTTATGATTGACAGATGCACTTTTTTAATGGATAGATGCAGTTTTATGATGGATAGATGCACTTTTATCATGGACAGATGCACTTTTACGATGGATAGATGGACTTTTATCATGGACAGATGCACTTTTATGATGGATAGATGGACTTTTATCATGGATGGATGTACTTTTATGATGGACAGATGCACTTTTATGATGGACAGATGCACTTTTATGATGGATAGATGGACGTTTATGATGGATGGATGCACTTTTATGATGGACTTATACACTTTTATCATGGATGGATGCACTTTTATGATGGACAGATGCACTTATATGATGGATAGATGCACTTTTATGATTTATAGATGCATTTTTATGATGGACAGTAAAACAGAAACAGCCATTCACTGCTGTTATAAAGTTTGGAAGAGCCAGAATTATATATATATATATATATATATAATATAATAATAAGTAATGACTATTCCACTTGAATAACTCAAACAAAGCTCAAAAATGTGGCTCTGCTCGTTGTTTTCTAGTTAACAGTATATCAAACAAATCTAATATCTTTCAAACATTTGATTCCTAGCTGGAGTTGTGTTGAAAATGGCCACTAGGGGACCAGTAAGTTCATAATTTGGGAGACAGTTTGGTGGCCATAGAGCGCTCTGTGTTAGGGCAAGTAAATATATAGCATCTGTTTTAAAGTGCCCCTGAAATGCTATTTTAAAGGGTCCTAATTTTGTTTTAAGGTCTCCTAAAATAGGTTTAAATGCATCCAAGGTAAAGAACACTTTAATTTTCTCAAAATACACTTTACAGCATCAACTCTTTCTCACAGTGTCTGAAAATCTTCAATCAAGAATTCGGTTTCTCTAAACCCCACTTTCTGAGTGCCGACTCTGCTCTGATTGGTCAGATGGTCCAGTCTGCTGTGATTGGTCCACCGCTGACAGCTCGTTTTATGTATTACCATATCTGAATTTTAGCTCCGGATCTTCACACGAACCAAACTTTTCCCGTCTCAGATACAACTACAGTGTTTGAGGGACAAAGTAGACATCGTTTGAGGGCAGCCAATGAAGACCATAGGCTGAATTATGCAAATTTGTTAGATAGGAATGAAACAGGAAGTGAGATTGGAATTAATTTCTGGCAGCTCAGAGTGACAAAAACTCAATTTATCTGCTTTAATCTTTAAAACTTGCAGACCTTTTACATTCACTACCTATGAATTCCCTTGGAATCGAAACCATGACATTGCTGACGAGATACAGATAAATTATTTGCAACTGGTAGCTTCATTTTTATATGTTGTAGTCTAAATTACACTGTGAAGTATCTAATGGAATAATTGCACAAATCCTTTAAAAGAAAGATTAAAGGACAACTCCGGCGCAAAATGAACCTTTGGTCTAATTGCACATTGTTACCTATTCAACCGTTATCTGAGATTTTTTTTCATGATTGCCGAATGTAAATAGTTTTATCTATAAACACAGTTTAGCCTATAATGCTAGTATAACGCTAGTCTATAGGGCATAGAGTAATGACAAATAAAAATCGCTTTTTATTACCACTAACAAGGCTCAAAATAGCCCCACAGTAACACGGTAGCACAATAAGGATCCATACATTCAAATCGAAGCATTGAGAACTTTGTCAGTGTCCATACCGTTTAATAAGAAGATATTTTATACACACAGTCAACTTCACGAATACAGGAAGAAGCCATCTTTAAAATATAGTCTCTACCAGTCGATCTATGAACGCCCATCCAAGTGCGCTGAACTGTGCAGAATCTTATATGGTCCATTGTTTCCGGAAGAAACACAAACACGAACCATTTTCTTCTCTTTATTATGTACATGTTGCCTACTGTTCGCGCTCACCTTATCACATTATTCACATCTCACCAGCGCACTTGGATCGGCGTTCGTAGATCGACTGGTAGAGACTATTTTTCAAAGATGGCTTCTTCCTGTATTCGCAAAGTTGACTGTGTGTATAAAATATCTTCTTATTAAACGGTATGGACACTGACAAAGTTCTCAATGCTTCGATTTGAATGTATGGATCCTTATTGTGCTACCGTGTTACTGTGGGGCTATTTTGAGCCTTGTTAGTGGTAATAAAAAGCGATTTTTATTTGTCATTACTCTATGCCCTATAGACTAGCGTTATACTAGCATTATAGGCTAAACTGTGTTTATAGATAAAACTATTTACATTCGGCAATCATGAAAAAAAATCTCAGATAACGGTTGACTAGGTAACAGTGTAATTAGACCAAAGGTTCATTTTGCGCCGGAGTTGTCCTTTAAGAAAAACACTGTAGCCCAAAGCCCATTGATTTGCATGTCCATTTGTTTATCTCTTTCCAGTGATCAGTTAAGCTCTGTTAACTAAGTGATGGGACTCTGCTAGACAATAAGACGGCCACTGACAGATATTTCCTATTAGATCCACTTCAGAAACCAAGCAAGTTTTAGTTTCACATCAGATTCTCATAGGCTGTACATTTATTTTTTCTACAAGTCAGAAACTTGCAATTAGCTATTCTCAGATATGATCTATGCAGCATGTAAATAGTTGGCTGTAAAAATGTATTGAGCGATCAGCATCCAGGAGTAAAACTCTTGTTGTATATGTAGTCCATCACTACTCCTCTCACGTCTGTTTATTTCTACATGTTTAACGTGTAACTGTGGTGAACGTCCTCAGGCTGTTCGAGGATGCCGTCAGTAAACTCAACCTCGTGGGTCTCGTGGGTTTCCTGCATCAGCTCAGGAAAGCTTCCCAGTCTCAACTGTTCGATTCGGTCACAGAAACCGGAGACTATTCCTTAGCCATGCCAGGTACACACACTTTACACCAACACAATACCATCGCTTAGGCTACATTTGCAATGTACATGCTACTCTTTATTTTTTATTTTATAAATATCATTTATTTTTTCGTTTTTTTTAATGTTTATTGCTATAAAATAATAATGTCAGAAAAATCAAGGTTTTCAGAACTGTATCCAGACAAGTTCCAGATTTTAGTATCAGAGTTGAACCAAGTTCTAGTTTCATACAGCTAATATAAAATTATTCGAGTACTATTCAGCTCACTTAAAGCTGCAGTCTGCTTTTTTGGGTTAGAAATGATCCAAAATACATTTTTGAGCAAGTACATAACCAGCCAGTGTTCAAAACTCTCTGCTTGCCGTAGCTGGATTCAAAGCAGTTAGCTTGTAATAATTTCATTTCATTTCAAGAACTTTATTTATCCCCATGGGACAATTGCAAGACCTGTGGATTAGTACAAATGAATCTTTTATAATAAAGATAAAGATAACCTTATAAATAATAATAATAATAAAAGTAAAAATAAATAAATAAGTAAACAAATGGGCAGATATATATATCAGCATTGGCAACAAATACAAGCAGCATTTACCAAATGATATCGACAGGATTAGTTTTAGTATAAGTAAAATGATTCCGGCATAATAAGCTCATAGTCCGATCTTGCAAGTGTCCATAAATCACTAAAAAATTTTAATAATGTGTTATTATTATTAAAGTAAAATAATGTTTATAACTCCAGTGGTACTGGTGGATTTCAGCGGGAGACCCGAGGATGTCTTCGCGTCATTACGTTTGTTAGATTAAATGAGCGTGATTTACTGCAATGTCCGAACCTGAACAAAAGTGTATGTTTCTTACTAGTTCAGAGGACGTTTTCCGTGATCTTATGTTGGTCATACTTCCAAAAATAATAATCTGTGATTTCTGAATGCCTGTATCCACACCGGCGGCGACTGACACACACACTTCTCCTCAAACACTGTGCCAAGCCGAGGCACGACCCACGTAAAGTTGATAATTCCGCGAATAACTGCAATTCCAGATTTCGAACAGAGATGGCGACAAAGAGGAAAAACTACAGACTGCAGCTTTAATATTTAGTTTGACCTCCTGGAGTAAATGAACCAAATTTTCGGAAGGTCATGCACCTTTTTTTTATAGGAGTTTTATAACCCATTTTTTCCTTCGCCTCATTGTGTTTTCATTAAAGGGGAGGCGAAGTCGACCCAGGACAAGCGCAGCGCCCTGCACCTGTTCCGGCTGGGAGAGGCCATGCTTCGCATCGTGAAGAGCAAGAGTCGACCTCTTCTGCACATGATGAGGGCCTGGAGTGTGGTGGCGCCGCATCTGGTGGAGGTATAAATACAATATACCTCTAAATACAATATAAAGCCCTATTTTAAGGAATGAGTGCATGGCTTAAAGCGCACTTGGGGCAAGTCCGAATCCACTTTTGCTAGTTTAAAGGACAACTCCGGCACAAAATGAACCTTTTTTTTCTAATAAAACATTAGTACCTAGTCAACCGTTCTCTGAGATTTGTTTTCATGATAATCGAATGTAAAGAGTTTTATCTCTAAAAACTGTTTAGTTAGCATATAACGCTAGTAATGGGGGCATTTAATATGTAAAAAGAAATCGCTAGTTTATACCACTAACAAGGCTCAAAATAGCCCCACACTAACACAGTAACATAATGAGGGTCCCTACATGGAAAACGAAGCATTGAGAACTTTGTAAGTGTACAGACCGTTTAATAAGAAGATACTTTATAAAGTTCACTTTGTGTATAAAACAGGAGCCATCTTTGGAAAACAGTCTCAACAAGTCGAACCACGAACAACGTTCATATAGTTCAGCTCACTTAGCACGTCGTTCATGGTTCGACTTGTCGAGACTGTTTTCCAAAGATGGCTCCTGTCTGACTGTCTTTATAAAGTGTCTTCTTATTAAACAGTCTGCTCACTTACAAAGTTCTCAATGCTTCGGTTTTATAAAATTATTATAAAATTTATATAAATTTATTTTAAACCCGGTGGACTCTAAAACTGCAAGAAAATCAAAGCCAAAACTCTGAACAAGTTGTGTTTCAAATTTTAGGTTGATATCTAAAAAAAAAAGAGCTTTCAGTGAGAGTGTGTTTGGGCGCAGTACCAAACGCTTCCACTGGGTCACAACCGGACTCCATTACTGCCCATTTCCATGTGTTTTGAGTGATCTGAACCATTATTTCCACAATTTTCATACAATTTATGAAGCAGACATCCTATGCAGAAGTAGTAAGGGAAGTTTGGCATTTTTTCAATATGAATTCAACCACAATAATCACAATTTTGTGCGTTATAGCTCGCTGCCACATCACAAATGGTGAATCTATCATTTTTTCTTTATATTTAAAACATTTTCAGACCTTTTTTTCTAAAAAAAAAATAAAAAAAATCAATGGATGGTATCTTTTGAACTATTGGCGTGAAAACAAACTGAGGTTTCTACCATTCCTTCATGATTTTCGTGTTCATCACTATTTCAAAATAAAGGTCTTATAATATTTTTGTTGCAAATTGATTGATTGTAAGCTTTCAAATGATACATAGTTTGTCAAAAAAGTAAAAAAGTCAAGGCCAGGTGAGAAAAAATAACACAAATCCCTTTTGTTTGACATTCCCCCCCCCCCACAGGCGGCCTGTCACAAAGAGCGCCACGTATCCCAGAAGGCCGTGTCCTTCATCCATGATGTTCTGATGGAGGTTTTGATCAGCTGGGCAGAACTGCCACACTTTCATTTTAATGAAGCTCTCTTCAGACCTTTTGAGCACATCATGCAGCTGGAGCTCTGCGACGAAGACGTCCAAGATCAGGTCTGATAAATCACATGACCACGCTGAAGGTTAGCTTAAACAAACATCAAGCGTAGCGTCAGTTCTGGCAGGTCACGTTAGTCCAGTTCGCATCAGTGACTCTCAGCTGATCCTCTTCTATAGGAATAACACTGTATCGCTGATTCATGTATAATCTCCTTCAGTGTTATCAGCAGCGATGGCGTTTCTCCTCCCTCCCCAGCTCCTCCTGTCTCAATCAGACTAAATTCTCCAATTATGTTGTACATTAAAATCTTGAATTAATGATATCTGCAATACATTCATGTTGGTTCTGTTCTGCTAGACTGCCCAGGACAGAACCAGACCGCCAATCCAAACCGTATGCTAACTATCAATCATATTTGATGATAGTGGTCCTGAGAGAACTGTCCAAGCGTGTAGTAAACCCTATAGTGTGTTCATGTCAGCATCTGTTATGGCACACAGGTGATAACGTCCATCGGAGAGCTGGTGGAGATGTGTTCAGCTCAGATCCAGTCTGGCTGGAGGCCGCTGTTCAGCGCTCTCAGAACCGTGCATGGGAACAAAACTGATATGAAGGATTACCTGATTGGAGAATATTCCATGGGTCTGTGAAGTTTACTTTATTGTTAGTTATTTGTGAATTGTTTTTTATCTGATTATGTTTTTATATATCCTGCATTAATGGAAAACATGCATTATAGGGGTTTTACCTCACTGTGTTGCAGTTTATATATACCGTGTATATATATATATATATGAAGAGTTCAGATGCAAAAGCCTCTAAGTGCCATTTGAAATTTTCTTCTAAAATGATAATTTTTATCAAACTTGTATATTTAAGTTCAGTAATTTCACTTAAATGACAATGAAGATTACCTATTAATTGTCATTTAATTGAAATTACTGAACTTAAATATACAAGCTTGATAAAAATGGTCATTTTAGAAGAAAATTTCAAATGGCATTTAGAGGCTTTTGCATCTGAACTCTTCATATATATATATATATATTAGAGCCCGTCGCCCGACCGATAAAGAATTTTGAAGGCCGATACCGATAGAAATATTTTTGGGTTTTAAAATCCGATATTCCGATATATCGGCCGATAATTTTTTTTATTAAATATTGTTGGATTTCACACACGTGTAAAAGAAAAACTAACTTTTCTGCACAAGATACGTTTGATACTTTTTCTCCATGTCTAAATGTTCACTCCTCGCAAGTATAACTTACATTTTATAATGCAGGGACTGTAACTAGAGATATGCTAGTTATAAATACAGTAATATTTACTTTATTTAGGCAGAAAAAGTTCATTGTGGTTTCCAAGCTCATTAATGTTAACGTTAGCGGTCTTCCACTGGTGATATTGGCATTAGCTAGCTTTTTGGTTAGCTAGTCTATGATGAGCCATAATTTAGCAATAGATGACATCATACTGCAAATTGTAAAACATACATTTTCAATATAACAGGCCAAGGAGAGATGATTGAAGCGTGTTTCATCCGTTTTTATTTTATTTTTTAAATATTCATTTATCGGCCATTACAACTGCCGATACCGATATTTTGGAAAATGCCTAATATCGGCCGATAATATCGGTCTGGCTCTAATATATATATATATATATATATATACACACACACACACTTTTATATCAATAAGCATCAATAACAGCATTATGATAAGGGTCGTCATGCATATTTCTACAGCACATGTAGCTAAAAACTACAAACATGCATTTATAAAGATAGTTCGATAGTTACATTTATTTATAATATTACAATTATTTAAAGTAATATTGTTCATTAGCATAACTATGGCCTTTTGATTGCACTGCAGATTTGCGCAGTTAATAAAGACTTCACGGTTACAGGTGTGTATTTTGCAAACGCTTCAAACGCAGCTTATGCAATAATAGTTTAGGGCGGAGCTACGTGTTTGTCCAACCAATGGAGGATGGGGAGCGTGTTTGAAGCTTGTTTGAAAATTACAATTTTTGTACAACTTATTTGGTGCGAACAGTGTGAGAGAAATATGTACAGTAACTTTACTATGTATTTTGGTTTTTCATGAAAAAAAAAAATCTATATTCTAAACCAATTAGTATGTTACATCAGAAAAGTATCTCCGTCTACTGTGGCGTGTGTGTGTGTGTGGAGTGAGAGTGGTGTGCAGCTGACATTTCAACCATGAATTGATCTGAAATGCATTTGTGCTTCATTCTGTCTGTACGCAGGGAAGTCACAGGCGCCAGTGTTTGACGTCTTCGAAGCCTTCATTAACACGGACAACATTCAGGTGTTCGCCAACGCCGCCACTGACTACATCATGTGCCTTATGAAGTTTGTGAAAGGTTTAGGTGAGCTGCTCTTTTTTCTCCTATTGATTACCAGATAATTGTTCACTTTAAATTAGAAATGCACTTTATATTAGATATTGTTCGACTTCGGCTGATATGGATTATTTTACATTTCCGAGAACAATATGCAGAACCTATAGTTTTAGTCCTTATTTTTTATAGACATATTTGATAAAACCATGAAACTTCAAATCGTGTGCACTTCTCATGATTGTTAAAGTACATTTTTACAAACAAGCATCAAAAATAATTTATTTATTTAATTTAGTTATAATAATGTTTCCTGTTGAACATGATGTAATGACACTGGGTGCTTTTCTTAAAGATATTATATATAAAAAAAACAATAACTGATTAAGTAGAAAAATGGAAAGAAAAGGGAAAATGGGAAAAAAAAATTCAAACTGATTATCAGTCTCTATATTATTTATGGAAGCTTGTTTCCGCCACAGAATAAAAAATAAAAAGGTAATTGTGACTTTTTATCTCAGAATTGCGTGTTATAAAGTCAGAATTGTGAGATATAAACTCGCAATGACTTTTTAACATGCAATTGCTACTTTATAACACGTAATTCGGACTTTATTTATTTCTCAGAATTGCGAGATATAAACTCGACAAAAAGTCGCAATTATCTTTTAATATTATTACGTTCACAACTTGTATTATTATGTTATTCTGTGACGTAAACAAGCTTCCATAGCAGATATTGAATGAGTCGTGGTGTGTGTTATCCGCAGGAGAAGTGGACTATAAGGAGATCGGCGACTGTGTTCATGCCAGTGGATACAGCTCCACAGACCTGTGCCTGCCCGCCCTGGACTATCTGAGGAAATGCTCACAGGTGGGAATATATTTTTATATCAAACCTTTTTATATTGTGGTTTTGATTTTTGCAAACAAAAATGAATGGTGTTTTTTATGGATTATTGTTCTGCAGCTGCTTGCCAGGATCTATAAGATGCCAACCAAGCCGGTTTTCTTGGGTGCGCGTCTGGCCAGTCTCCCGATGAGAGCGCAGGAGAGATCCGTGAGCAGCGAGGAGGGCATGGACTGTGTGTTAGCAGAGTTTGACGACGATACAGGTCATTTATTTATTTCATTTTTGACACCAATGATACGGGTTGAGTCGCAGTACATGGTAGGGGACCAGGGGTGTGACAATATATATTGTGGATAGTTCACTCAAAATAAGAATGACTGTGTGAGAAACATTTCATGTTTACAGAGTTTTAGTGTCCGTACAACAGTACATTAACTACTATATATAACGTTTAAAAATGTAATGGGGGATATTTGTGGGTCCTGATAATACCAAATGTCTTACTAGTAAAAAGTGGTCTACATTATTTTAAATATATCTAGTCAGTGACGGAGAAAGCATATTCTGTATTTTCAGTTTCAGAATCATAAATATTGTTATTCTGGTGTCTCTATTGTCCTGGACTGGGTTTCAGCACCAAGCTTATTCATTTCTACACACACAATGTAATATCAAATTTAGCATTTTAATCAACAGTACATTTTTTGTTAACCTATATATATCTTGAAGTATCACTATAATATCGTATCGTGAGTTCAGTATCGTGATATGTATCGAATCGTGACATAAGGGTATCGTTACACCCATAGTATATGGTGAAGTGTGCAGCAGGTCTGATCCAGATGTGTGTGTGTGTGCAGGTCTGATCCAGGTGTGGATCCTCCTGTTGGAGCAGCTGACTGCAGCCGTGTCGAACTGTCCTCGACAGCATCAGCCGCCGACACTCGAGCTGCTGTTTGAGCTTCTGCGGGAGGTCACCCAGACCCCAGGTAAACCGGCTGTGAATAACGCTGCTCACAATTAGGTTTGGGGATCGAAAATCAATTCCAATTCTGGAAATGTATACTTGAGGTCTGGAATCGGAGACTTGTAATTAAAGGATTAGTAATTTAAAAAAAAAAACTTTTGCTGATAATTTACTCACCCCCATGTCATCCAAGATGTCCATGTCTTTCTTTCCTCAGTCGAAAAGAAATTAAGGTTTTTGATGAAAACATTCCAGGATTTTTCTCCATATAATGGACTTACATGGGAACCAGACAGTCCATGGTCGAAAAGAGAGTTAATAACAGTTTCAGATGCAGCTTCAAATGTCTTTAAACGACACCAGACGATGAATAAGGGTCTTATCATGCGAAACGATCGGTTATTTCAAAACTTATTACAAAAATGTAACTTTTCTAAGGACAAATGCTAGCCTTGCTCTATTCTGTGAGGCGGGTTTGTAACGTCACGTGATACGTAATTACGTTCAAAAGGTCACGGGCGACGTAGTGAAAAAAAAAATGTATGTATTTTCGATGCTTCAAAATATTGTAACTAACCCACTGACGTCACATGGACTACTATGATGATGTCCGGACAAGGATAGTATACCGTACACACATGTTCAATGGAGGGACAGAAAGCTCTCGGACTAAATCTTAAACTGTGTTCTGAAGATGAACGCGAGGGCTTTGAGCCAGAGGGGCGTAAGCGGCTTTTAACAAACTTTACAGGAGGGACAAAACAAAATTTTTGACCACACCTGTATTATTAACCTTAAACCACAGACATTGCAACCACAGGCATACTTGCATTAATGAGTATTTAAGTAAAAAATGTATGGCATTTTAACACAATGAACATTTTCTCAAACATTTTCAAATTTAAAAAATAAGTCAAATACGTCTGATATACGCCTTTTTGTTTCTTTATTCAATACAGTTTGATATCAGGTAGGTATTTTGACACCATTGGATAGAGCTCATTGAGACCTTTATTTTGATATAAAGGACTCATATTCGCCCCAAAATGCCACTTACGCCCCTCTGGCTCCAAGCCCTCGAACGAAGGTCTGACGAAATGAGGGAGAGTCATTAATGACATCATTTTCATTTTTGGGTGAACTAACCCTTCAACCCTGCTGTTTACAAATAAAGAACCAATGTATGAGAATGGTTATAATGCTCAAACAGCGGGAAACTCTGTATATTCGGGCAGTGTGCATTAGAAGCTTGTGACACATAAACACGCGTTCACGTTCATGCAAACACTACGTTCGGATTCATCAGTGGGAATGAATTCAGTCCGATTGAACCAGAAGTTGGGCATGTGAAGTAGCCAGTGTGCTCTTCCTCCTCCTCCTCCTCCTCCTCAGGGCCGGGGTTTGCCATCTTCTCTGTCATCCAGCTGCTTCTCCCGGTCATGTCTCTGTGGCTCCAGCGCAGTCACGGCGAGCACTCGTACTGGGACATCGCGGCGGCTAACTTCAAGCACGCCATCGGCCTGTCCTGTGAACTGGTGGTGGAACACATTCACAGCTTCATACATTCAGGTACAACTCTCAAATCAGTTATAGTTTTGATGGATGCGGATTGTAATAAAGCTAAAGACGATTGCGGTCATGTACAGTAAGCCCACGTGTGTCTAAAATGTTGATGTAAACATATGCGCTCTCGACGCACTGATTGGACACATTTCAGTACATTCACGTCGTTTCCACACACATTCAGGATAATGTTCTTATCTGTCATGTGTATGTTGCTGAGTTTAGTAATCCTGAATGGATCCAAAAATTTACAAAATGAATAGTTTCGCATTGCAGTAATGAGAATTACTGGCGGAATTGATTATATTAACTGAAATAAAATGAAAAGTAAAACAGGCGTTTGCTCTTGACAGGTTTCATGAGATTCAGCCTACTAATACTTAATTTAATGTTTAATACAGATGTGCAAGAGTTTTAAGTTAAAGTGTGAAATTGGGATGTGTGTGTATATAATTATAAATTGTATGACTATTTGTTTGTAGATATTGGCTATGAGAATCTGATTAACCTGATGCTGAAAGATCTCTTCAAACTGCTGGTGTCCTGTGTGGCAGAACCAGCCGAGACCATCTCCAGAGTGGGCTGCTCCTGTATCAGGTGAGTGAGTGAGTGAGTGAGTGAGTGAGTGAGTGAGTGAGTGGTTGAGTGAGTGAGTGAGTGAGTGAGTGAGTGAGTGAGTGAGTGAGTGGTTGAGTGAGTGAGTGGTTGAGTGAGTGAGTGAGTGAGTGAGTGAGTGGTTGAGTGAGTGAGTGGGTGAGTGAGTGAGTGAGTGAGTGGTTGAGTGAGTGGGTGAGTGAGTGAGTGAGTGAGTGAGTGGTTGAGTGAGTGGGTGAGTGAGTGAGTGAGTGAGTGAGTGAGTGGTTGAGTGAGTGAGTGGTTGAGTGAGTGAGTGAGTGAGTGGTTGAGTGAGTGAGTGGCTGAGTGAGTGAGTGGGTGAGTGAGTGAGTGAGTGGTTGAGTGAGTGAGTGGTTGAGTGAGTGAGTGAGTGAGTGAGTGGTTGAGTGAGTGAGTGGGTGAGTGAGTGAGTGAGTGGTTGAGTGAGTGGGTGAGTGAGTGAGTGAGTGAGTGGTTGAGTGAGTGAGTGAGTGAGTGAGTGGTTGAGTGAGTGAGTGGTTGAGTGAGTGAGTGGTTGAGTGAGTGAGTGAGTGAGTGAGTGGTTGAGTGAGTGAGTGAGTGAGTGGTTGAGTGAGTGAGTGGCTGAGTGAGTGAGTGAGTGGGTGAGTGAGTGAGTGAGTGGTTGAGTGAGTGAGTGGTTGAGTGAGTGAGTGAGTGAGTGAGTGAGTGAGTGGTTGAGTGAGTGAGTGGGTGAGTGAGTGAGTGAGTGGTTGAGTGAGTGGGTGAGTGAGTGAGTGAGTGAGTGGTTGAGTGAGTGAGTGAGTGAGTGGTTGAGTAGTGAGTGATTGAGTGAGTGGTTGAGTGGGTGAGTGGTTGAGTGAGTGGTTGAGTAGTGAGTGGTTGAGTGAGTGAGTGGTTGAGTGAGTGAGTGAGTGAGTGAGTGAGAGGTTGAGTGAGTGAGTGGTTGAGTAGTGAGTGGTTGAGTAGTGAGTGGTTGAGTAGTGAGTGGTTGAGTGAGTGAGTGGTTGAGTGAGTGAGTGGTTGAGTGAGTGAGTGGTTGAGTGAGTGAGTGAGTGAGTGAGTGGTTGAGTGAGTGAGTGAGTGGTTGAGTGAGTGAGAGGTTGAGTGAGTGAGTGGTTGAGTGAGTGAGTGAGTGAGTGGTTGAGTGAGTGGGTGAGTGAGTGAGTGAGTGGGTGAGTGAGTGAGTGAGTGAGTGAGTGAGTGAGTGGTTGAGTGAGTGAGTGAGTGGTTGAGTAGTGAGTGATTGAGTGAGTGGTTGAGTGAGTGAGTGGTTGAGTGAGTGAGTGAGTGGTTGAGTGAGTGAGTGGTTGAGTGAGTGAGTGAGTGAGTGAGTGGTTGAGTGAGTGAGTGGGTGAGTGAGTGAGTGAGTGAGTGGTTGAGTGAGTGGGTGAGTGAGTGAGTGAGTGGTTGAGTGAGTGAGTGAGTGGTTGAGTAGTGAGTGATTGAGTGAGTGGTTGAGTGGGTGAGTGGTTGAGTAGTGAGTGGTTGAGTAGTGAGTGGTTGAGTGAGTGAGTGGTTGAGTGAGTGAGTGAGTGGTTGAGTGAGTGAGTGGTTGAGTGAGTGAGTGAGTGAGTGAGAGGTTGAGTGAGTGAGTGGTTGAGTAGTGAGTGGTTGAGTAGTGAGTGAGTGAGTGGTTGAGTGAGTGAGTGAGTGAGTGAGTGGTTGAGTGAGTGAGTGAGTGAGTGGTTGAGTGAGTGAGAGGTTGAGTGAGTGAGTGGTTGAGTAGTGAGTGGTTGAGTGAGTGAGTGGTTGAGTGAGTGAGTGAGTGGTTGAGTGAGTGAGTGAGTGGTTGAGTAGTGAGTTATTGGTTGAGTGAGTGAGTGAGTGGTTGAGTGAGTGAGTGGTTGAGTAGTGAGTGGTTGAGTGAGTGGGTGAGTGAGTGAGTGGTTGAGTGAGTGAGTGGTTGAGTGAGTGAGTGGTTGAGTGAGTGAGTGGTTGAGTAGTGAGTGGTTGAGTGAGTGAGTGGCTGAGTAGTGAGTGGTTGAGTGAGTGAGTGGTTGAGTAGTGAGTTATTGGTTGAGTGAGTGAGTGAGTGGTTGAGTGAGTGAGTGGTTGAGTAGTGAGTGGTTGAGTGAGTGGGTGAGTGAGTGAGTGGGTGAGTGAGTGAGTGGTTGAGTGAGTGGTTGAGTAGTGAGTGGTTGAGTGAGTGAGTGGGTGAGTGGTTGAGTGAGTGAGTGGTTGAGTAGTGAGTGGTTGAGTGAGTGGTTGAGTGATTGAGTGATTGAGTGAGTGAGTGAGTGAGTGGTTGAGTGAGTGAGTGAGTGAGTGGTTGAGTAGTGAGTGGTTGAGTGAGTGGTTGAGTGAGTGAGTGGTTGAGTGAGTGAGTGGTTGAGTGAGTGGTTGAGTGAGTGAGTGGTTGAGTGAGTGAGTGGTTGAGTGAGTGGTTGAGTGAGTGAGTGGTTGAGTAGTGAGTGGTTGAGTGAGTGAGTGGTTGAGTAGTGAGTGGTTGAGTGAGTGAGTGGTTGAGTGAGTGGTTGAGTGAGTGAGTGGTTGAGTAGTGAGTGGTTGAGTGAGTGAGTGGTTGAGTAGTGAGTGGTTGAGTGAGTGAGTGAGTGGTTGAGTGAGTGAGTGGTTGAGTAGTGAGTGGTTGAGTAGTGAGTGGTTGAGTGAGTGAGTGAGTGAGTGTTTGAGTGAGTGAGTGGTTGAGTGAGTGAGTGAGTGGTTGAGTAGTGAGTGGTTGAGTGAGTGGTTGAGTGGTTGAGTGAGTGAGTGGTTGAGTGAGTGAGTGAGTGAGTGAGTGGTTGAGTGGTTGAGTGAGTGAGTGGTTGAGTGAGTGAGTGAGTGAGTGAGTGGTTGAGTGGTTGAGTGAGTGAGTGGTTGAGTGAGTGTGTGAGTGAGTGAGAATTATTGGGTGAGTGTGAGTGAGAATTATTGGGTAAGTGAGTGAGAGTGTGTGAGTGAATGATTGCGTGAGTGTGAGTGAGTTTGTGTTTGTGAATGAGTGAGAATTATTGGGAGCGAGAGAGTGAGTGAGTGAGAGTTGAGTGAGTGTGTGTGAGTGAGTGAGTTTGTGAGTGAATGTTTGTGTGTGTATGTGTGTGTGTTCCAAAACATATTGAACTGTCTTCATAGGCAGCATCGAAGGCATTCTCTTAATGCGAAGGATGTTTGAAAAGAGAGTATCAGTGTATATAATGCGTTCTGGTGTGTTGTGTGTGTGATTCGCAGGTATGTTCTGGTGAGTGCAGGGCCTGTCTTCACGGAGGAGATGTGGAGGTTAGCATGCTGTGCCCTGCAGGACGCTTTCTCTGCGACCCTGGAGCCTGTGAAGGTGACGCTCATAATAACATTACTGACGTCTCCACTGTCCACAAGTCTTGCATTGACAGAAACTGTTCTTACTAACCAGAGTCAGCGCAAAGGCATTATCATGGAAACAGATGCTAAGCCACAAAGCCACAACTGTGCTTGCCGAGTGTAAATGGTTTGCCTATACATAGTAGCTTAAATGGACAATAGCAATAGAAGTAGACATTAGAAATACATAATTTTTACATGAAAATCAGGCTCGACAGTGCAAGCGTTTTACCATAGATGTGTGCAAACTGTAAAATGTATTTAGGAGCATGTGTGAATAAAAACATCCCCATGGGTTCGTAAAAAGTCTAAAAGCTTTATGAATATTTAAGGTTGCAAAACGTCTTAAATTGTGTTACAAATGTGTTAATTATAATTTAAAAAGGTCTTAAATTTTGGAGATAGAAAAACATGAATCAGCCTAATTAATCATTTCATTGATTATTACACCTAAAAGGCTATGATTGAATGAAATAAATAAATAAAAATAAATAAATAAATGTGAGCGCTGCATGTTCAGTCCAAACGCGGTGCTGTTGTGCGCTTTTAGAGCCATTCACAATATATATATTATTAGATTTACTCTTAAATTAATTATGGCAATGTTTACTTTATGGTGTTTATATTGAAATAGCTTGTAAATGGTTGTAAGGGTGAATTTCTTAGTCTTTTATTGCTTTGAAATACCAATAATAACCCGAGGAAAAAAGCCTAAAATACCAGTTAAATGCCAGTTATGACATTAAAAGTGAGAATTAACAGTGGTCCGTAGGCGATAAACTAAAGAGTTGAGCTTTCTACATCTAGGCAAGGCAAGTTTTTATTTATATAGCACATTTCATACACAATGGTTATTCAAAGTGTTTTACATAGAGTACATTAATTAAAACAGTTTAGAATAAAAAATAAAAAACAGTTACACAGCTAAACACAAGTGTTTTGATGCATCCAGACTTAAGCTGTTTCTGAGCCGAAGTGAAGTGCTTGTAAACAAGAGTCATGGGAAAATCGCATTCCTGCTACATCGGTTACTGCATATTTAAACACATGCTCTGCAAAACGTTGTTTCCTGCAATAGACTGAAGCGTATTTGCTCAGGAAGTGTCCTTCGCTGTCTCGACTGATGTTCAGGGTGTAATCTTCTTTGAGGATTAGTGTTGTGCTATTTTCTGGAAAGAAGTAAAATGGTGCTTCCATCAGGAACTTGAATACACATGTGTAAACCTAATGCTTACTGAAAATAACAAAATCACAAGACTTTAAATTGCATTCATTTTAATGTATTTCTCATTAGGTTTCCCAGTACGCCATTGTTTTTCTTCTGAAACAACACTGCCTCCCTCAGCCAATGAGAGTTGGACAATCTGTTTGTCTGATCAATGGCAGGATGAGGAGTTTTTTTTAGTTTGTTTTTTTCATTTGGTGCTGCAGATGGAAGAAAAAATATTGACCTTTTAAGCTGTAAAAATGCTCATAGACAGAGGGGATTGGTTCATTTCCACGAACTTCATTCAAACATTGGGAATCTACTTGGCCACAGTGGCTTTGTGCTTGAAATGATGGATAAATAAAATCGGCTTTTAAGCCACATCAAAACTAATACATTTACATTGAATATCATCTAAAGGCTGAACATTACAGGGGTTTTTATTTAAGCTACTGTATATCATCCAACTTAAAACTAGAGATGCCGTACACTAGCGATTCTGGTATACAGACGGTTTTCCTTGTATGATTTCACTAACACACACAGAGAGAGATCCTGCTTACTTGCTGATGCTCTTTTGCTGTAATAAAGCTGCTTCTATAAGACATGTTGATATAGGTCACGCACAGAGTCCTGACAGATGCAAGAGCTTGTTCTGTTCTGTAGAGCCTTTCTAATGGAGAGAGGATTAATGTCATGTGCATATAAACCAGTGCAAGCTTTGATTTGCTTTGCAAGTTTTGGTAGAAAATAGAAGACATTTATTTAAATCTATTTAGTTTTAATATAAAATACACAGTAGTGGCCAAAAGTGATGTCTGGAGGAGAAATTTGTTTTTAATGACCCTATAAGTTCGATTAAACCATCAAAATATGAGGAAAATATTTTATTTTTGCTTTAATATTTTCAGTATGAGGGAAGACCAAACCCCAAGCTTGGTTAAGGTATTTATCTGACAAAATTGTTTGGAAAAAAAGCCAAACGACAGCTACATATTTTATTTTACTGTGCAAAAAAATCCATAGAAAAACTAAAAGCTCAAAGGAAAAACAATACATTTACTAGCCTAGTCGTATACAATCAGTTATTAATATTGTTGTTGGGTTTCTCTTGTTTTTGCATGCGTTCTTAATTTCTTTGTATGATAGCCTGGCCAAAAATCATGTCTGCACAATGTGGCGTGATTCATTGCTTTATCACAAATAAAACAATTTACTTCAAGCACAACTACCTTTACAATATGCTTACAAAATCTTTAACCAGTTTTTATTAATATTTGAATTAAGCGTGATGTCAATTTTCCTAGGCTGGACATCATACATTCATTTTGTGGGTGTTTGTGTGTGTATATATATATATATATATATATATATATGTGTGTGTGTATATATTTTCACACTCAGTGCTCAATGTATGGATGGATATGGATTGATAGTTATATATAGATGGATGGATAGATAGATAAACAGTGTGTGTGTAATGTGCATGTATACTGTATGTGTATATTATAAAAATGTGTGTTAAAGGGATAGTTCACTTTGAAATAAATGTTTGATATGTTTTAGGTTACCTCAAGGGCATCCAAGATGTAGGTGTCTTTGTTTACACAGTATTTTCAATTTTGATATTTTTAGGTCAAACCGTTCGTGTCTATCAGTCATATAATGGAGGTCTATGGTCACCACCTCAAAGAGCATGCACAGAGAAGTCCAGATTAAACACGATTTAATGACTCGTAAATGTAAGTACACATTGATGGCCTAAGACACGAAACGAGCGGTTTGTGTGAGAAAACAAACAGTTTTTATATCGTTTTTACCTCTTGTAACAAGCGCCCTCGCCCTCACTTTGACGTGGCTGTGGTTACAAGAGGTAAAAACGATATAAATACTGTTCGTTTTCTCACACAAACCGCTCGTTTCGTGTCTTAGGCCATCAATGTGTACTTACATTTACGAGTCATTAAATCATGTTTAATTTGGACTTCTCTGTGCATGCTCTTTGAGGTGGTGACCATAGACCTCCATTATATGACTGACAAACAAGAACGGTTTGACCTAAAAATATCAAAATATAAAATACTGTGGAAACAAAGACACCTACATCTTGGATGCCCTTGAGGTAAGCTAAAACACGCCAAAAATTTATTTCAAAGTGAACTATCCCTTTAATCTTTATTTATGAACATGCATTCCTTCTAAAAAAAGTGGAAATTAAATCATGAAGACTCGAGCGTTTCCTTATTCTTGTTTTCTGAATCCCTTCTCTTCTCTGGCAGAATCTGCTGGCTTGTTTCCGGAGCGGTTCGGACAGTTTCACTGGAGACGCGTGTGAAGTGAAAGTCGCGGCCCCGTCACACACTCCGTCAGCAGAGGCCGAGTTCATGCGGATCCGGGCCATGGCTCAACAGGTACACCTGCGCACCTCACTCACCTCATGTCATAGCTCATAATACGCAGAAGAAAGGGACGGGGCCTGGAAGTGTGTTGAAACCAAGCGTGCCGCACAAGCCCTCAAAAGTGCAACTAAAATGCCTCGATCGCCCCCCAGTGGCCGGTCCTAGTATAGCTCATAACCCCGCCTCCCCATGTTATTCAACGAGACGCGAGACCAACTAAACAATTAAATTACTTCACATATCCTTTATCCAAAGATAGTTTCTGTCATTTACTGTAGTTTCTATCACGTCGATGTAATTTCAAGAGTGTAAGTGTTTTTAAAATAAGTTTGTTTTTAGTTAGTTATGTGATGCTATAAAAACGGTGCTCTGACATCATGATTGACAGCTGTGATTGACAGGTTTTCTGTGCGAGGTAGTCACTGAAGCACCAGCGGACTTTTTTTAATAATGTTGATTATGTGGTTAGTAGTTGTATTTACCTTATTTTAACGAGGTTCTGCAATCAGCAGACATCATTGGAGAAGAACAAAGCAGAGAGGGGACTCTTAATGAAAGTGCGGGGCGTGTGCCTGCGTTTGATTCAGCGAGAATGAGGGCGGGGCCTTTGATTTCGCGGGTTTACTTCCTGCTCACGACTGCGCATGTCTGGTCCCAAAAATGCAAGTGCGCAGATTCACGTCCCAAGATGTCAGCGTCATGTCCCTCTGATGAAAAAGAGCGAAGGGGCGTCGTCCATCTTTTTTTACAGTCAATGGTTGAAACTTACGGTTATGTTAAGGCGAGACACGGCAGACAAAAACATTGGGTTTTTTTTCACTCGTCAATTTTGCGATTTTGGGATATTTGTCTTCAATAACACGTCTTCTTTCAGACTTGTGGTGAAAAAAGTCCGAAATACACATTTCGGTCTTTATTTTACTACACTTTGTCTGTAGATTTCTCATAAATTCATCAAAAGATCGCTCCACGATCGCGATCTGCACCCTGTCATCGCACACACCACTCCTGTACAAAGCTGTCGGATCCAAATATGGTCATTTCCTTTTTATCAGCAACCAATCGTGAAAGTAAAAGGGGGGATTTAACTCTAAATGCGCGATCTCATTGGCTGATGCTAAATCTTTATAGCCAGTTTTCTCAAAATGACTTTTCTCTCATACTCCAAGTCTGAAATCTCCACTTCAGTAGCACCGATACACACCAAACCTTCCAGTCTTGTATCTAGTTATATCATGAAGACATTTACTGAGGGATTTGTAAATATATTATTATTCCTAACCTGATTTATATAACATTTTATTCCAAAAAACATGGCGAAAATCTTTTTTTTTTAAGGCTACTGACAGTATATTCGGATTTACAGGATAACAAAAGTAGATATCCATAAATCCCTCTGTAATTTTTGCCATCTAATATGTGAACACAATTAAAAAGTAATTTTGAACCTGGCTTTACCCAATACTCAGATGTTTTTTAATATATGCAAATTAGCACATATTTAATTAGATAATGCCTAATTTGCATATTTAAACATTAAATTACAGAAAACTTGCAATAATCTTAATGTAGGTAATCAACTGGGAAAGTTTCATGGTGATTAAGTGGTGTCTCACCTGTAGGGGCGGGAAATTTCCCAAACACACTCAAAGAGCTTAACCAATCACAACACACTGATCCAGCCAACCAATCAGAGCACAGTGTGCTTTTCAGAAGTAGGGGCTTCATAGAGACAGGAAGTAAACAAAGCGTTACTGACAGACTGGGAAGAGAGGAGCTGCCTGCAACAATGGAGAATATGAGGAGAATAATCAACATATTCTAGCAGAGCCCAAAAACAACATCTACACCTTATAAAAGGGTCTTTAATAAACTCTATTTGTGTATAATTCATTGTTTATAATGGTTAGATTAATTTTCTTCTTTCAGGTCTTCATGCTAGATACGCAGTGCTCACCTAAAACTCCCAGTAACAAGGAAGGGTTTGAGCACGCTCAGTCCTGTGTGCTGATCATTGAGCTTCCAGCAGATCCGCAATCCAACGGCCAAGCGCAGAAGAGGTGAGAGGATCCACATATAAACTCACACTGCAGATACGTATTACTTTAATAAGACTGTAGATCATGACGTGATACTGCAAGAAAGCGAGGGGACGCATCGCTCCCAATATTCAGTTTATTGGTTTTAGTGACTCATATGTAAAATGCCATTCATCCGATAGACCTGATATCAGAGAACCACTTTTAAAAAATTACAATCCAAAATGTTCAGAAAAATAAAATATAGTTAAGTTACATATTAAAACGGAAATGCTGTTTTAATCATACAGTAACCTGTTTGTGTGTTTTCTTCTCTTTCACATGCTGTGCTTGACACAGAAAAATTGGGTAAGGCCACTGCAAACAATACTGTTCTTCCATTTTTTTTTTAATTTATTTTATTTGATAGGAACAAGTGGGAACAATCAACATGCACCACACTACAACATTTATAGCCAAGGCTAATTTGCAATGTCCATCCCCAGATGGGCTTTTCACATAACAGTACATACATAATTACAGTACACAAATAATACATTTACAAGATCATTGCTTAAATCTAACATTGCATAAAAAATAAAAAAAAGTGCATGTGCGCGCAAACTATCAATGATTGCATAATTGAATAATTGATCGCTTTTTAAAATACGCTTTAATTCATTTTTAAAAGCCCCCAGATTTAAGTCCTGCTTCAACTCAGTGGGCAAGGAGTTCCATACGTTTTAAAGTCTCCCTGTAGTCAATCATTTTATTCCTTAAACTCATTTTGATCCCTGTAAAAAATGTGTCATGCCTTAAAATAGCTTGAATGTAATTCGACACCCTTGCCTCATTTAGTATTTGCGGTTCTATGAATATGCAAATGAGCCCCGCCTCCACTCACTCACTCACTCAGAGATCCACTGGTTGACGATCACACGTTGATCTGATTGGTTACAAGGTCGTTTGTGGCGTCAGAAACACCAGCGATTTCATTTTCAAACTGTGTTTGTGAGAAAATACGGTTAAAAACACCACATAGACATATAAACAACATTTATCACTTACAGAACAGGGTTGTACACTGCATGACACTGCATTTGTTTTGATATTTTGTATACCAATTAGGGATGCACCAATACGAAAATTTTGGCCAAAACCGATAATTCTTTGTATTTTAAAGCCGATTACCGATATTTTGGCCGATAAATCTAAATTCAAATTTTTATATCATTTTTGAGAGCGTGATTACAAAAGTCTCACCATTAAAAGGTACATAATTTTTTTTATGTAGTCTGTTTTTATGTTGTTTTTGAAGTGATTCCAATCATATTTCAAGCAATTAAAAAAAATGCTTAAATATATCAGCCAAATTTTCTTATCGGGCGATAACGATAACATAAAAAATGAACATATATTGGCAGATACCGATATATCGTGCATCCCTAATAACAAAGTATGCAGGGCATGGAATAGAAACAAAGAAAGTTAATTTTAGGACATCGGTCTTAATTTTCGCACGTAAAAAAAAAAATACGACCTCACGTTATGTCAATCACGCTTGCACACTCCCTCCGAAACTCTCGTTCGTCATAAAAAAAATCGCATCGGGTTCGATTTTCTGTGTTTTCGCATCCGTAGCAAGCCGTTCGAATGGTGTTTTGACGATTCAGAGCCACCGAATCACGAATACGAAAAAAAAACGCATGCGAAGATGTGCGAACTGTGCGAACTTAAGGCGAACTGTTTCTGTGCAGGATTCCCTTCAGGACTCTGGTGGTGAGTTTGCTGTCTCATCAGGTGCTCCTCCAGAACCTGTATGATATCCTCTTGGAAGAGTTTGTGAAGGGCTCCGGGGTCCCTGAGGGCCAGGCCAGGGTCCCGGCCGTGTCGGAGCCCCGAGGCGCAGGCTTTCTCCGCTACATCTCCATGCAGAACCTGGCCATCATCTTTGACCTGCTGCTGGACTCGTACCGCACAGCGCGGGAGTTCGACACGCGTCCCGGACTCAAGTATCTGCTCATGAAAGTGTCGGGGGTGTGTGGAGCTGCCAACTTATACCGCCAATCTGCCATGAGCTTCAATATCTACTTTCAGGTACATTTACATTCTTGCCTCGGTATATACAGGGACAAAACAATGTGAGCTGCAGGGAAATTTTAATATTGACAAATATGTTTTACAAAAATAGGCCTTTAATACAGCTTCCAATTGTAAAAATTGTATATGGTAGGGGGCGCTATTACGCATCTTCTGAAAGAGTGCAGAATGTCTAGATCAAAACACAGGCGAAGAAGAAGCAGAAACAAGGTTTTTTGTGTTTTTTGTTTTTTATTGAACAATTATTCATGTGCAAACAGTATGGCAATTATTATTAAATCTTAAAGGACAAGTTTGGTATTTTACAATTAAAGCCCTGTTTTGAAATAGAATGGTTAGGATTGTTTTTTAGACAGATGCTGCTGTCACGAGAATTTTGGGTTTCTGTGTTAGCACCCCGCACCCCCCCCCCTCATTCATAAAAACGCATAAAACATTAGTATACAAAGACGTGAAACTCACCGAGTGGTCTGGGGTGTTCACTGATATGCTCACACAAAAATTGCCTCAAAAGATGCTTTTCAACAGGTGTTTTACCATTCGTTATAAAACTGTAGACCTATTTTTCCGAACACCTCACAGCCGGACATTCTTCCGTTGAGAGCTTGAATAATAGACAATCCAGCCCAGTTAGTGGCGATAATGCACCTTTGCCAAATGCAAGCAAACCACTTGTATACATGCGACCTATGCACGCGACTGCATAAGACTACAGAAAGAATACAAACAAGGCCCATTTCCGTTTCCAGGCGGCGGAGAAATAACGGACATCACAGAACATACAATACAAGTCAATGGAGTTGGACAAAAACTACGATAAAACCTGTTGGCGCGGCGCGGAAGAGCGCGGCACGGAAGATGGGAATACGCCTCATTCGCGCGTCAAGTTCACGCGAATGGCTCGAATTGAGCGTCTGGTGCCCGAGTTGAAAATCTGAACTTTGGCGTCAATTCGCGCCGCGTTAACCAATCAGGAGCCTGCTGCTTGGTGAAGTGTCTGGATGCTTCAATAAATTATTTTGTAATTTGACTAAATGCATGGTGGGATTCTTATGCACAACAAAGCAAATATTTTATCACTCAAAACTTTATTTCTATATTCGAGACATGCTCATTTTGTATTGAATGTTATTCATTCCATTTCTAGATTATATGAAATATTATTATGATGTAAGACAACCAACATTCATGTGCATAAGTTTGTGTCTGGATGTGAGAGAGAAAAAATATCACAGGACAGGTTAATAACTTTTGAAGGCTGGCTCTATTTATCATCAAAACAAAAATAAATGACAGCTAGATTAGGTGGATGAGGGCGAGGGTGATCCTCGCTCAGATGTGGGACAACAGGTCATCAAACTGGGCGCGGGACAGGCGGAAGTACCGCTGACAGCGGCCGTCATCCAGCGCAGCTCCTGGAGCGAGCAAATGGTGAAACTCGCCAAACGGTTCGCCTTCGAAGGTCCGGAGGACACAAATATACGGCGACGATGATCCCCACATCGCTGTTCTGCTTTCCAGAGTAAATACAGAGCGGTGACTCTCTCTCGATGAATGCTCGATCAACTTAAAAAAAGATGGCCTCCAACGGGTTTCGATTTTGACGCGCGAGACGTTCAAGCTTTTGATTTTATGCACGTCAGTTTCGCTCTTGACACGCAAATTAAAGGGTTAGTTCACCCAAAAATGAAAATTAAGTCATTAATTACTCACCCCCATGCTGTACCAACCCCGTAAGACCTTCGTTCGTCTTCGGAACACAAATGAAGATATTTTTGATCAAATTTGAGAGCTGTATAACTACCACATTGGCTCCTAAAGGACTGCCTCTTGACGGCCCAGAAAGTCAATGAAGAAAATGTTTAAATATCCCAAGTGACTACCGTGGCTCAACTATATGTTTATCAAGCGACGCGAATACTTTTTGTGCGAAAAAACAAACAAAAATAACGAGTTTATTCGACTATTTCTTTTCTTCCTTGTTGGCCTGAAACGAGACTTCCTTAGATTTCCACGACGCATGCGCGAGAACTGAACTGAAGTAGTTGAAGCAGATCGCAATTCTCGCGCATGCGTCGTGGAAATCTAAGGAAGTCTCGTTTCAGGCCAACAAGGAAGAAAAGAAATAGTCGAATAAACTCGTTATTTTTGTTTGTTTTTTCGCACAAAAAGTATTCGCGTCGCTTGATAAACATATAGTTGAGCCACGGTAGTCACTTGGGATATTTAAACATTTTCTTCATTGACTTTCTGGGCCGTCAAGAGGCAGTCCCTTAGGAGCCAATGTGGTAGTGATCCAGCTCTCAAATTTAATCAAAAATATCTTCATTTGTGTTCCGAAGACGAACGAAGGTCTTACGGGGTTGGTACAGCATGGGGGTGAGTAATTAATGACTTAATTTTCATTTTTGGGTGAACTAACCCTTTAACACAAAGTGGTCAAGCGTCAAACTAGACGCGGTAGCATTACAATTGCTATATATGTCAGAGGTTGCACGTCTCTGGAGCAACTAGGGGTTAAGTGTCTTGCTCGGGGACACATTGGTGTCTCACAGTGGATTCGAACCCGGGTCTCTCACACCAAAGGCATGTGTCTTATCCACTGCGCCTGATGTGTGAAACCTTACTGTGTTCATTTGTTTCGAACCGTCAAGTGATTTAACTGGTGGATATCTTTGTGCACTTCAGGCTTTGCTGTGTGCAATGCTGACGAACCAGGAGAACATGACGGTGGAGCAGGTGAAGAAGATCCTGAGTGAGGACGAGGAGGGCGGCTCAGACTCGTCCCAGCAGTGCTCCTCCGAGGACGAGGATATCTTCGAGGAGATGGCCCAGGTGAGTCCTCCTCGTGCGCGGGAGAAGCGTCAGTGGCACGCTCGCGTCCCGTCTCTGAGCACGCAGCCCTCCAGCGGCGCAGACTGGGCCTGGCTGGTCAAACGCCTGCACAAGCTCTGCATGGACTCGTGCAACAACTACATCCAGATGCACCTGGACCTGGAGAGCAGTTTAGGAGAACAACCCACACACCGGGCCGACCCGCTCTTTTTCTTACCGCTTTTTAATTCGGAGACGTCCACGCCCTCGACCGGGGGCCCGTCGGGTCACGGGACGCCCTCAGAGGACAGTGTCCGCCTTCACCTCGACGAAACGCCCTCGGATGAGATCCACAGTCCCGGTGGATTGAGTGCAAATGTCCCCCAGCTGAGAGGAGAGCGGAGAGACGGGGCCCGTAAGAAGGAGTGGTGGGAGAGTGCGGGGAACAAGCTGTACACCATCGCCACCGACAAAACCCTCAGCAAACTCATGATCGAGTACAAGAAACGCAAGCAGCAGCAGCAGCACAATCACCCTGTGTTCCCCAAAGACGCCGGAGAGAAGAGGGGCGAGGCGGGGACCCTGCGCGGGCCGGACCCCCCGGGACCCCCGAGGCCTCAGCAACTGGTGGAGCAGGGGCCGATGAGACACTCCTTCAGCGCGGGGCCCGAGCTCCTGAGGCAGGAGAAGAGGACCCGATCGGGCTCCGCCGCCAGCTCGCACAACATCTCCATCAGAGACTCTGAGGCACAGATACAGGTGAGACCAAATACACTCAAAACTTACAGGCAAGACTAGTAGTTTGTGTAGGCCTGGTTTATAGGGAATTACAACTGAAACGCACATAACTATAGAATCAGTTCTTAAAGGAGTAGTTCACTTTTAAAAAAGCTGTTGCTGATAATTTACTCACCCCCATGTCATCCAAGATGTCCATGTCTTTCTTTCTTCAGTCGAAAAGAAATGAAGGTTTTTGATGAAAACATTCCAGGATTTTTCTCCATATAATGGACTTCAATGGGAACCAAATGGTTCAAGGTCCAAAAGACAGTTTCAGTTCAAAGGGCTTTAAACGATTCCAGATGATGAATAAGGGTCTTATCAAGCGAAACGATCGCTCATTTAATAAATAAACAAAGTTTACATTTTATAAGCTCTAATGCTCGCCTTGCTCTGTTCTGTGATGCGCGTTCGTGATTCTCCTGTTTGAACTCGTTTATCAAAATGAACAAATCTTTTTCCGAGTCATTTGGTTTATTCAATGAACGAAATGAACAAATTCACTCGAAAAAAGATTTGTTAATTTTGTTGAACGATTTCAAACAGGAGAATCACGAACGCTCATCACAGAACAGAGCAAGGCGAGCATTAGAGCTTATAAAACTTAAACTTTGTTTATTTATTAATTAAATGAGCGATCATTTCGCTTGATAAGACCCTTATTCATCGTCTGGAATCGTTTAAAGCCCTTTGAACAGTTTGCACTGAAACTGTCTTTTGGACCTTGAACCGTTTGGTTCCCATTGAAATCCATTATATGGAGAAAATCCTGGAATGTTTTCATCAAAAACCTTAATTTCTTTTCGACTGAAGAAAGAAAGACATGGACATCTTGGATGACATGGGGGTGAGTAAAGTAAGTTTTTTCAAAAGTGAACTACTCCTTTAATGCGCATGTGAACGCCATCAGCATTTATAACAGGTTCAGTTTAAAGTCTGTTTAGAGAGAACGCTGTCATCTTAGCGGACCCTAATTTAATAACAAATGATCATTTCAATGGAAGGGAATTAAACAAAACTAACACCATGTCCTAACTGCACGCGACGCGATAAAATTCCAGCGACAGCAAATGTGTCTGTCCACACTAGACGCGACGCGACTGTGACTGTGCCTATGGTGTGAGCACAGTCTCTCTGTGAAAGCGCACTGTTGGCCCGCACTCGCATTGGAAATGGGTAAGGACATAATCAAATTAAGAAATAACATTATTAAAAATCAAAACATTAACAAAATATACTCATTGACTAATTTTGTGATGAAGTACAGTCGTATGTTTGCATAGAATTCATTTTGAACGCTATATTACATGCTTTCAAAATCTGAGGTAAATTATCCGTTATCGCTTGTGGCACAGTGACCTATTTTTAACTAAAAATAAATAATGTATACTCATAACCAGTGTGATTTCTTCATTCTGTCAGCCGCAACGTCGCAGAAATAGGAACCGTTTCTAAATTAGAAACTTCACGTGTCGCCGTCGCGTCTGGTTAGGACAAAAACTCTGATTAACATGGAAAAGATACCTTTTATCGTGCGTCGCGTCGCGTGTAGTTAGGACACGGTGTGTAACTTTAGCTGAAAGATAGAAAGAAAGAAAGAAAGAAAGAAAGAAAGAAAGAGAGAAAGAAAGAAAGAAAGAAAGAAAGAAAGAAAGAAAGAAATAGACAGAAATACAGACATGCACATCTTGGATGGCATTGGGGTGAGTAAATTATCAGGAAATTTTCATTTTGAGGTGAACTACTCCTTTAAAGGCACACCGCGGAACTTTTGGCCACTAGTGGCGCTCGACCTGTAACTTTCACGTCTAGCGTCCCTAGAGGCCGCACGCTCCGCAGCACTGTCGCAAAAGTCAACAAACAGTCAACCGTGACGAAAACATACAGACGGCAATCAAACGCATGTTGAGGACTCACGTCAGAATCTGAGGAAGTTGTGGGGGACGTAGGTGACGTATGCCGTAAAGCGGTCGAATTTTGTAGTTCTTTTTGTGCTCGGGTTCCTACCCGAAACCCGAAGTTACATAGTGCTAGTAAAAGCGATACAAATACCTTCAGGCTACGGCAGACGTGTCATTCAACCTATTGTAAGTCGAAGTACCATCTCAGTGGGTTTTGGTAATATATTATAAAGGTTGAAAAGTTCCACAGTGTGCCTTAAACAGAAGAATAGAGTCAAATTACTGAACTTTCAGCAAAACCATTGCGTTATTTTTTGGAGTTGGAGACTTTTTGTATTCTTTTATGAATATTTTATGTTATGTGGATTTTCCTGCCCAGGCCTGGACCAACATGGTCCTCACGATCCTGAACCAGATCCAGGTGTTGCCGGACCCCACGTTCATGGCCCTCCAGCCAGCCGTGTTCCCCTGCATCAGTCAGCTGACCTGTCATGTGACCGACCTCCGAGTGAGGCAGGCGGTGCGCGAGTGGCTCGGGCGAGTGGGGCGCGTGTATGACATCATCCTGTGATCGTGTGCTTTACTCTTCGCTCATATGTCCTGTGGCGTCCAACTTTGCTAACTCTTTTTACCGTAGTGCACACAGTGATCTCTGTGTAATACCAAACCCTTCTGCGAATGTTCTTCAACATCCATGCTGTTATATTCAGAATCTATATTTTTATTTATTTATATCTCTGAATGTTTATGTGCCATATACAGAATTATGTTGTTTTTCTCTCTCATCTATATGAACATTTCAACCAGTTAAAGCCATTGCTCAATGAACTTAATGCACTTTCGTCAATGCTTTGATTAATATATCTAAAGCATGAACTCGTGCTTTGCTAAATGCAGTTTTATGGTGGTATTAGTTCATGTACATATTATACAATGCCTTAAAATATGAATTTTCAGAGGAATTGGCTTAAGTTAGATATTTAATTCACTAGAAGACATTGTCATTTGGTAGTATGAGCATAGTTTAAGGATGTGTTGAAAGCTGTTTAATATCCAACGTCCATCCAGTCAGAAACTGTGCCATAGATCCCACTACCCATAATCCAACGGGAATCTAAGTTCACCAAACAACACTTCGTCTGACTAAACTTGAATAAAAGAGTGAGAAATAAAATCTACAATAAGTGTAGTTTTTATAAAACCTAAAAGCCACTTATTATCTCCAACGGTTTAGGGATCTTTTAACTGGAGACTATTTACAGTCTATTTATGTTTGCACTTACAATTTTAACGCTTTATCCCAAATATATTTTATTCATCGATGTAGAACTGCAGTTGTTTTGACTTTTCATTTTTGTCTTCAATCATCTGCATGTATTATCTATATGTTGATTTTTATGTGCGCGTGAAAAAGGATATTTATTTTGTGATGCTTAATGTTATTAAGAGAAATTTGCTCGACAAGTTACAAAGAAATGTTATGTAATTCATATACAGTTATTTCCGAAAAGGCTATTGTGCTGTACACTTCATTATGTGCAATGGGAACTATGAGAATCTGGACCATACACACATACTCTTTACATGTATCCAGTGCACACACAGCCTATGTTGTGTAATCTTTAGCTCGTTTTGCTCATTTTCGGTTGCTTGGCATAAACACCAGGGGGAGATTAAACCGGATGTTGAAAGGGACCAAAGACTAAGATTGAATTCTGGAAAACTATTATTTTCAGCAAAACAAAGAGTCCAGGTTTTCATTTTCTTTGTTCCTCTTCTTCTTTTTCTAGGTACACACTGAAGTCTAGTCTACATCTGTCTGTTTTGAGTCGGTTAGCACAAACGTTCTGTTTCAACAGATTTTGTCTGTGCAAAAATAAGGACTTTATAAACTCTAAGGGATATTTTTAGAGGATGTTTTGTGTAAATGATTGGTTTGAGACTAAACTTTCAGCGCTCTCTGTCTAAATCCATAGGAAAACACTATGGGTTATGTTGTGCAAACATGAAAATACAAGCTAAAATGTGTAATAGTTTATAATGCCACTCCATTCCCTGTAATCATCCCATAATGCACCAAGCATATATCTATTATTTTAAGTACTCTGGTGAGGATATATTAGTGTGTGTTTTGGAGGGGGTGCGCTCATACTTGTTTACTACATGCTGTTTATTATCTGACTTCTATCAATCAACTGCAGTACATGTGCATTACGCTGAATGTGTTCTGGAGTGTTTATTGGACGATCATTTATGTTTAAGTGTTGTAGAATAAATAAGCAGAGTTAAAAACCGTGTGTGTGTTTTATTATTGGCCAGTTTCTTTTGTTTAATGATATATTAATCACATAAGCACATAAAAAGCAAACTGATTTGCAAAAACCACTACTTTTCTTTTGCGTGGATTCTTCATCTATTTTTGAAATCATATATATGTGTGTGTGTGTGTGTGTGTTTTGGCCATTCTACAGAATTAGTTCGAAGTCGGATTTGGAAACGTCTTGAATTATCATATTGTGTTTTCAGAAAGTTTTCGAATATTTTTCCTCTCTCCAAATTTGTCGTCACCGAAACACAAAAATAAATAATTTAATGAGACGGCTTATATTTTGTTATCTACCTTGTAAAGATATTTTTTGCTATTTTAAAAAAAAAAATCACAGGCAAATCAATAATTACAATTTTAACAATATTTCAAGTGTAATTTATCAAATTTGTTGTATTTTGAACCCACTCTTTCTTTGTAGAAGGCATGAAGTTTATCGTACTGATTTCAAAGTTAAGGATTCATTAGTTTGAATATGCATCGAACCAAACACTATCATAACATCTTAGTTGATAAATAATTATACTTTATTTTAGACAAAACAGGCATGTTTTGGTCGTGACAGTAATGTATTGGTAGCGACCACATCACATTCAGAATTTTAACTCGCATTCACACTACTAAAACATACTAAGATACTAAAATTAGGTATTATTGTAGATATAAATGTCTCATTCTAAGGTAATAAAAACATTACAGTTTATTAAGTTCTTTATACACCACTGAAAACAAGTTTCTGTTAATAGATCCTCAACACTTTTGCACATTGCACCGAGGACACCTGTGTGACACACACTTCCAATCTCCTTATTGACTCAATTAGCTTTTGGAAAGACGTTACATGAAGGTTAACTTACTTTTCCCAGCCTAGCCTTTCAATAATCACCCAACGTCATCAATACAAATGAGAAAAATAGAGAATTTGTGTGTAATTACTTCAGTCAGATTGTGTTTGTCTATAATTGTGACTTAAATTAATAAGTAATCAATGCATAAATCCAGATATATTTTCAGAGGGCTCACAAACTTGCCACATACATCAGCCCATTGTTATGGACGTAATGCACGTATATATGTGTTTGACATTACCAAGTTGCTAAAGAAAGTCAGTCGTGATCCCAAAGCCATGGGATTGACCCCGGATGGCCTCACAGCTGTAATGTAGGCCAGTTGAAGGATTGGATGCTCCGGCACCACCTCTTGATCCCGCTGGAGTCGAGCTGCTTCCAGGCGGACACAGGGTGTATAAGCCATTAATGCTATAGATGATGCAGCTGTGTGTTATCAGCCCTCACACACAGCAAACATGCGTGTGCTCCTGGACAGCAGCTGGATTCAGTTCGGCCCGGCGGGACGGGGCTCGTACGACTGGGTCGCAGGCGCATCCGCTCCGCCATCGGCTGAGGACCGTCTCAAGGTAAAACTCCTGCTTGTACAGACTAAACATGAAGTAAATGAACCCTAAGTGCACTCATTCCTCCAGGAGTAGCCCATCACATTTCTATATGACCGCTTTCATTTCGTGATCATTTAGTAACTGTCGTCACCCATCAACTGAGAACCGTCTCAAGGTGAAACTACCTCTTTTTCACAGGCTTTCAACTGTGCTTGATTTTTAATGTTGAATTTTTCTGATGAATGTTTTTGATGTGATTTTTGACTCCCTTTATCATTTGTTTTGCGGGTCTTTCTTGTTTTTAAAAAATGTATACTGCAGCACAATGACCAATTATAAATAAAACTTGATTGATTGATTGATTGATTGGACGTAAATCAACCTTAAGTGCACTCATTCCTCCAGCTTATCGCATCTCTATGACTGCTTGTCACACCATGATCAATCACGGCTAGACTTGGATCCCGTCTTTGGATTACTCTGTTTAATAAATTGCATTTGGATCCGTTACCTTTGCGTCTCAGAGTAGTTCGTAACACGGGTGAAGTTTTTGCGGAAAATTCCCAGTCCACAAGTTGTTATTAGAAGCTCAATGAGGACACGAACGCTTTTTACAAGTTGGAAAGTCAATGTTACGACAACAGTTCCAAATTTAGCAGACAAATTTTATCACAAGAGAAAATCAAAACCAATTTGTCAAGGAATTGCTTTTATTGAACGTCACCTTCGCCAAGCTTTTGACAACTCTTTCAGTCTTTATTTAAAAAACAAGGTTGAGTGAGAACAGTTTGAAATGTTTTGGGGTTTTTTTGTTGTAGTTTGACTCTCCCAAATGGCCCTCACGATCTTCGTCAGAGCTCACGCTTTTGTGACGTAATGCCGCTTTGACTGTCATTGGCTCGCAAGAACCCTTCTGAAAGCTAAAATGACAAATGGGACACCTTACGATCTTCTGACTTTTGGACATACACATGAAGCGTGCCATTCTGGACAGGGCCTTAGTAGACAAGTACCTCGGTTGATGATTATTAATGGTCTCAACAACATCTGTAGTCTCATTTAGACACTTAATAGCAACCCCCTTTATCAAAACAAGTAAAAGCTTTAAATAAACCACAAGGCAGTATTAATGATGTATTTTATGCAGTAGAGTAAAATGTAAAATAACCTATTGACCTCAGGGTGATGGAACTGAAAGCACTAACTCATTTCTGGGGTTTGGCCTACAAAAATACATCATCTCTGCAGCACAACATTGCTGTGATGTCATGTGAGTTACAGGTTGCCCCGCCCTCGTCATCAGATAAGAGAATAGATGCAGCAAGTTGTTCTGATTCAAGATTACTTATTTATTAAACACTGCAACATTCCATTTTTTATACATATAGCCTAATTGTCAGTTTTGATTTCAAGCTGACTTTAAGGAATAAAGAATGATGATGTGATTTATTACGTGTCTGTTGTCATGTGTTGCCAGGGTTACTGGTACGAACTGACTTCGAACAAGGTCGAGGAGAGAGCGGAGGTGACGATCTATGTTGCCATAATAACGGGCTCGCTGCTCTTCCTCATGGGATTTGTCTTTTTCGCTTACAAGAGATGTTTCAGGGTCAAAGAGAACACGACCAAAGTAATAACACTGGATGGCACCGCTGAGTTTCTGTCCACTTTGGAGGAAGGAGACTGCGCTGAAGACGGGACTGACGGGGTTTTTCTGATGGTTTATCTAGCGGCTCCCTACGAGGAAACCCTGACGAAGATCGCGCGCGCCGCCAGCACTTCCGGCTCACACAATGACCTGGAGATTGAGGAAATACACACAGAAAACTCCAGTGATCAGGAGTGATCATTCAAAGCTCATATTTCACCTCCAATGTAAAGCATATCGATTCAAATGATGCATTAACACTAACAAAACATGGGAGTATCACTGTTTTCTTTTAAATCCCATGCAGTTTTTGTAAGGAAGTTGTAGTGCCAGCTTTAGTTTTGAATATTTATGATCAATGAAACTACAAAATATGTATTAATCTTAATAGCAAGTCGTGAAACAGCCACAAAAGGATTTGTATTTTACTATAATGCAGTGATTTTGTAGTTTTGTATATTATAATAAAGAATAGTTTGTAAAATATAGGCTTTTTTGTGTGTGCAATGAATAATTCACTAACACTATTGCCATTAAAACTTTACAACTCAGCAGTTTGTGTAAGGAAGTAGTGCCAGCTTTGTTTTTGAATATTTATGATCTATGACTATGAAATTATAAAATATGTATTAATCGAAATGGAATACGATTTTGAATTCTAGTAGTATCTATCTAGTAGTATCTAGTATATAATAAGTATAGTGTGTAAAATATAGGGCCTAGTCTTTTTTTTTTTTTTTTTTGCAGAATGGTTTTAATAGTTTTGCAACATTTTTAAAGATGGAAAACTTCTTGTATCTCAATAGTTCTCTTTTTTGTAAAATATTTTTACCTCATCATTATTTCATTGGTAAGAAATGTCCAATTACCTATAATGGAGATGTTACCAACAGTGACACATAAAAACAATATATTTTTATCTCTAGTTAATATCAGCTCTTCCGCCACATTATGTGATTCTGCAAGCAAAGTGAAATAAAATTAAATTGCATTACCATGTAAATTGGTTTGAGAAACTGAATCATTGATTAGTGTTGAGAATTCCTATGGATCACATGACATAGGAGCTAAGTCTCCTCAGGTGCACTTAATGAGTGATAAGGTACTATTGTTTGGTGTGTTGCACATGCAATGGAAACAGATTGTCCTTCCTTTCTTTCCTAATGAGAGCCTTTGAAGAGTTTATGTGTTCCTGACAATGTAAGTTTGTTTTATTATGTTAATTCATGAGATTCTGTTTGTCTAATTCTGAAATGTGTTATGTGATTGATTCTTTTGTTTCTTATTATTTTGATGTAGGATTGCATTATGTGATAAATGATTTATTAGTTGAAGTTCTATGGTGTTAATTATATTTAAGATTCTGTTTTTTTTTTTTTTTTTTTTTTTTAGAAACCATACAACTCTATCTGATTCCAGTTCACCCTGTGGCCTTATGGACTGAGTATTGGATCCCAGTGTTTTAATGGACACACCATCCTGGTAGCACTTTTCCTGAACTAAAGTTTTTATCAGAAATTTACACTGAGGATTTCGAGTATTGGTCTAGGGATTCTCTGAACAGTATTCTGTTTGTTTCAGATTGTTACATGGTTAAAAAGCACACGTCTTAGTATAGTTAACCATGTCAAATTCCAGTGTTGTGATCATATAAGATAAATGTGGTCTGACTCCTGTTTTAATGAAATTCTGCATCACTTTGGCCTCACTAATACACACAACATGCTTTCTTACTCACTGAAGCTCACAAGAATACACAGATAGATTGAGCTGCATTAGCAAACAAACTCAGCACTGAGGTACACGACACGTGCCACGTATTAGAAATGTCTAACACACTATTTACGGTACACCGCCCATATTCTTCACAGCATGCAAAAAGTAGCCATAATGCAAGTAGCCATTAGTTACTGTGCAAAACTGACTTTAAAATGTTGAACAGATGTCAGGAAGACAAGACCAATCATCATCTGTGCGAGTCAATGGGGAACTTTCATCTTTAGTTCTTAATAAACAAAAATAGCCATTCTCTTCAAAGCAAAGTTTGAATGATGTTTGTACTTTAAAAGGGCTAAACGAACTGTCTTAGGCAGGAATAGCCTATCTCTGAGCTGTAGGGTTAAAGTAGAGCAGCTGATGTTAGTGTAAACTCTCAGGTCTCAGGCTGCTTGAAGAGTCACTCCAAAGAAAACACACCTACTAAGAAATCGATGCAGACTGGCCCCAGTCCTCCAATTTACTTCGGTCACACTTGATTGAGATTTTTTTTAAAATAACTAATTTAACTTTTCTATATGCCATTTTTTTTTTGTATTTACTTTTAACCAGGTGATATCAAGGGAAGTTTTAGTGAGGTATAATGTCAGATGCCCTCAAGTTTATTTGGTTGCTAAAAAGAGTGCCTCTTCATTTTGAACACAATATCCATTTGGTCATTCCATTTGAAATTCTTGCTTGAAAAATGTGATTGTTATATTTTTTTTTTCATAATTTAGTTCCCAACATATTTTTTCCAATCTTACGTCACATCTGCAGCCCCTTCATCAGCCTCAAACCAGAGTTTTTTTGAATGAACCATAACTAGACTAAATATAGACATCATAACACAGAAAGTAGAAAAGTATGTTGCATAACATGTTACTCCTTAAACAGCGTTCATTTTATAAGTCATTCTTTATGTCGAAGGTTCAACAAAACAAATCACTGGAACCTGCTTTAATAACACCTTATGCAATGACCGTGTGGTGCAGCGCCATCGTGTGTTTCAGCGCGGAACTGCAGCTGTTATCAGGAAAAGGATATGGCCATAATTCAGCGTTCTCCTTTTATTCTGTATTTTTACTTCAAATCAGAACTTGGGGAAAATCTTGTCATTACAAAAAGCACTTCTTGTTGCTTTGACTTGACATTCTGCATACAACATATTCATAACATAAAAATAAGAAGCATTTGTTTAACTTTAAAACATTTTTATTACAAACATCTAACATTTTTGATTATGCAATAAATAAAGTGGCATTCACATTAAAGGCATCAGACAAGGGACTTCAACTAATCCTCTGAATTTTTCCGTGTGGGATCCAATTTTGTGCCTTCATAAATGACTTTATTCTTCATGCCGTCCTGAATGATTCTCTGCTGAACACGCAGCTTGGCGTTATTATATCTACAGTAGAACCTGTAAAATACATGAGATAAACAGCTGATCCTCCTGATTATATAGCATTTTTCAACACAATTAATTATAATTTCCCCCATTCTAATGCACATTTTCATATTCATATTTCTATAATGGACAAAAAAAACCCACCCTTTTTTATTTGACTTGATTGGTAATATGTTGGTTAAAATATATGCGTATTAACCTGTACTTGTACAGTATTAAGAACCTTTTTATAGTTTCAATGTCAGTTTTTGAGACACGCACCATGAGCCCAGAGTCGTAAGCATGAATCCTGCGACACCCACATCAAATGACCTCTTCACTCGACCTGTGAACAAGTCGAGCATTATATTAAAGACATAAAACATTATAACAATACTGAGGATCAACAGAATCATGCTCTTACTTGTTGCCAAAAAGTGCAGCAGTCCTGTGACTAGTGAAGCGCCGGCTCCGTGTAGAAGAGATTCCCGAGCACACGGCGTATTCTGGATGTCAAGGATCCCCATCACCTTCAGCCCCTGTGTGTGTTATAATAATGTTAGGGTCCAACTAATGACTGAACACTCTAGCCTACTCATTTATTTGTATAAAATGCCTCTGATTATAAAAATACAGTGTACATCTTTGCCACTTATTCACTAATCTCTTCTGGGTTTGGTGAATAAATATTAATGACAAAAATACCATGTTATAGTATCAGATAGCAATACCATGGTACTTTTTTGTGCTAGATAACAAGGTGAAAGCAACCATAACAATGTAGGCTCAAAGGCATAAGGCTCAATGTCCTGCATCCATACCCTAACCATGATTTTACTGCATAAAAATAAATAAAACATGGTTATTATTGTAGTTAAACCATGGTAACCACAAATTAACCCCGTTAACCCCAGTTTAACCATGGTATTTTTTGTAAAACAAATGGTATTGGTTATACAACTGGTAATCAATCCGCCAAAAAATCATAGTTAATACACTTTACTATATTTTCCAAGGGTATTTGTGGCCAGAGTATTATATGACCGTGTCTTATAAACAACAGCGTAACTTAATATCTCACTACAATTATTGAATAAAATTACACTCACTTTGCTCTTACCGTCCTCCTCGGTCATTTTCGAGATGAATTTTCATTCAACCAAGTTCATCTACGTTATGAAATGATGATAACCCATTACTTTTGCGGTGCGCCGAAAAATCCTTCCTGACGGAACACTTAAGCTGGCTATAGTTGGTTCCGGTGTTTAGAGGTGTTACAGCAAGCACGTAGGCCTAATTAGCAAAATGTAAAATAAAATAAGATTCCACTTCCAGTGTTGATATATTTACATAAATAGGCTACTGAATGCACAACAGAGAAAAATAACTATTTGCTGCTTTTGCTGACAGAAATCGTAGCCTATAGCTAGGCAATACGTTTTAGTTTTTAATCATATGAAGGCTAAATGAGATGTTTCATCCCCTTTAAATGTTGTTGTCAAATGACAATCTCTGCCATGTCGTATAAAACAACACATAACAAGATGATACAAATTTATAGTTTGGAGTCATATGGGAATTCAGTTTCCCCTGATCCTTTGAAAGTTGCTAACTTCTAACTTCTATTAAAGTTGCTATTCTAGCAGCTAGGCTGACAACTATCATGTTCACTGTTCTCACGCAGTAAACAATACATTGCAGAGCAAAGGGACAAAGCCATTACAATTCTGTAGATTATATTATGAAATTCAAACAATTAATGTGTTTTACCGCCCCCTACCGTATAAAATGATGTGCTGATATAGCTGGAAGCGCAAAACTTTCTGTTTTCAAGCAGAGGAAGATGCGCGCTGTACATACGCTTTTCAATTAGCGTATTTTCCGCACTATAAGGTGCACTTAAAAGGCTTTAATCTTCTCAAAAAACGACAGTGTTCCTTATAATCCGGAGCGCCTTATATATGGATAATCATCTTATACGGTAGGGGGCGGTAAAACTCCTAAGCGGAGCAGCCGGTAACAAGAAGTAGACGAATGAGAACGTCCTCGTCTCAGTTCTCGCGCATGCGCCCATAAGGAAGTAATGGAATAGTGGAATAAAGTCGTTATTTATGTTTTTTCCGCACAAAAAGTAGTCTCGTCGCTTGATAAACTTATAATTGAGCCGCATAGGCACATGGAATATTTAAACCTTTTCTTTAATGACTTTATGGGCCGTCAAGAGCCAGTCCCTTATGCAGTCTATGGAAGAGTGATCCAGCTCTCATATTCAATCAAAAATATCTTCATTTGTGTTCCGAAGATGAACGAAGGTCTTACTGGGTTGGTACAGCATGGGGGTGAGTAATTAATGACTTAATTTTCATTTTTGGGTGAACTAACCCTTGTGTAATCGTGAAATGATCGCTGTAGCACGTGAACCATTTACTATAGCACAAAATAAACATGAATGAACAATGGGATATCATGTTGAAAAATACAGTAGGCCTACAACTTGCTAAAATGTAGCCTATGTAATCACACAATCAGTGTTTTAACCACAAAAATATGTCAATAAAACAGCTTGTAAACAATATCATGTAATGTTAGCCTACATTTCCACATGCCATTCAATGACCATACACTTTAGCTAGAAAAAAGGACTCTACAGAGAATACTTTTACTAAAAAAATATTCATTATATTATATTTTGTTTACTCTTAGGCCTATTAAAAAAATCATTATATGCAAATATAATCATCCACTACATTGTATCTTTGGTGGACTTAAAAACTCATTTAGTGGAAGATTAGTAATGCCTCGGTGTTCTAATCTACAGAACGATTTAGAAGGTATTTTACTCCGAATGCAGTTAGGCTTTTTTTAATGAAATCGTGTAATTTCTTGCATTGATTGTTGTTGTTTTTTAATGTTTGTTTGTCTGTGGTGTCTGTAATGTGCAATAGTGGCGAATGAGTGTCCCCATGCAGGGATTAATAAAGTTTTCTAACTAACATAAAGTTTTCTAACTAATATTAATTTTAACTTTAATATTATAATGGACCAGCTACAACATGTAGCTGTCCCTGATATATATCCAAATGAATTGATTTCGGATCAAACTGAATCTACAATTCAAATCCTAATAAAAACACAAAGATCTTTCCCTAAATATACTTTTATCAAATATTTCTTAATGGTAGGCCTACTTTATTATTATTATTTTAGAAGAACAAAATCTAAAGAACCTTTTTTCCAACCTGAAAAAGGTTCCAAATATTCTTTATTTTATATTCAAAGAACTTTATTTTTAAAAGTGTATATGTTGTCAAATAGAGTGTTTTTTTAGTGCCTTGCTATAACAGTGTTGGGCCTCAGACCTTGATCATCTCCTGACCCTGGACCTGTGTTTAACATGGAGGCCATGGGATCGAATTTAGCTCCACGGAAATGATGTTAGATGAGATATGAAACGGTCCAAACTGACACTGAATGCACAGCAGGTGTGTTTTATCTTCCTTCTGACCTGACAAACTGAAAGAGTCGTGGAAACACATAATCCACTTGAGATCAGTGCGATTAATTTAAGGTCAGATTTTGGTTTAATCGTCGGTCACTTGGTTTCAGTGTCCTATATAAATCTATCCAGATGATCTGAACACACAGAGTCTCTTAAGACAGCCCGCTGAGCAACACACACACACCTGTCAAGTAAGTCTAATACATTATTAATAGGCTATACAGTAATATTGTGAATGTTTCAAAGGCGCTTCAATGAAATTGCTTTCCTTCCACAGGATGTTAGCCGTCCGAAACAACATCCTCCTCCTCTTATTCTGTTCAGTTGTGGTCGTTGCTCAAAGCTCCTTTCTTCCTCCATGTGAGCCAATCAACGAGACCGTCTCTGTGGAGAAAGAGGGCTGTCCGAAGTGCCTGGTGTTTCAGACCAGCATCTGCAGCGGACACTGCCTAACTAAGGTGCTCTTTCTGCTCTATGTGCATGGGAACCATTTTTAGCAACTTATATTAATATACACTGCTGTTATTTTTAAGATTTTTTATGTTTTTAAAAGAGGTCTCTTCTGCCCACCGAAAATACTGCATTTATTTGATAAAAAAAATGCAAAAACAGTAATATTGTGAAATTAACTGTTTTCTATGTGAATATACAATAGAGTGTAATTTATTCCTGTGATCAAAGCTGAATGTTTAACATCATTACTCCAGTCTTCAGTGTCACATGATCCTTCAGAAATCACTCTAACAGGATGATTTGAAGCTCAAGAAACATTTGTGATGATTATTAATGTTGAAAACAGTTTTTTTTTTACATTTTTATTTCAGGATTCTTTGATGAATAGAACGTTCAAAAGAACAATTTCTCTGAAATATAAATTTAAAGAAGTCTCTTCTGCTCACCAAGGCTACATTTATTGATTTACAAAAAACAAACAAACAAGCAAACGAACAAAACAAACAAAAAAAACAGTAATATTGTTAAATATTACTAAATAAACTCTTTTCTGTGTGAATATATTTAAAACTGTAATTTATTCCTGTGATCAAAGCTTAATTTTCAGCATCATTACCCCAGTGTCACATGACCCTTCAGAAATCACTCTAATATGTGGATATGATGCTCAAAAACATTCATTATTATTATTAATGTTGAAAAGAGTTCTGGACAATTTTTTCAGGGATTCTTTGATGAATAGAAAGTGAAAAGAACAGCATTTATCTGAAATACAATCTTTTGTAACATAAATGTCTTTACTGTAACTTTTCATCAATTGAATTAATTCTTAACGAATAAAAGTATTGATTTCTTTTATTTCTTTCCAGCAACAAAATAAAATAAAAATTCGTACTGACCTAGCGTTTAATGTTAATTTCTATTTCAGAGAAATTCTGTTTTTTTTTTTAACTTTCTATTCATCAAAGAATACTGAAATAAAAATGTAAAAAACTGTTTTCAACATTGGCGATAATCATTAAGGTTACTTGAGCTTCAGAACGTCATATTAGACTGATTTCTGTAGGATCATGTGACACTGGAGTAATGCTGATGAACATTCAGCTTTGATCACAGGAGTGAATTACACTTTACTACCTATATATTCACACTGAAGACAGCTGTTTTAAATTGTAACAATATTTCACAATATTAATGTTTTTGCATTTTTAATCAAATAAATTCAGTCTTGGTGAGCAGAAGAGACTTAAAAACAGAAAATCTTACCAACTCACACACATTATAAAAAATATTGTTGGTTTAACTTAAAAAAATAAGTAACCTGGCTGCCTTAAAAAGTTGAGTTAATTGAAATGGAAAAATTGAGTTAATACAATGAAGGAGATTGATTTAATCATCAGAAACTCAAAATATTGTGTTATCCGAACTATATAAGTTATTTAATTTGATTTGACAAAAGAAAAAATGTTGTGATTACAAATCATGAAAATATTTTTTTTCACAGTGTACAAGTATCAATATTTCCAGTGGTGAAGTACTAGTGTATTATCTTGTTTCTAGGAGCCTGTATACAAGAGCCCGTTCTCCAATGTCTACCAACACGTGTGCACTTACCGGGACGTCCGCTACGAGACGGTGCGGCTGCCGGACTGCCCCCCCGGGGTGGACCCGCACATCACCTACCCGGTGGCCCTCAGCTGCGACTGCAGTCTCTGCACCATGGACACGTCCGACTGCACCATCGAGAGCCTGCAGCCCGACTTCTGCATGTCTCAGAGAGAGCACTTCCCTGCATACTAGCCGATGTCCTGCTGACTTCAGGCCAGGGGTACATCCCAAACTCACACTCCAAATCAGACAAATGTTGTGGAGATGTCGCCTATTAAAAAGTACATGCGTCATTGGCTACTTCAATGTTATATGGACGCTTGTTTCCGCCACAGAATAAAACATAAACAAGTTTTTCTCACACTTTTTTTTTCTCTCAGAATTGCGTGTTGTAACGGCAGAATTGTGAGATAGCTCTAAACTCGAAATTGCGAGTTAAAGGCAGGGTATTTCTAAAACACTTTTTCCCAAATGTGCTTAAACTGTCTATATACCAATACATATTTAAAATGTAAGTACTCTGAAAGGGAGACTATACGAATCGAGTGTCTGTAGTCGTCTCAGGACTGAGACGCAATTGCAATGGTTGGCTAGGCGACTGTCACTACCATGGCTACCACCCCTATCACTCTTCCTTGCTACCATGGCAACCACCCCTGTCACTCTCCTTCACTACCATGGCAACCACCCCTGTCACTTTCCCTCGCTACCATGGCAACCACCCCTGTCACTCTCCTTCACTACCATGCCAACCACCCCTGTCACTCTTCTTCGCTACCATGGCAACCACTCCTGTCACTCTCCTTCACTACCATGGCAACCACCCCTGTCACTCTCCTTCACTACCATGGCAACCACCCCTGTCACTCTCCTTCACTACCATGGCAACCACCCCTGTCACTCTCCTTCACTACCATGGCAACCACCCCTGTCACTCTCCGTCGCTACCATGGCAACCACCCCTGTCACTCTCCTTCACTACCATGGGAACCACCCCTGTCACTCTCCTTCGCTACCATGGCAACCACCCCTGTCACTCTTCTTCACTACCATGGCAACCACCCCTGTCACTCTCCTTCACTACCATGGCAACCACCCCTGTCACTCTCCTTCACTACCATGGCAACCACCCCTGTCACTCTCCTTCGCTACCATGGCAACCACCCCTGTCACTCTCCTTCACTACCATGGCAACCACCCCTGTCACTCTCCTTCGCTACCATGGCTACCAGCCCTGTCACTCCCCCTTGCTACCATGGCAACCCTTGTCACTCTCCCTCTCTACCATGGCAACCCCTGTCACTCTTCCTCGCTACCATGGCAACCACCCCTGTCACTTTCCGTCGCTACCATGGCTACCACCCGTCACTCTCCCTCACTACCATGGCAACCACCCCTGTCACTCTTTTCGAGGAATTGCCATTCCATAAAGTCGCAATTGCGGCACATAAATTCACAATTCTGACTTTATAACACGCAATTCTGAGAAATAAAGTCAGAATATGTTTTATTCTGTGGCAGAAACAAGCTTCCATAATATTCTATGCTAAAGTCAAACCAATTTTATTGTGTGTATAATCTGAAGGAGCAGTTGGCAGGGATATTCAAACTAAAAAGGTTGTAAGTTATCATTGGAAAATCATCAGCCAATGACTAGAGAGAAGAACAAAAGTTGGGTTTAAATGATACACACATGTACAATAGGATGAAAATCCTGCAAATGAACTATTGACTGAAGCTTGTTAATGAAAAAAAGTGTATTTGACTACAGTATGTCTCCTCCATGATAAATTACAATAAAACTGCAGCCCTTTTTCACTTGAAATATAAAGAGAAACTAAATACATTAAATTAAACCATTCATAAGAAATGCCTTATGCATTCTGCTGGCAAAAGGAATTGCTCTCCATTCAGAAATGAACATATATTCTGACTTAATTAAATATTTTGCAAACACATAGTACTCTATAACAAAGATGATTTACCAGTATTGCATTTATTTTTGAAAGCATGAAAAGAACTTATCTTTTTCATCATCCGTGAGACACTTTATATAAAATTGTCTGCAACGAACGCATGTAATTAATCAAATATTAGATCTTCTATTGATTTCCCTCAAGCACAGCAGACAGGATTACATGTAAAGAGCAAAATAAGCTATAGGAGAATCTGTAGCTCAGAGTAAACGAGACACGATGTAACAGTAATGACTGTGGACTGCGGCAATAATGATTCACAGCCAGAAGATGGCAGCAAAGGTCAATATTGGGAAAATTGTGAACTAAAAAGTAAACGTGCAGTCATTTAAGAGTTAACAGTGTTTGCCTTGTGGAAATACTGTTATGCTATTCCATAAAATCTTGATACAGTGATGTTGTGATGGCATGACAAGTTAAAGGTACGGTAGCAGTTTACCATGAGGAATGACACACAATAAATGTATAATAAAGGAATAAATGTAACATTATCAGTGACTGATTAGGAACTCTACTACAACAATAGCATTTGTTGTTAGTATATTAAGCTAACGTGATATTATAAACATAAAATATGTACAATAAAAACAGGTCCATTTTGAATAGACTGAGCAATTGTTATTGATAATTTTCAGAACTGACTTAATTCTACAAGCAATATTTCTCATTGCAATGCATTGTGGAATTCTCTGAAGTATAATGAAACGACACAAATTATTTTCCATAAAAAGGAATCATTTCATGTCGCTTTTTCACACTGAAAAAAGCTGGGCTGTTTTAACCCAAATTTGGGTAAAATATGGACAAATCCAAATGTTGGGTTAAAAATGGAATTTCAAATTTTTATACAACTTCAACTTTCAGTTTCAACTGTACATTTTTTATTACATTTTTAACCCAACATTTTGGATTGTCCATATTTGACCCAAATTTGGATTGAAAGTGTTGTTAGACTTTCTTAAAGGAGTAGTTCACTTTAAAAAAAAAACTTGTGCTGATAATTTACTCACCCCCATGTCATCCAAGATGTCCACATCTTTCTTTCTTCAGTCGAAAAGAAATTAAGGTTTTTGCTGAAAACATTCCAGCATTTTTCTCCATATAATGGAGTTCAATGGGAACCAAACGGTTCAAAAGACAGTTTCAGTGAAAACTGCAAACTGTTCAAAGGGCTTTAAACAATTCTAGACAATGAATAAGGGTCTTATCAAGTGAAACGATCGCTCATTAAAAAAAAAAAAAAAAAAAACAGTGCTTAGTGTTAGGGTTACACCACTAGGAGGCGACTTCTGGCCCATATATAACTGCGTCTCATATTGACGCTAAAGGGTGCCATGTACGTTGGATGTATACGCATTGGCAAAAGCGTCAGTATATGATGCCTTGGGATGAGAACGGGCTGTGTAAACCTATTGTAGGAAAATCTGTAATAAAATTGGGAACTTTAAAAATAGCATAATAGGGCACTTTAAGTAGCTAGATTTTGCTGTTTACATGTATATAAGAATGAAGAGAGAATTTCAGCCAATGAAACTGTCAAGCTGACCCTTATTGCAGAGCTGTTTTAGCCTATACTGCACTGATAATACACGTTATACAAATTAGCTTATAATGAATCAATTTGGGAACATGAGGGAAATTACTTTAATATTATAAAAAAAAATGCTTTCTGTATTATTCACTAATCAGTACTCAGGGGTAAAACACCTATTATGCTGTTTCTCTACTTCTCAGAGCAAGACATTCATTTCATATCCTCTGCATATTCCCAACACAGGCTTGTGTGAAACAACATCCCTTGAGCTTCTGGATCTTTGAATTTCACTGAAGCATTAGCATTTACTTCAAGCGCACAGCTTCCCTCAGTCATATATAAAATGTACTTGATTTAAAGGAATTCAGCCCAAAAAGTTCATCATGCACTCAATCCTCGTGTTATTTTAACCCTGTATTATTGACAGGATTTCGTAATATGAAAGTGAGATGTCAGAATGTCTGTGCTTTGGACTTTCTGTACAAGGAAAGTGGTATAGATCTCAAATGTCATTCACACTCCTGTTCAGTTCAAAAATGTGCCACTATTACCAAAACCCCATATTACTCATGTGTCTCAAAGCTATATTCTCTCAACATGACTTCGGTAGACTTATTTTTTTTTAAACTGTCTCCTGCAAAATAACCATCTAATAAAAACAAGACTTAAAGGGATAGTTCACCCAAAAATGTAAACTCTGTCAATAATGACAGAACAAAGAAACAAGACTCATGTTGTTCAAAACCTGTAGGACGTTCGTTCATCTTCAGAATGGCCCAGAAAGTTATTAAAGACTTCATTAAAATAGTCCAAGTGACTACAGTGGCCGGTGGCGGTACATCAAGGCCGGTGGCGTGATTACCGATGAGTGACACCAGTGAGACGCACCGGTCTCGTATCTCTCACGGAGATGCGGGGATTTTCTTACCAATGTTAAAACGCACATCAACCGATCACTTAAGGAGGAAATACTCAGTAATGATGTCGACTTATGAACTTACTAGTGATGTATGTCTCGAGACCGGTCTTGTCACGGCCTTGGCGGTCTTTGGTATTGTCTACGTCTCGCTGTCTCAAACCAACATAGTGGTCGGGGGATTTAGGAATACAACACTACAATATCCACTATGTCCGAGTGAAGACAGTGCGGTGTGCGCAAGCCACACGAGAAAACACTATATCCGCGCCACTGATCACAGCGGCAACGAGCACTTTGATCACTTGATTTGGTCTCGACTTGGTCTCTGTCTTGGTCTCAACTTGGTCTCTGTCTTGGTCTCAACTTGGTGTCGGTCTTGGTCTCGACTTGGTCTCGACTTGGTCTTGATCTCGACTTGGTCTCTGTCTTGGTCTCGGTCTTGGTCTCGACTTGGTCTCGGTCTTGGTCTCGACTTGGTCTCTGTCTTGGTCTCAACTTGGTCTCGGTCTTGGTCTCGACTTGGTCTCTGTCTTGGTCTCGGTCTTGGTCTCGACTTGGTCTCGGTCTCGACTTGGTCTCTGTCATGGTCTCGACTTGGTCTCTGTCTTGATCTCGGTCTCGACTTGGTCTCGGTCTTGGTCTCTGTCTTGGTCTCGACTTGGTCTCAGTCTTGGTCTCGACTTGGTCTCGTTCTTGGTCTGACTTGGTCTCGTTCTTGGTCTGACTTGGTCTCTGTCTTGGTCTCGACTTGGTCTCAGTCTTGGTCTCGACTTGGTCTCGTTCTTGGTCTGACTTGGTCTCGGTCTTGGTCTCGGTCTTGGTCTCTGTCTTGGTCTGACTTGGTCTCGGTCTTGGTCTC